GCATGTTTGCATGTTCTCCCTGTGCATGCGTGGGTTCTCTCCGGGTACTCCTGCTCCTCCCACATTCCAAAAACACGACTGTCATTGTGTGTCTATGTTTTTCCCTGCAACAGACTGGAAACCTGTCCGGTGCGGACCCCGCCTCTCGCCCATTGATGGCTGGAGATAGACACAGTGAACCTGACCTGGATGGATGGATGGATGGATGGATGGATGGATGGATGGATGGATGGATGGATGGATGGATGGATGGATGGATGGATGGATGGATGGATGGATGGATGGACGGACGGATGGATGTTTTATTTATCTTATTGGATTTGCATTGTGAATTACTTTGATCTCATCCCAATTGCTCTAAATTTGATTCAAACTAATTTGACTTCATCCCATCTCCTCAGTAAAAATGCATGTAGATCTGTGATGTTATCGATTATGGTTGGAACTATTTTTCATTCCTTTTTTCTATCTGTTCATACACTAGTAGCCACTCAAAAGTTCCCCACTTTCATCTGCCGGTCCTTGGCTGGTGCCTAGCCGGTCCTTGATTGGTCCATGGCTGAGCATTGGTGGGCCCTTGGCTGTTCCTTTGCTGGCCCTTGGTGGGATCTTGGTGGGCCCTTGGCCGGTCCTTGGCTGGTCCTTGGCTGGTTCTTGGCTGGTCCTTTGCTAGTCCTTGGTTGGCCTTTGGTGGACCATTGGCTGGTCCTTGGCTGATCCTTGGTGGGTCCTTGGCTGGTCCTTTGCTGGTTCTTGGTTGGCCCTTGGCTGGTCCTTCGCTGGTCCTTGGTTGGCCCTTGGTGGGCCCTTGGCTGCTCCTTGGTGGGTCCTTGGCTGGTTCTTGGCTGGTCCTTGGCTGGTTCTTGGTGGGCCCTTGGCTGATCCTTAGTTGGCCTTTGGTGGGCCCTTGGCTGGTCCTTGGTGGGCCATTGGCTGGCCATTGGCTGGTCCTTGGCTGGTCCTTTGCTTGTCCTTGGCTGGTTCTTGGCTGGTCCTTTGCTGGTCCTTGGTTGGCCCTTGGTGGGCCCTTGGCTGGTCCTTTGCTGGTCCTTGGTTGGCCCTTGGTGGGCCCTTGGCTGGTCCTTTGCTGGTCCTTGGCTGGTCCTTGGCTGGTCCTTGGTTGGCCCTTGGTGGGCCCTTGGCTGCTCCTTGGTGGGTCCTTGGCTGGTTCTTGGCTGGTTCTTGGTGGGCCCTTGGCTGATCCTTAGTTGGCCTTTGGTGGGCCCTTGGCTGGTCCTTGATTGGCCCTTGGTGGGCCATTGGCTGGTCGTTGGCTGCTCCTTGGTGGGTCCTTGATTGGCCCTTGGTGGGCCATTGGCTGGTCCTTAGCTTGTCCTTGGCTGGTTCTTGGCTGGTCCTTTGCTGGTCCTTGGTGGGCCCTTGGTGAGCCCTTGGCTGGTCCTTTGCTGGTCCTTGGTTGGCCCTTGGTGGGCCATTGGCTGGTCCTTAGATGGCCCTTGGTGGGCCCTTGGCTGGTCCTTGGTTGGCCCTTGGTGGGCCCTTGGCTGGTCCTTGGTTGGCCCTTGGTGGGCCCTTGGTGGGCCCTTGGCTGGTCCTTAGCTGGTCCTTAGTTGGCCCTTGGCTGGTATTATAAGCCTTCTGATGGCATTTTAGCAAAAGGATTTTTATCAAAAACATAATGTGCACAAATAAGGAATAGGTGCATTAACCATACATGTTAACAGTGTTTTATGGGGCCCCCAGCAACTTGGGGCCCTAGGCAACTGCCTAGTATTGCCTAATGGTAACCCCCCACCCCCAATCTGCAGTTATTATAAACTCTATATTGTCATGATCGGTTCTCTAATGGAGACCCAAAGATGCAGAACACCACTGACGGACACAGGATGAAAAGTTTAACAAGTTTATTTGCACAATTATACTGAACATGCAGATGGCTGGTTCGGGCCTGGATTCTGGTTTCACCGGAGTCTGCGTGAGAGACAGCAACGTTAAGGACTGTTGACAGAGTTTAGTTTCCAATGGTGCACAGATAGTACCTTGAGGGTTCTTGAGGTTCTCTTTGGGAGAGTCACTGTTGGTTCTGGAGAAGGAATTAGTAGCAGAGTCCGTTAGCTGCTTCAGCGTCTCACGTCTAGTTTGAGCAGACCTTGGCCTTGGTTTCCCAGCTCTAGCCCAGAGCTGCTTGGAGGTTGTCTGAGAATCTTCAGGGTTTGGCTCTGAGGGTCGGCTCGGCAGGTTAGCTCTTCCAGAGCTTTCACGGAGGAAGCACGAGTTTCCTAGAGGCACAGAAACAGAGGTTAGAATCCAACTAGGGATTAAGGTCATAGAAAATCACTGAGCTCTAGGCTTTAGCGCTGACCAACTGGAACAACACTGCGGCGTTGAGGCAAGGTCTGAAGACAGCTTATATAGTGGATCCTCTGATGATCTTGATGAGCAGCACCTGTGCAGGAGGCTCCCTCACAGGATCCACGGCGGACTCTGCTGGAGAAAGATGGGATTTTCTCCAGCTCCCAACATATATTAGTTTTCCAGTTTCTTCCTAGCTTGTTCTGGTCTATTGTGGATCACTGCCCTGAGATTTAACCCAACATAATGTTACAAACAAAACGCTTGGATTGATTTTTGATTTCTTCCCCCATAGAGATTTTCATTTTTCCAGGTTTCAAATCCTGAACCAGTTTCTGATCTGTTCTAGTCTTTAAAACCCGAAGCTTTCTCTCAGCCACCGGTCGTCTCACACGAACCGATTCCTCATCCCTCTGACGTCTCTGCAACGTTCCCTTTGATGCAGCCATGATCAAAGTTTTCCTCTTGGCTGGGTTTTCATCTCCCTTTATGTCGTTAACCCACTGCAGCTCCTCACACTTCACATCAAAGTGAACTTTTTCCAAAGAAGAAGCAGCCACACTTACGTTTAAATGCAACAAACGAGTTTATTTGGTTATGATGCAGAACAGAGACAAGACACAGACCTCAAGAACATTTCAGAAGCCTTAAAAACCTGAAAGAATTGGAAGTTTTCCATAAGTAGTCTCCTCTCATCAAATCTAATTCTTCCTTTCTCTGCAGAGTTTATTTTAGCATCTGTTGTTGAACTATTAATAATCAGTTTTCTCTACTTGCTTCCTTTAATTTGGTTTCAGGTCAAGATGAGCAAAAACTTAAGCCTTTTTTCTTTGATCTAACATCCAATAAAAGGAGGGAATACCTTCTGCAGTTGTAAATTGGTTGTAAATTGGTTGTTTTAGGGGTGAATTTGGAACATGCAGCACTCCTGGTTTGTGTGTCCTCTGGCTGCATTAATTAGTAAACCATGAAATGGGAAACATGTTGTGCATCTTGTTCAGTAAAAAAAAAACAAAAACATTGCAAAAACTGCCTACAATGAACCCCGTGACACACGCTGAGCTGACAGCTTTTTAAAGCTTGTGGGGTTTTCAGCTTTTCTTCCAATTTAATTTCTGCTTTTTTTTAATAATAAATGAGAGAGAGAAGAGTAGTGGAAGAAAAATAAACTAAAAACAGCCAAAGAGGATAAAGTTGTACTTTGTAATCACTCCCAAGGCATCACATGCTGTCAGGGCCTCAGACCAAAAATAGCTTTTCTTTTTTTTTGGCTGCTGAAACAATTGTTTTTAACTCTGCTTTTAAGACTCCGGTGTTAGGCTTAGATCAGCATACCCATAGCTAATACCCATTTATCCCTTTAGTTTTGTACGAAAAACAGACTTTAAACTACCTCGGTAGTGTACAAAAAAACTATTCAATTACTTACTTTTTGGTGTTTTTTTAAGCGTATGGCAATCTGACTTTAAATTGTTGGTTTTGTTCGTGACTAAAGGGATACACGCCCGTTGAGGTATTTTAAAGTCTATTTTTCGTACAAAATTAAACTAACCGCTCTCGGCTTATTCTCACATATTTACTCTTTTCTGTCTCTTAAAGGGATCAACGATTATATTTGAACATGCTGGCCTAAATATTTTTTACCTTTCCAATCAACTAATTATTGCTTGTGAGGTCACAATTTTTTTGACTGTGCAATGCATGCTGAGTTGATGATGCTGTTAGGACTGACTGGACTGGAATCTACATCATAAACACAGGAGGGCAACCAGTTAGGGCCGACAACCGTCCCTTAAAAAACGGAATCGTTTAGAAATAGAAGTACCTGTACCGTATTTACTGGAACCGTATTACTGTAATGGTAAAAAAAAAAATTGTCAGTAAAAATCTAATGAAAAATGAAGAACAAGGGCACATTAGATACAAAACTTACATAACTTACGGTAAACTTGTTCCCGGTCCCTGTCCTGCTTTGTGACAAATGAGCTAACAACATACCCTCCAGAATCCCCTCATCCTATTGGTCGAGCCAAGCGGTGCTCACGGAGAAGATAGCGGGAGACAACAGAGCAGGAGGGGGGACGAACCGATTAATTTAAAGGTATACTATGCAACCGGTGTTGATTTTCCAGCGAGGCTCCCCCAAGAGGGCGAAAGTGAAAGTGCACTGTCGTAAATATGCTCAGCTGTTCTCCTGGTTTCTCCGTCAAGCCAGGCGCGGTTGATTTGAGCTTAGCAGACAGGCGAACACAACGAATGACTAACACAGTGAAAGTATGAACATGCACACAGAGAGAGAGAAACCATTACTTACAATCGCATCAGCAGAAACGCGAGGTCCGCGTCAGCCTTGCAGCCTCCTTTTTCTTTTAGCTCTCGCCATTCGGAAAAAGCTTGCCTGATGTTCACCCGTGTACGACTCCTCTCTCTGTCCGGAGCCCTTTTCCTCTTTCTTGCCTGCTCCGACATGGGCTTTCGCTGTTTCCTCGCTGGTTCCGCCATGATAACTGCACAAATATCGCCACTGCGCTAGCAACAAGCATGCTTTTAACTGGGGGCGTGTAGCAGTTCTCGCCATAAAGCAAGACCGACTCTCGCGAGACTTCTGAGCCTGTGGGTGCGGGCCGAGGGCTCCTGCAATTGCAAGTGCGGTATTTCCCCCACAGACCACCAGGGCGGCCGAGAAAACCTTTGTTCAACCTGAAATGACTCATTTAATCATCCAAAACGTTATGGAACACATTAATTAACTGAAAAATGTTGCATAGTATGCCTTTAAATAATGCCGCTGCTTTTGGGGGCGGTTCCCCTTCGCGTAGCGATGGTCCTCCTCCGAAAAAAAACTAAACGGATGCAGAAATATATTGAGGAATGGGAAAAAAACAAATACCTGGGTGGTAAAAGTCCGATAATGAATATAAAGCACAATTCACTGCAGATTTGCATCAAATAGTTTAAAAAAAATGGAATAATTTCACACACAAAGGGGTTTCCTTGTAACTCATCGTTCTATATCTACATCATGCTAAGCATCTCCTAGCCGCGGGCGCAAAAACGCCTCCTTCTTCAGTCAGCTCTCCCCTCTTCCTCTGTTTGGTCCTCCTCTTCTTCATCACCTCTTGTGATTTATAAATTCTCATCAATTTCAACGTGCGAAGGTTCAAACTGAAAAGGTTTAATGTTACTCACTGCTGTATTAGCTGGACTGTGATAGAACCACCGGACCTAGCATACATCATTTGATTTAGGATCAAAATTCTATGTTATTAAGTCAATTTCTAAAAAAAAAATGGACTCTAATAAGACTGAATTTTTCCATATCTTTGGTTCTTCTTTAGGAGGGTAAAATTAAAGTCCTACTGACAACTTCTGACAATTAAATGTCCCACCTTCTATTTAAGGGAATTTATAATCAATCAACCCAGAAACTTTCTCACCAAAAGATGATTCAATGTGTATATTCTTTAAAAAATCGAGAAACAGTGACTGTTAACGGGTTTGAGGTATTTAAACACATGATAAACAGTTTAGCGTACTTCCTGGACAAGACAACCTTGTACCCATTGGGTTTAGGTTTATTGAAGGTTTAAAGATCTCTGTATTTAGGAGTAGCTCAGCCACACTAAACTAAGTCGCCAGTTTGAGAGAAATCCCTCCTGTTATAGAGCGCAAAAATGACATGAGTAGGTCTGTAGGAGTTTTAATGAAATGACAGAATTGAGGGCCTTGGGAATGAAAACAGGACAGAAAAACCCTACTAAAGCTTAAAGGATGGGGGAAATCTGAGCAAAAGAAGCTCTCGATTTTTAAGTCGACTGGGCAGTTTTCTTCCTTATCACCCTCCTTCCACCCTGCCTTTGGATTGGACCAGAAGCCGGACCGGCAGCGGCACCAGAAGATGGAGCTGAAGCCTGGCCGCCGGTATTGGCACGATTGGCCTTGACTTCGTCAATGAAGCTTTCTATGGTGGTGAACTTCTCGGTCAGCTCCCCCAGGCGCTCTTTGAGGGAGTTGAACTCCTTGAAGAGGTCGTCTAAGGCCTCGGACAGCGGCTGGATCCTATAACCATAAATCAGAGCAGTTGAACAATTCCTTTTCTCAAAGTCCAGGAAGCAAAGAAGTCACAACAGGAAGAGCATCAACATTAAAGGTGCATAGTCACGTTATGTATTAGAAATGTATCCATCCATTGGGGCCAATTAACCAGGCGATAAGCAGATATAAAGCGTAATATCTGCATATGTTACGTTACGCTTGGTCGTATTAAACAGATAGTAGAATTATTAAGCCAGCGTGAACCAGTAAGTTTGTTCTAAGTTTGCATTATGGTTCATGGTATCCAAAGACACAAAGAGAGAGAAAGGGGGGCTGCAGAAACAGCTGATCAGTCATGTAAGGTAAATATTCGCTACATCAGCACTGATTGATTGATGGTTTGGTTGATTAATTGATTCATTAGTTCATTCATTCATTTTTCCCTTAATGTTGTGTTCCTGTTTGTGTTTGTTAGGACCAGGATTTTGCTTTTTCCTTGATTTTCTGATAGGATGTTCTGGGATGGATTCACTTGAAATCTGTTTCTGTTGATGAGTCAATTTAAGTTATATCAGTTTTGACTTTGACAACTCCAGGCTGTCACTAAACCATGAGGCATTGCAGGATGGTTGGCCTCTATTTAGTGGTTACCATCTGACTTTGTCGTAATTCTGTGGTGCTACCAGCAGATGGCGCCAAATCTGTTCATGTTTGCTCACTGTGCCCTGTGCTGGAATTCTATTTAGGCTAAACCACTGATCTCTATTTATTCACTAGATTGCTAATTGGCTGAAAAAAGTGAAGCCACCGTCTAGCATGCTGGTACTCGCCACTCCCACAGGGAAGCAGTAAAAAGCCTCCCTGTGCAGCATTTGGCTGCTAAAACCAGCAGTTTTCTGTCTGCAGGAAGACATTCGACAGGTAATTTCCCAGTTAGTGGATGAACTAACCAAGAAAATCCATATATAGCCGATGGATCCTACAGTATAGTCTGTAGACTAACATCCGACTGGCTATCTCAGACTGACTGGAAGACATTGACTAAATTAGCCATTGACATTGAGTCTCACGTTAGAAAATAGAAAGTAGAGTAAATAGAAAGTACTTCACTGGGAAATGTTAATGTAGTAATTCTTCATTAACCGGATGATGCTGTCGTTTTTGTGGTGTTTGTTGTACTTCTAATTTGAAAAATTCATGTACTGAAATATATTGCATTTTATATTGACTGAAAAAAAACAACCCAAACATTTGACATATTTTATGCATTACCAAATATGCAAGACGTAATTACCATAACAATGTAATATATACATGTATATTACACGTACATCATCAATTTAGCACTTTTTGCTCATCATTATTATTCTGCTCCATTAACACATTAATTTTATTGTGATGGATTAGTATAATATGTTATATTACATGATTTTTAGACTATGCAATGTGATGAGCCTATTTTTTTATTCTAGGTTAAAGTAAATCTACTGATGCTATAAAACAGCCAGTGTGTGTCAAGTGATGAATTAATCTTTATTTTAAAAGTCTTAAGTCCCCCTGAAAATGTTGTTTGATGCTGTAGCGCACATATAGTTTACATTGCGACCGGTCTAACAAGGGAGTACCAATATGGCGGCCGGTGGATTCACTTTAACCCAGTACAACCAACGAGCAATTAGCAATCCAGGGAATAAATATAGATCAGTTATCTAAACACTATCAGGGCAGATGCTTGGTGTTCTATGACCTAATTAGAGTTAAATATTAGATATTAAATATTAGAGTTAAAGTTTGTTTTTTGGTCTTTGTCGTGTTCAACAACATGATTATCCCTGTAAAGCAAACTGTATCATATTTGATAACTGAATTTTTGAAGCGTCTGCATCATCAATGTGATGTTTTTGTTATTGAAACACTGACTTACATAATCAGACACATGTAGAGAACAGAAAACATATAAAAGATGATATACAAATGCGTAATGTGTCAAAATTGATGCAAATAAAGATAATTTAACAGATACAAAATGTATATTGTTATTTCATTTGTCAGAAAGTTCAATAATAATTCTAATTTTGAATAATTAGAATGCTCTGTCAATTATTTCCTGGTTCCTGATTTCGTTTGTTTTTTTATTCATCTAAGCGTTTATCAGAAGGTTTCAGTTTTTAGGAGTTTTTCATTGAACGTTCTATTTAAGGTACCTTTATATCATTAATGGAGGGTTTAATGGGCCCCTGGATTCTGGGATAGAGTCCAGCAATGACCGCAACATTTTTCCTCATAGTTACAAATAGTTGTATTTCCTTACTTTGGTTCAGACTCAGACTTATTAGTGTGGAAAAGGGAAAAAAAAGACTAGCCTGATTCCTCAACTTCTGGGACACAACAGAAAAAACATCAGGCCTCTGCGTGGAAAATTCCTGTTTTCTTTTTTGTTAACCTTTAAATGGTAGTTTGGTGTTTAGCTCCAATGACGGCAGTTGTTCCAAAGGGAAAAGAAAAAGATTTTACTTTGAACCGCAGGACAAACCGAATTCCTGTGGTGTCTTTCAGGGTCCTGGTTGTTTTATTGAAGTCATGGAAAATAATCTGAATGTTCTAAATCCACTGAGACAGGAAGTTTGGTATCAGGCCAACATGTTCTTACATAAGCCTAAAATATGTTTCTTCAATTCAAACCTGAGTGCTTTGGTAGAATTGGCTTTTTCCTCTTGTTTCCTAAAGGTTTCCGTCTGTGATCCCAAAGGCTTCTTCAGTTCTGGTTCTGAACGTGGTTGGAAGTAACTTTAGGCTTTAGGATGTAGTCAGAACAATCAAATGAATGTGGCCTCTAAGGTTACTAATGGAGCCATTATAAAATGGCAGCCGCAACCTGATATAAAAATTAGAACCAGCTTTAATATTCAATTTTGAGAACAAAAAGTTGCATTGCAGCGTCACAGCTGTCAAACTGCAGCCTAAGTGGCTGATCTACTGCTCCTTATAGGTGTCTCTGCTTCCCCTTACAAATGGAGTCCCCCCCGTCCCTCAGTGAGGTCTAGAAGCACAAGATCTATATCCAGCCATTCAGCGGAGATCCTGCTACATGGCTGTACATCTTATTTTGGCCTTTGACCAATTAGATGAGCCCTTGAATGATATATTACCTACTGGAAATTAAGTTGAAAAAAAAAGTCAAGAAAAAAAGGTAAAAAGCAAATTCAAAAGTTAAAAAGTAAAATTAAAATGGTAAATAATCCTAGTCAAGAATTATATCTATGTTTATAAACTAAAACATGTAAGTGCCAGTATTAGCATTAATGCCTCTAAGGTTATGTTGGACCAAAAAAAATGTGTTTCTTTCACTCTCAGAGTGTTTTTCATGAATTTTTCTAGAAGCACTTTTGTAATTTTTCTTATGCTGCGTTCATACCGGACGCAGCAGGCGCAGCAGAAGCAGCGAGTTTACATGCAAAGTCAATGGTTGACGTGCGTCAAGGCGCAGCAAAATGTCCCGCAGCACGTTTTAAGCAGCTGAAGCAGCACGTGATGGAAAAATTTAACTTTTGCTGCTGATCTGGGAGCTGGCAGGGAGAGAGACACAGCGCTGAAGATGCTGTGATCGCTCCTCTGAAACAGTTTATTGATGCATAAATTAACTTAAAATGCAGAAATCTGCTGACAGAATATAGTCGCTTTTATTATCCTGCTGCCTGCAGATTGGATTATTTTGATGAAAAGCCACCTATCAGCGGCTCCGATAGAAATAACATTGGAAGGCAGGATAATAATCTGAATGAACTGACAGCACTGATTACGTTTTCAGGTGTATTTTCTCACTTAAAAACATATTAAAACTACTTTATTCCCACTGATCACAGCAAATATAGCTGCAAGGCAGAGAAAGGATAGAGTAGCTCCGCCCAACGCGCATCAGAACTAACTGGTACAAGCAGCAAAAATGAAGCAGCAGACGTGATTTTGCTGCTCCTGCTGCGTCCGGTGTGAACGTAGCATTAATTATTCAGTTGTGGGGTTTTAAAAACATTTTATGTACTGTGTCAGGTGATGGAGAACTGCATTTTAACAAGCTCCTCATTTAATGATTTTTAACTGACACTTGTTTTACTTTAAGAGTGAGTTTTAACTAACTTTTACGTGAATTGTTTACATGTTTGAATTGTGTAAATAAAGTGCTGTTAAAAGTATTTTTCTTTATATATTCGGGCAAGCTGGCATTTCTTATTATAACATTGACATTCATTTTTGCCATCAAAGTATCCATATTTTTTTGAATGTTACAAAAGTAATAAGGTCCTGGATTCCAATAACACTTTTGTCTAAAATGTTTATTTTTTTATTTTTTTATTTTCAATTTATTTCACTTGGTGCCCTAAAAAGGGTTAATAAGCACTGTAGGTCATTAGCAGAACATTTAAGAACTTCCCTCCATCCAAATACTGTCAAATAATGTCAGAACCGTTAAACCTTAATCCACTAGAGAAAGTAAACCAAATACTTTATGCTTTAAGTTGTCAGGAGTCCAGGGTTTTGTGTTGGTGTTTCTCTGCCACCAGATTTCACTGATATTGCTGTTCTGAAAATATGTAATCTGCTTATTAACTGGAAGGATAATAGTAGATAGCTGCCAGTTAAAGCCGGCATCCACTGTACGATATTTTTGATCTTTGTACTCAGCTACAGCTTAAACTGTATGATGAAACTGGAGGGTTTTAAAGTTCATAGCTCACAATGTTTGTTCTCCCACACGGACGCTCTGATGCGATCTATCTGCTCACACTGCACTTCCAAAAACCACATGTTGGACTGAGCGCCGAAAGATGGCACTGGTCGCACTTGTCAATCAAGGAGAAGAAGAAGAACTCCCTTGTTTGCACATGTGCAGAGCGGGATGTTCTGGTAAATCGGCTCGTAGCTCTGCTGCAACAGCAGGATTTGCCGATGGACACCTCACATCAGCCGACTGAATTTCAAGCATGTTTGGTTTTCTCCCGACCTTACGACTCCTGATCGGGAGGTGGTCATGAGAGGCTGATCGCCCTCTGTATACTAGACGACGCTGGAAGCACGATGAGGCAAAAACTCGGCCCAATTAAAAAATTATCACATGACCGGAGAATCAGCTCAAAAAGGGCAAAAAGTCATACAGTCATAATGCCTGACTTTAGCCTCATTATTCGCCTGCTTCGTGAGCTGGGAACTTTTAAACCCTGCGGTTCCATCAGTTTGAGCTGTAGCGGAGTACAACTATTGAAAAAATCTTGGTTGTCTGCGTGTCGAGGTTAACGCAGACACGCACCCCCCCTCTTTGCAAATGACCAATTGTTACTTAATTATTGGCACATTTAGTATCTCTGTTAAATAAACTTTAAACATATTCTTGTCTCCTGCAAGTCTCTGCTTGTGGGTTAGGCATCTAACACCATGACACAAGTAACTTAATTGCCTGATCGCAGGTCTGAACAAGGTCATCAGATACTAAACCAATCAGGTGGTTTTTGGTCTTTTATCCCTGTGATGACCCAGTCTGTCTGATATCATAATGTTAGGCTCTGGGAAATATCTTTCCCGGACCTGAACTGGTGGAACATCTTCAAAGCATGTTGAGCAGTATACCTGCCCCCAGCTGCCCCATCATGGCCCCGCGCTCACCTGCTGTAGTCTGGCAGCAAAGTCTGATGGTCATTCTGCAGGAGACCTTTCATTTGGTTCAGGATGTCGAACCTCCAGTCATCCAACACCTGAGTCAGGTTGGCCACACCTCGCATGTTGACCCGATCGGCTGGAACAGAAGACTTCAGAACTTCACACAGATCCTATCCAATGTATAATTCAACATAAAGTTCTATACAACCAGAACTCCTTAATAACAAAGAGGACCTAATCATTTTTTGTCAGATAGTAAAAAGTGGGAGAATTGAATTTTTATATTTTAGAGAATTTTGCCCATTTTGACCTACCTCCGTCCCTGTAGTTCCACTCATCGTTGGTTCTGGTATTTTGGCGCCTCCTCTGGGCCGTCACAAGCACCATGAGCACAGCCAGGACCAGCAGCAGGGAACCAAGTTTGAAGGTCATTATGAGTCCAGCACCTAAAGGAGTGGATGAGTTCTCTGTCAATCAAGCTGAAATCTGACGCTGCATTTCCGACGGTTCAACCTCCATTGGACCTCCGGTCAACGGATCTTTTTTACACAAGATGCTAAATGAATTTGAAATGGTTGGTTGTGTGACACAGATCTGACTCTGAGTCTGACAACCACACTTTCTCAGAGGGTCCTCATTAATCCAGCTTTACCCAATAGCGGTTTGACTTAGCTCAGCATGGCCGTCCTCTTGGGACACCCAGCTTAGTCCAAATGTTGACTGTGTTCTTCTTAATTTGAGATGAAGGCTTCAGAGTTGGCTCTCTGTTCTCTTTATTCCTTCAGATTTGCCCAGTGTTAACAATCCTGTTTGTGTGGGTTGTGTTTTTTTGTTTGTTTTCCTTCACCACCAGATGGCGCCTGGTTCTCATTGGCCTTCTCACACACCTGTTGATGGTTGCCTCATTACCGGAGGACTCTTAAGCTGCTGACTGCCGCTACCTCGACGCCAGTGTTTGCCAGTTTTGGGTACTCTAGCCAAGCTGAGTTTTGCTAAGTCAAAATGATTTTTTGTAACCTGAGTCTTAAACTTGCTGTTTGTTTGTCTTTGCCTCTCGGCAGGAAATCATCCTGCAAACTGGATGTTTCGGACCTTCTCCCCCCTGGAAGGATTCTCTGAGCATCAAACTGAGCTTAGGATTTAAACTGGTGGTTTGGATCTACTTTTCCCCAAGGATTGTTTGGGCTTCTCTATGAGCAGAGGATTCATCTCCACAAGAAACCCTTCAAGTACCGCAGGAAATCTAAGTGGCAGTCAGCTCCTCCGTTCCTCAAGGAAAACACCTCAACCTGGGTAAACCCTGTCCGCCCTCCAACAAACAAGTCTATCACTGGAAGAACCCACACCGACTGGATTATACGAAAGACACCTTTTCCTGGAAACGTGAGTCCTGTTGCCGTTATTTCCCTTTTTCAAATCAAAGACACAAATTTCCCACTGAGCCTGAACTAACCGCAGAATCTTCCCCTTCACCTTTCAGTCCCGGTTCGCCAGTGTTCAGAGCAGCACTGGACTTCTCTCTACCAACTCACAATAAACCTGTTAAACCTTCCCCTGGTCTCTCTGTTCGGTTTTTTGCATGTGGGTCAGATCTTTGGATAAAATCATGACACCCAGCACACCAGTAACCATGGTGACAGTAGTACCACAGGATGATGCTATCACCAACATGCTTGACAGTCGATACGGCGAGCTAAATTCGTCCAATCACGCTTATAGAGGCCAGACAGCCTGAACTCTGTAAGCCGACCACAAAACACTATACCAGAGGTTCTTCAGGGCATTCATGCTTCTGCCTTCAGGTTTTAGGTCTGCTTAGAAGTGGTGGATTTTAAGCAGACGAAACTTCCTGGGCCAGTTCAACCAGAGTTCCAACTGTGTCCAGTTCAGTTTGGGTCTTATTTCAGAATTTAGCAGAGTGAAGACATATCAAAACTTCTGCTGAACTTAACTTTTTCTACTTTTTTATTGTATATTTTTTTATTTGTAATGGTCTTATTTTAATTATTCATTTTTATTCTCTTCAGTTATTTGTATTACCTTAACGTCACATCAGTGTACCTTTACTTTTCTCCTCATGAACGGCACTTTTTGCCACGTTTACCAAAATTAGTTGATGATTATTCCATTTAATCGTTTCAGCCCTAAAGCTAATGGTTATTATTAGCCAACCAACACATCTAACTCTTATCTGATCAGATGAATTTCTGGTTCTCCGATGTAGGATTTAATCTGGAGGGATGAATGTGGCATTGTCTTTACCAGGAACTCCATCTCAATCTGATCTTGGTGCCGATGACTGGCTTGAATACTCATTTCATTCACCTGCCTAACTCTACGCATTTTCTCATCACCGTTCATTTGTGTCACCTCCTCTGGTCTCCATTTAACCTGCCTTGTTCCAGTCATCAGTGCCAGTGGTGAGAGTGTCCCATTGTTATCTTAGTGTTTCTGATTACCTGATCCTGAAGTTTTTTGCCTCTCAACCACTGAACCTGCCTGTTCCCGTCTTATCTGTTTGCCTGACCTGTCTTTGGACTCCTGCTGGATTCTGCCTGTTTACTGAACTTGGAACCGCTTCCTGACACCTACCTGGACTTCCTTCTACAACCTCTTCAGACATCTGATCTTATGGTTCTGAATCCTGAGGACTTCCTTGAAACCGGCTTTGGCTAGGACTTTACTATAATACCAGGTTAGTGACTCACACGTTCATAATCAGCCTTTGTCAGATTAACGTGGTCACTAATCTGACTTTTCCTCCTGCAGAGGTTCCTGCCTTAGACGTCCTTGCTGTTACTGCAGATCTGCCATTCTTAAATCAATTTTGAATTATCTGACTGTCTGTCTGCCTTGAATACCGGATCCCCCGTAACTACTAGGACAGACTGGTTCATTTAGATACAGTGTAGTACTGCCAGTAACCATCGGGGGAAAGCTGGACGTTAAAAGTCTAGCGCCTCCAGTGGATAATAGTTACACAAAGTTGCTTTAAAAAAAATTTAACCCTTTGAACCCGAAGCCATTTTTCTCAAATTGACATTGTCCAACAAAGAGGTTCTTTAAAAGGCACCTCTCAGGTTCAAAGTTACATTTCTTATCTATTATGCTTCATCAGAAGTCAGTCTGAAGAGTGCTGAGTCTAGATCAGACGCTTTAATTAAACTTTGCTGCTCAAGGAGTCCAGGACTAAATGAAAAAAAAAAAAAACATTCTACTGAAGATTGAGCTGCAAACTATATTCAAACCTTTGCTGTTTCTACGTGCCTCTCATCATCATCAGTCCATAACAACACACTTCTGTGGATGTTTGTTTTCTTGAGTTAGTTAAGTTTTGCCCTGAACTGCTTCAGTTGGGTGTCTGTGGGGATTTACTCTGCAAGGAGGTGTCTGTGTGTCTACAACTCCAAAGGAAAGAAATTAAATTCCTTGTTCTGAACACTTCAGAGGCTTTTCAGAGGTTAGAATAGGAGGAATAAGCCCCGGGGCTGAAAAACTCTCTGCTAAACTCCAGGCACAGACCTGACGCACAAACCTGAACTGACTGGACAATTCAGAACGGAGCTGCAAAGACATGTTGAGAAATCAAACATACCTTCATATCAGTTTTTCTCTTGAATGTGCCAACAGAAAAACACAGCAAACTCAGCAGCACTGTGAGTTTGCATTGTGAGAGATGATCCCACTACAGCTACTGCAAGGCAAGATTCTCCATAGAGCTCATTTCCATTGCAAGACAGCAATATAAAAAGAACATTACACTGCAATGGTTTGAAGTTAGTTAAAAAATGTATAAGCACAAATAGGAGAATAAAAATGAATGAGATTAATAAAACAATGAAAGAGTATAATAGAGCAAATTAATGATAAAATAAAGGATAAAAAAGACAGGAAAGGCTGGACTACAAACAGTTCAAGTCAACTTTAAACAAATACGTTTTTAATTCCAATTTAAAGCAACTTTTCAATACTATTGCAGTTTCTGAGGAGATTAGTTAACCTGTGAAGTAAGATTAATTCCACTAAAGATGAACAAAGCAGGAATTAGTTTTTCAACATTATTCCTCGACCCAAGACTTCAGAACAATGTGGGCTTCCATGTTTAATCCGATCTAGGCTTGGTTCTGCTGTTCTGGAGTCACAGAACCTTTTATTTGTAAAGGTCCTGATACCGTGACAATGAGTATGGTTGGACTGGGTTTTCTAGAGCATCAGTAACAGACATGCTTTTTTTTTAAATGTCACTGCACAAACCAGGAAGACCAAGTATTGAGGCAAGACAGACAGTGGGATTATTCAAAAGGTGTTTATTTAAACTACAGGATGCAGATCTGCAATAGCAGCAACTAGGGCATCTGAGGCAGGAAACTCTGGTTTATACGCAGTGTTGCACTGATACCGATACCAGTATCGGGCGGGGCCCCGATCCAGCACTAAAATGGTGGTATCGGTATGAGTGAGCACCAACAAATAGGGCACTGATAACATTTAGAGAGCCAGAAGTTTATTCAACTATTGTCACCCATTCCAGGTAGGAAGCAACTTGACAAAGCCATGATGGCAATTACTTTACATCCAAGTAGTATGCAGTCCACTTTTGCATGGCATCGACACTATAAGTTCAATCTATGCTCAAAGAGAGAGGTAGGTTCCAACCGGAGGGCTGCCAACAAGATGTGGCAGGCGCCGCCCAGAGTGTCCCAGTTGAAGCCAGGTCAGGCAAACTGTTCAGACGTGAACAGGCAGGCTCAGTGGATGAGAGGCAGGACAGGTCAGGATCAGGAAATCAGAAACACTAATTTATGCTAAAAACCCCTCTCACCACTGGCTAGAGAGAACCAGATGTGACCCTGATGACTGGATGACATGCAGCTTAAATAGAGGCAGGAACAGGTGGTCAGATGAGAGTTAATGTGAAATCAGGCAGAATTGGACAGCTGAATGAAATTAGTAATTAAGCCAGTCATCAATGTCAAGTTTGTGACAAGAAAGGGATGAAAAATACATCTTCCTCTTGTTGCATCTAAGGGCAGGACCGGCTGTATCTGGTTCAGTCAGCCTTTACTCCTGCTGTAGCAAGGCCCTTTCTCTATCCACTCTTCTAACCGCTTTATTCATCATGCTTCATACTCTGTTGGTTTTTCCTGCTGCCACCTGAACAGATGCTGCATGTCGAGTTGGGGGCAGTGGCGGCCTAGTGGTTAGGGCATTGTGCTTGGAATCCTGAGGTTCTGAGTTCGAGCCCCACTCCCACAGACTGTTACTCTGGGTCCCTGAGCAAGACCCTTAATCCCATACTGCTCCCAGGGTACCCCACAATGGCAACCCACTGCTCCCCAAGGGGATGGGTTAAATGCAGAGGTAAAGTTCTCCAATGTTAGATCAATAAAGTTCAATAATTATTATCATTCTTGGGGGAGCCAGGGAGATGAAAGAAAGGGCAACTTGCTGCAGGCCTGTCAAGACATGGATGACCAAAGAAGACATAGAGAACATCCATCAGAGAGGTAGCCATGAAGGTGTGTGGTAACTCCAGAGGACTTGCAGAGATCAGCAGCTCAGGTAGAAGAATTCAGCTCCCTCTGGAAAATCTCAAGGTGTTTAAAGCCCAGAAGATCCATATATTCCAACCATGGGGCTCTGGATCTTTACCAGGGACTCCTCCCTGTCTGACATGCCTTATATATAGTGCCTTTGCAAGAGCTCTTTTCGCAAAGTATCATGGGATTTGTTGTCACACCTGCCCGCTGTCGCATCCCAACAGTAGCGCCACATAACAAAGATGGCGCAGGCACCTTGTGGGGACGTGGAGTTATATGATGGGGGAAAAAAGTAGTGATCATCTGCCCGAACGGTCAGTTAACTGAGTTCACTATAAAGTTCACTATATAGTCCCCGCTCTATATAGTGATGGAGGGATTTAGGTTAAATTCAAAATAGACGATAAAAGTTATCACACCAGTATATTTATATATATGCCAACAACAAAAAACATTATAAAAACAAAACATAATTTCATGTACAGTTTTAATTTTTGTACATAAATCTTTCCCTTCTGAGGATTTGTGAAGGGAGACCTGTGTTTTGCATGGTCCACACCTTAAAACCTTACATTTTTTTTACCAGTTTAATAATGGGGAAGCTATTAGTCTGCTTTATATTTTTAATATATGAAAAATATTTTCTGAGAATGTGTTTAAGAGCAACTCTGCAAATTATCAAACATCTAGGAAAAGTAGACTATTTTCTGTTATTTTCCATGTGAATCCCAGATTGTTCATTCTTCTTTGCCTTTTCTAAAAAGTGCTTTAAATCAGTCCTAGCTGACTTTATCCATGCTGAGTCAGATCCTGACCTTTAAAAAAGGAGGCAGGAAAAGCAGGATAAAGCTTTACCCTCGCTGCAAGCAGTTAGCCTAGCCTGGTAGCTAAACCAGGTCCTGGATAAAGACAGAGTGAACCGTCTCCATCTGTCTTTGGAATGCTGATTAATTTTGGTGTTTGCTGATCAGGTCCAAATGATTTCACCTCCAGCTTCTCTTGGTAACTTTGCTTTAAAGGATTTCACTTCCGCAACTTGACCTGTCAATCACTGCATATGGACAACTTTTAATGAATGTCAATGGCAAAAGATTTTTGTGGAAGTACGTCACCAATCCGACGACTAACGAAACAGCTTTACTCTTTAAAGATTAAATATTTATCTTAAAAAAATGGATTTATTTCAAAATATTTTTATTTGTTTTTTTATGTCTTAATCAAGGTAATTTGGTAGGTGGGGCAGCAACGTGGGCCCCTCTTTTGACCACTGGGTTTCGGGGTTAGGGCGGATGTAACCCCGAAACGGCGGACACAGCCACTGTGTAATTTTTAGCCACAAGGGGCTCTAAATCTGTAAGTTTCAGGTTTAGCGCCACTAAAGGTCACTGGTAGTACTGCATTCTGTGTTCCGGTTCTGGTAGCGGACCTCTCTCTGGTATAGAACAAGAAACATTGAGCATATAGATTAAATCCTTTATCAGAGAACCAGAAACATGTCTGATCAGGTAAAGGTCAGATTCAAACCCAATGACAATGTTATCGTTTATCGCATTGATTTCTGGGACAATTCATCACCCAAGTGCTGCACATTGACCTGAGAATTCTATTCAGTTTATTTCTATAGCTCCAACTGACATGTCATCTCAGGTCACTTTCCAGTTCACTAGATCATCCAGTCAGATTGATTCAAAGTTTTCTATCTAAGGAAAACCAGCTGATTGCATCGACTCATTGACTCTTCAGCAATCCCTCACACTAAGCATGCTTGTAGCGACAGTGGAGAGGAAAAACTCCCTTTGAACAGGAAGAAACCTCCAGCAGAACCAGGCTCAGTGTGAGCGGCCATCTGCTGAGGCCGACTGGGGTTCAAGGAGACAGAAGCAGACATAGAAAAAGAAGCATAGATACAAAAGGCAACTGTCAACCAGCTCCACAGGCGGCCCCGTCCATATATTAGCTATATTAAAAATTAGACTTCATTTTGGCTCAAAGGTTACACAGTGTTGTTTCAACAGAAAATCTGTGAAAAAGATTAGAAAATAAATATTAAAGGCGTTCTCTAGTCAGTCTTTAGTGAAGAAGAATGGGTTAAATATCCATCTCTGGATATAAAGAGCTGCTAAAAAATACAGAAAAGTTTGGATAGTTTTCCCTTCATGCACCACTTAGATATTTAAAGACTTTAAACTTAATCTTAATTTAATGCTGAAAACACTTTTATTTGAACATGAAAAAAATCTCAAATGTGAAACAGTAAATATTCAAACGGAGTAGGACATTTCTATGCTCACAAAAACAGCTGCATGTCTCTATTGTGATCACGTTTAAAATCTGAGGAGCTGTAAGCAGCTTTGATGAAATCAGCTCAACCAATTAGTTTTCCAGCATCTTGACTGTTTTGAAATTGCTGCCAAACATCAGCAACATGCAGTTCTCCAGTTCTTCCCCGTTACAAGCTCTGTTGTTCTGATTTCAGTAGAAAGAAAGCTGGAAAGTTTTAGCAGCCCTTCCTCTGTGACGGTTTTCTTTGAGTCAGCCATATTTAAAATATTAAAATCTCTGATCAGTACCTTTTGTTCTGCAGCTTCTCTACAGCGAGGCGTCCCGTTCGCTCCAGCAGCAGTCAGTGATAAGCATGCAGGAGGTGCAGAAAGAGCTGGAAAAAGACTGACATAGGAGACACACACCCCTGCCATCTGCAAATACACATGCACATGAAAAACTCAGCGAAATGTAAACTTTCACTTGCAAGCACTTTCACACGGCATGTTCCCGTCTCCCCATCATTATGGAGGCCCGGTGGTCAGCAGTGTGGTTTGGGTCAGAGGCAAACCTCCAGTACCTTGGTTTGTTTTATTTCGCTGTGTGCAGACGGGTGTATGTGTTCTCCTTCAAACCTTTGGATGAAGTCAAGTCCTACATGTTTAACTCATGAGATCATATTTATGGAGCCTACCAGTCCGTTCTTGCGCTCCGTTGTTTGAGAAAACAAGAAGAAGTCGACAGAAAGATGGAAAAGGAGCAAATGATTATTATTTTATGTTAAAATTACAAACGGCAGCAAAGATTTCAGACAGTACAGGTGGGATTGCTTAAATTGCGCTGAGAGCAATGGAAATAGCAGACCTAAGGAGGATCAGGAGATATTCTTCTCTGTAGATGGAGCAGAGCAGCTGCTGAAGCTGGAGGAGCAAACATTCACTTCAAAACAACCAAAGGGATTCAGAAAAACAAAAAAACTACAACAGTCTGAAAAAGGAGAGCTGACATCTAACCCATCTGTCCTAGATTTGGTTTTAAGTTTTACATTTGAGTTTTTGTTTTATTCGAGTTATTTTTTATTGTATTTGAGTTCTTTGGTATTTCTTGTTTGCGCTCTTGTGTCATTCTCTTTTTCTCTAGCTCCCTTCTAGACTCCTCTGTCCACACCTGCTCCCAATCGGCTGATTAGCCTGCTCTTTGTTTCTCTCCCATATATACACCTCCTGCTCAGTCTGCTGGTTTGTCGTCATTTCTTTGCCCCCCTTGTCTGTATTCCTGGTTTTCAGTATTTTTTGATTTTTGCTTCTACCCTATATTTATTATAACTGCAAGTAACCACTTTTAGCTTCTGTGTCTGCATTTGGATCCTGTCAAACCTCCACCCAACTTGACACCACCGAGTTAAACCTGGTTAAAAAGATATTGAATAGACGATATGATTTATTTCCAAACCACAACTTCATTTTGTGGAAAAGTAAAGGGAAAGTGATTTTCATGACATTGACAAGATGTAGAAAACCCAGTTTTCTGCTTCTTTTCAACGTCTATAATTGGACTAAAGTGGGACAAAATCAGACTAACCAAACACAGCCTAAATTTCCACAACAATTTCAAGACTATGATGGACTAATCAGATTTAGCCTAAAAACTAACATCAAAAGACTTCTGGTGTTTTTGGGGGAGGGGTTCCCCAGGTAGGGGTTGGGACGCCAAAGGGTCGTAAGACAGCAAGTGAGGGGTCGTTGTTTTCACAATTATTTTGATGTGATTCCTGACGCATATGGAGCGCCGAAGGATAACATGCAATGGAAATAGTAAATCCCTTTATTGTCCCACAATGGTGGAAACTGTGGTGTTACAGCAGCAAAAGCAAGACTGGTAACACAAATATGGACTTTAAAAATGTATAAAAAAAAAACAGAATTTACACATAATAAATACATTTATCAAGAAATAAGCTGATGTAATATTCATTTATTTTTATTTAGTTTTTAGTTCTCTAAACATACACTGTTAAAAAAGTAAATGGCAATTGTTGTTCTAACACACAATTGTATTGTAATCCGACTCAGAAATATAAATTTGACATCTAACAAATAAATACACGTTTGCCCAACTCAAATTCTCAGAAGTTGGTTTAACAAGGAGTTTTAAATCGCCTATACAAGATTTTTTGAGTTCCCTCAACTGTAAACTCATGGGCATGCGCACTGCTTATGTTCATGGACACGCCCACTACGGTACGGGGTTTCCTATCCCTTTCTTCAAGGGCACAGCCTTTTTCCCTCGTGTTTGAGAAGATTGGCGGACATTGTGATTTTATGCATCTGGAGAACCACGGAGGAACGACCCTGGGACCTTACCAGTTTTCCCGGTGAGTGCTGCAAAGTACAGACAGTTAGCGGTTAGCTCCGTGAGTTAGCAAAGGAAAAGCAGCGCACGTGCACGTGTATAATGCGCGTGTGCGCGTGCGTGTTTATGCCGCGCATGTGCGGGTGAGTGTTTATGCATAGAGAAAAGAGTGCCTGTTATTTTCATTGTACAAATGAAAAGAGACATTAAGTTGAGTGTAATAACTTATTAAATTTCTAAATTGTTTTATGTAGTGCAGTGTTGTTGCACTCAGGCACAGAATATTACAAGACTACATTATTTTACTTTCTTAATCCGATGTGGGTATTTACTGTTATTTACATTATTTACATGTGGATTTTTTGCTTTCATGATTTTATTTGCTTTACAAGAAAAACAGTGACATTAACATTTTATATGTTAACCCTGTAATGCAGCAGTTAATTCGTAATGAGTTAGAAAAGTTACATTTTTTGGATACCCTGGATTCTGGATTCTCTCCTTAAATGGAGATGGCGAGCCAACCGTGTGAACATCTGGATTTGGATTGAAGAGGACTTTCTTTTTTTGCATTCATCGTCCTGTCGGAGTGGTAGGACTAAAAAGAAAAACTCAGAGATAAAAAGGGAAAACCTTTTTCTTTTTCCGTTGGGAAACAAGACATTTTATTTCATTTTATTTTTTTTAAAAGGGTGCACCCAATTTAAAGAGACTACAGTTGAAAAAAACAAACTGAAGGCCGTCCAAATTTGTAAAACTGTTATTTTTTCATATATGTTAATACACTTACTTCACAAAAAATTACCTGTGTGTTTTCCTCTTACTAAAATGGTGTCTTACTGTTTTTTCCCTCATCATCACTCTTACGAATCTAGAACATTCTGGTCCAGTGTCATGTTACTTTGATCTGTGCAGTTAAGATTATGTTGTTGAACATGGTTTTATACTGTATCTATGCAATGTTTGGCTTGAAGCAATAAAAATGTTGTATTAACATAATTTTTTGTGTGTTGAATGATTGGTAGTGAAGACGATTGGTAGGACTAAAAAAACTGAGTTGATAGAACTCAACTTGCAGATAACACTACAAAATCTGAGTTTGTAGAACTCAAAATCTATATGTCAAACTCATAAAACAAAGTTGATAGAACTCAGAACTTAAAGGTGAAACTCAAAAACCTAAGTTGGTAGAACTCAAAATTTCTATGTAACACTCCAAAAACCTAAGTTGGTAGAACTCAAAATTTCTATGTAACACTCCAAAAACCTAAGTTGGTAGAACTCAAAATTTCTATGTAACACTCCAAAAACCTAAGTTGGTAGAACTCAAAATTTCTATGTAACACTCCAAAAACCTAAGTTGGTAGAACTCAAAATTTCTATGTAACACTCCAAAAACCTAAGTTGGTAGAACTCAAAATTTCTATGTAACACTCCAAAAACCTAAGTTGGCAGAACTCAAAAATCTTTGTAAACTCAACCACAGTGAATTTAAGTAAGGAAAACTCAAAAAACCAAATGCATCACCTTGCCTAGAAAATGTAAGTTCTGTCAACCTCTATTTTTTTTTCAGTGTATTTCTTATATCATTATTTTTTTTATATTTCCATTAATAATTTCACTATTAAATTGTTTATTTCAAAGGAAAAGTCGCTCATATTCAGAATTCTAACTTCTGAAAGTTCTTTAAATCTGAAATGATTCCATCCTGTTCAATAAATGATCAGTGTTTTTAATTCAGAGTAATTTTCATGTGAATGTGCTTTACTGGAGGCATCCATGTTTGTCAAAGAACACTACTGCCACCTACTGGTTAGTGACGTCACGGTGCGGTATCGGCTGTTGATCAAGTCCCAGTGCTGTATCTGGTGTTTGTCACAACGCGCTTTTATCCATGTCATCTTGAAAACATTCTTCTTCACCCCCGCCGACAGCAAAACCGGCCATTATTAGAGTCCCGGCTGCTAATGGAATACAGGCCAATATTAGAGGATTTACGGTAATAAAGTTAACAGGTTACCAGGTTATGATAAGTTGGAAAATAAAACTGGATATGAAGTGATCTGGTGACTCTAAAATAGAAAATCTGCATTATCGTTCACATGGCTTCATATAGTCTAGTAGTTCCCATTGATTTTGCTTGTAAAATGGGGAGAATTTGTCTTTTTCTAAAAAGCACAGTAAATCCATCCCACCCGTCTTTATCCATGCTGGGTCCGATCCTGACGTTTGAAAAAGGACCCGTCGCCATAATCTCTACCTCTCTGCCTGAATGACTACTAGCTGCATCACCTATATCACTGCAGGGGGGGAAATTCCAGGAGCCCCATGGCCATTCATTTTGGTGATGCTGATTGGCCAAATATTTATAAATTTTCCCAAGCAACATTATACAATTAGTTATTTCTCTACACTCAAGGAGCACTTTGAATGAGCGCCAAGAAGAGAAATGATACATTCTGTTGGCTCTGTTGAATGAGAGTCAATTGGTAGAAGTGTTGTTTTAATAATTCATATTACATGTAGCCACTGTGGAAGCATATTTTTCCTCTGCCTATTTGTGAGATAAAATATTCTGAGTGAGCCTTTCCTCTGCCTAAATAGGGGTGATTGTCTTGTACCAGTCTGTATGCTGGAGTTAAGGTTGGGATGACAGAAGGAGTCGCCTCCCTACTCCAGACAAAGGTAAAGGGAAGGGAAGGTCATGAGAGATGATGAGTTCACACAGCGTCCTTCATGCCGTGAAAAAGAGACCTGTTCTGAGTGTTTATCTGGCTAAAATTTATGTCCTTGATGAATTGAAGTTTTTTTTTTCTTGGGAATAACCAAATGTTCAAGTTTGAGAAAGTTCTTTATGCATAGGGTGGGTTGGTTTTCCTGTGTGGTCTTGTTTTACCTACAATGTGAGGGAAGTATTTTATAAAATATCCTACATGCGAGGACTTACAGGTACATATGGGGACATTCAACTGGTCCCTAAATGGTAAAGTTCTGTTCTTTGAGTTGGGGTTAGGACTAAGGTGTGAATTCAGTTTAGGTTAGGATTAGGTACATCTTGGTAATAGTTAGGGTAAGGGTAATGGTCTAGGTTAGGCCATATAAAATGAATGCAAGTCAATGAAATGTCCCCATATGTCATGCAAACAAAGCTGTGTGTTTGTGTGTAAGTGTGTGCATGTGTGCGTGTGTGTTGGGAGTTTTGTAAGGTATAAATGTATGCACTAAGGTTGCCTCAGTCAGCACCTATCTCTCCGTCTGAGGATGTTAAATAAATCTGAACCTTATTTCTTCCAAGAAATGCCCCTGCCTCAGCTCCTTCATACCACATTAAGTAAAACTGACATTTTAAAATCTATATACATTATGACTTTTTCCCTCCACATCTAGGGAGGCTGTGTCCGAGCGCCCCCTATGGGCCAGCCGCCACAGTTTTCTTACAAAAATCTCAGTGTATTCTCATTATCAGTTCGTATGAAATCGTACGAAAAGTTTATGCACAGTATTTGATGTTTTTTTTGTCTTATTCTTACATCTTGCCTCGAGACAAGATATCCCTGCGCATGCGCATCTTACGCACCATTCAATAACATAGAATTTAACATACAATTAACCCTAACCCTAAGATACAAAACAGCAAGCAACCTAGTGAGAGACATCATGAAGTAATTATTGCACTGTCCGTCCCAGTTTTACGTCCGTCCGCGGATCTGCTTTTTTTTGTCTGTCTGCCTGCGCATGCGCACTGATATGGTTTTTCAAGGAAAAATGTCAAAACGTACGAAATACTGTGCATAACTTTTCGTACGATTTCATACGAACTTATAATGAGAATATGTTGAAAATCTATGGGCGTGACCTGGACTAACTTAACATTCCTGTAGTTGGTTTTGGTTTTAGGCCGTGGGGATCGGTGCTGCCTGACTTCGCTCCTGTTTCCCCTCTAACTGCAGAGTTCTCCATCAGCTCCCCATGTTGTTGAACCGACAAAAGAACTGGAACTGAAGTAACGACACAGCGCTATTTTATGGAAGGAGAGTCTCCCGAGGAGAGTGTGACCTTTGGGAGTGCAAAGATCACATTTGACTTTCTGTTGGCGTCGGCCATCTTCTGTCCTGTGGGACGTTGGAGGAGCAGTTTACCTGCAGTTGAGAGGAAGCAGCTGGATTAGCTCATCAGAAAGGGTGGCTCTGTCTGAGGATTCCCCCTGGACTCAGAGCAGGTGGTGGAAGACAGAAGGACTGTAAGAAAAATAACATCACTGTTAGACAACATGTCCCACCCCATCCATGAATTATTACAGAGCTGGAGAGCTCCTTCAGAGACAGACTACAGCTGCACCCTGTGGGTGCACAAACTAACACGTCCTCTATAGAATCTCTGAAGAAGATTCTGCATGAAATGAAGAAGAGAAACTAGAAATGTATGCATAGATTTCTGAATTTCTTAATCTAAGTCAAAAATATGAATGCATTTAGTATTTTGGTTCTTTGCTGTCAGCTCATGTAAACATGTAACATCAGAGCTGTCAATACTTCGTTACTTAAGTAGAAACTTTGTCTATCTGTACTTTACCAGAAGAAACATTTTTAGATAACTTTTTACTTGTACTCCTTACATTTTTATGCAATTATCTCTACTTTCTACTCCTTACGATTAAAAAATAGACTGATTTAGACTCAAATAGACTCATCTAAGCTAATTTTCATTATGGCCTGTTGATATTTAAAAAATTAAAACCCATAAAAATAATTAGTTTAATCCAGACAATTAATTTCTTTGTGTTTGGAGTCGGTGCTGCCCCCACTTGTTGTTCATCACATGCCAAAATAAATAGTTTTTCAAGATGATGAAAAGTTGAATTTGACACTGTTACCATTAGTTTTTATTAATAATTACCTAACCCCCTCAATAGCTGCACCTTAAGCAGAATGTTAAACACCAGCAAAGGGTCTTATTTAAATCGCCTCTCCAAGATCCTTCCTACCTACAACATCTGCAACGACTCTTTAAAAACGCCTATAGGTACAACAAGATTTGATCTTCCTCTGTGATCAATAAAGAAGTTTTGCATTAAATTAGGATTACATTCTGCACATCCTCAGTTCCTCATCTTTGCTGCCCCCAACAGGTCCAATAGGAGTTTACATATAAGCTACTGGTTGATTGCACACGGTTTCATCTATCAACAAATATTTGCACTGCTTCTAATTCACTTGCTTTGGGTCTTTCAGAAGTTAAAGTTCATAGCTAATTGTTTTTCACTCAGAAAAAAAATGCAATAATAATACATTTACTGAATGTTTATTGAAATATAGGTTTACATTTTACTAAAAAAAGTTATATGAATCAATATTTTGAGGGGTCCAAAATAGCAGGTGGAAATCAGATGAGAACGAGCATTACCAGATTCTAAAGTAATTCTGTGAGAGAGCTGAGAAATGTCGTCCTTGGTGTTGCGTTTCTCAGATTCGACTCAGAAAAGCAGAAAAGTAAAGGAGAACAAGCTTTAGTGGTGTTACTGACTTTAGGAAGCAAAGTGGCTCAGAAGCAACACAGAGGTTGCTTCTAATGACTATTTCCACTGACTTTTGTCAGGAGAGTTTGTTTCTACAATCCTTCTGATTCCAGTTTTTCCACATTTTTCTGTCAACTAGCTGCTGTTTTTCTGATCTCTTCTTTAAAACTTTAACATTAGGCCTACTCCTTTTTTTAACCAAATATGCATTTTATTATAGATAATGTTACAGTAATTTTCCTTTCTGAGGGTATATTTTTCTATGTTTCTGAACATTTTAACTTTACAGTTTTTAAATCTTTGCATCTTTTTATATATATTTTCTGTGTGTGAGTCTTGTGGTTTCTGTCTACTTGTTTCCAGTTACTTTCACAAGCAAATTTCCCCACTGTAGGAAAAAAAAGGTATTTCTGCACTGTTAAAAAAAAAATGTTCAGTTATTTTGTTATGTGTGATCAAAATGTAAGTAGTTACAGTTCATGTTTAATTAACTGTAATAACCAACAGTTAATAAAATATAATAAATGAATATATGTCACAGCTTTTATATATACAGTATGTATATATATATATATATATATATATATATATAATGGGAATATATGTCAGAGCTTTTATATATATATGTATAATGACAATTGATTAAAACTTGAACTTATAATGTATTAAAATCCTACTTAATAATTACAGATAACAGTTATTTACATACCAATGTAATATAACCACTATTTTCCTCTTTATCTTATAACGGCTTCTTATAAAAAACAACCAACATCCCATTGGTTGATGTGCAGTTGGGGGCTGAGCTGACAATATAAGTCTGTTATCTGATTGGCTGCTGCAGACGCCCGTTATTATCTTTTTCCGGTCTCCGTCGTTGCTAGGTAACAGCTCCTATGCATTCCTTCCCAGTCCTCTGAATCCAAGCTAGCACCGATGCTATGATAAACAGCTCCGCTTTAGGAGGAAAAGCGGGAAGTTTGATGAGTCTGAAGCTGTTTTCTGGAAGCCATGACAGCGATTAAAGATGGAGAACACACGGCGACCATCTACGGCCTGGTGAGAAGTTCGCTGCTTGGACAGAAATTAGCTTCTTGGTCAAACGGCTACATTAGCAGCGACGCAGCTGCTTCATTAAATTAGGAAAAAATAATAATGTGGAAAACAAAACTTAATTTCATTTTTTTCTAATTATGGCTCTCATTTCTGTAAATGTTCCATTAGATTTATATGATTATAATGATGATTGATACTTTAATTGTTTCTAAATGATTTTCTTTTCATTTTTTTGGCTTATTATTAAAACCTGTCGGTAGATATTACGTCACCCAGACCTCTCTGCTTGTTTTATTTGGTGTAGATTAGAGACTGCCAGTATGTGGAGGCTATCCAGCTTCTAAACGGCCAACTTCAGAAACACACCAAGGTGAGTCTGAGAAACTGCAAACTGTTAAAGTATAAATAAATACAAACTAATACTGAAGTATTTATATGTATTTTTAGGGGGTTCTCGGTTAATAAAGAGGATTAATCTCATTGTTTGTGAGACTTTAGAGTTAAGTTTAAGAGATTCTGGTCAAATATTACAGATCTTCCTGTTTCTCTCTGAATGCCTGCTAGAACTTATTCAGGATTTTAAGTCGTAGTAAAATCATATTTAAATATCAAATCATTCTGGCTTAAACATGTATATAAATGTTTATCAGACCTTATTGTCCCAAAATTTAGAAAATTTCTATTTAAAAAAAAGTCCTGTCTTAAAATCTGTCTTTTTTTTCGTTATCTTCTGCAGGCCAGTTAGTTTTACGTCAGCCTGAACACCTAAATTCAGCCAATCATATATCAACGGTCATCTGTCAATCACATAGCATCTTGATTCATATGTCGCAGCTAATATACGCAACGGTTAAAGTCAGAAACCAGATCATTTCTTTTCCCATTGAGTTCCGTCCTAGTGTTCACGGGGATGGACGTCTTTGTCTGTATGGTTAATACAACTATTCCTTATTTGTGCTCATTAATTATGTTTTTGATAAAAATCCTTTTGCTAAAATGTCATCATAACGCTGATAATATCAAGTGTGTCTGTGCCCCCCCCCCTTCAGTGTCCACCATCTTGGATCAGTCCATTTGCTGCACATGTTCAGAATGGTCCAAACAGACAGCAGCAAACCATTTGAAAACAAACCATGCAAAGAGCAGTGTTGCCAACTTAGCGCTTTAGTCGCTATATTTAGCCACTTTTCAGACCCCTCTAGCACTTTGATTTCTAAAAAGCTCCTAGCGCCAAATCTAGAGACTTTTTTCTGCTACTGGAGACTTTGGAGACAACATCTAAAAGCAGCGAACTCTGCTCTCCAGAGCGAGTAGATTGGTAACCCCGCCTCCTGCTCTCCTCTATCTTGTCTGCTGTCATGATTCATGCAGCTATTATTTCATCCAAATGAAAAATGGAGAACAGATAAGCAGATCATGGCTTGTCTACAGTGAAAAGAAGGACTGGGTTATTTACTTTGGCCTTTTTGGAAACACAGGAAGGAGCAATCAGCTAAGTGAGCTTAGTGCTTGGAAAAAATCTTTCATTCCTTTAGAGACAGCATGAAAAGTCAGCTGAGTACAAAACATAGAGAGGAAAACAAGAAGAAAAGGGACAAGAAGAGAGGGACACAACCTAGAACAGATAATGGATGTCTATTCTATTAACATTTCTACATCTGGAGAATGGGTCTGTTTTATGTGTTTTCTTCTCAATTCAGAGGGCCCTGTCTTGGCCCAGGCACCCAAATTTCCTAAATCCGCCCCTGTGAACACATACAGTCAAATAATGAGTTCTTGTTGCACTGTAGAGATTAATTTTGTATGGTTTTGTTTCTCTCTCAGTCCAGGGCGGCTCTGTCTCTGCTGGGTTTCTGCTATTATCACATCCAGGACTTCAGCAGCGCAGCAGAGTGCTATGAACAGCTCACCCAGCTGCACCCAGAGGTGGAGGAGTACAAGCTGTACTACGCCCAGTCCCTGTACAAAGCCGGGGCTTACCCTGAAGCCACCAAGGCCTCTTTTGTCCTGGACAACCCCAGCAGCCAATCCAAGGTACAACATGGGGCCCGTTTATGATGTTGGGCTCTAGAAAGGCTCTGAAATACTGAACTGCAGCTTAACTGTCAAGAGTTTGAATAAAAGAAGGGAAGGCAGAGTATTATGTCGCCTAAACATGAAAAGGTGGGAAATAAATACAAAAAATAAGATGCAACACTGCAAAAAAATGTAAATCTCAATAAGTTATTTTTTCTTAAATTAAGTGCATTTTTTCTTGAATTAAGGAGGTAACTGCAACACTTTGCCAATGGAATAAGACAATTTACATTTAAAATAATAAAAAAACTATTGCATTGTCTTATTTCAAGTGTATAATATCTAGTTATCTTATTCTAAGAGTTAAAATACTCATTCCATTGGCAAATCATCTTATTTACCTCCTCAAATTAAGGGTAAATACACTTACTTTTAGACTTTTTTACTCATTTTTAGATAATTTTTGCAGTAAACAAGGCAAAATAACACTAAATATTGGAGGTAGAACAGTAAACACAGCCTACAAAAATAATAAGCGGAAGATTCTAGACATCCACCATCTTTTTATCTGTAATAAAAAGTTCTCCAGAGGAAGGAAGGAAATAAACATTTTGTGTCAGAAATGTTCCCACATTTGAAATTTAGACTCTGAAAAACTATTTCCTGCATTTCTAGGTAGAAAGCAGCTATTTTTTTTTGTCTTTGTGATGATGAGCAACAAAAAAGATTCTGCTGCTTCAGAAGAGCTGCTGTTTGATGCTGTTGCAGAGTTTTGTTTGTCAGATCAATATGCTGTGTTCAATGTTTGGGGAAAAAATCGGGTTTTTTGAATTTCTGAGCAGCCTAATGTCAGTCATTGCTGATTAAGCTGAAAATCAGGTCATATGAAGCTAAGGCGGAAATTCAACTGAAGAAACTCTGATTACTTCCATTCAATCTGAGGCTGATCCGCCTCCGATGCAGCCAATCCGCTTCAAGCTACATCTCCTCGATGCCCAATGATCTTCCAGCACTCTCCTTAAAAGCCACTCCAAATCATCTCTCGGCTCCTATGTCGGACTTTGATTCAGACAACCCACCTCCATCCACTTCTCCACCATCGTAGTAAGCTCATCCAACTCCTCCTCAATGCTCCTTCAACCTCACCTCCAGTGTGTACTCCCTCCAGACTTTCATGGAGTTCCCTGTCACTTTAAACGGTCCGGCAGAAGACCGCCATGTTGAGCCTGGTTCTGCCAGAGATTTGTTCCCAAAGGGGAGTTTTTTCTCCACAGTCGCTTCATGCTTGCTCTTCATGGACAGTTTATGCAAACTTTGTTCATTCAGTGACATCTAACTCTAGCATCACCTTGCATACCAGCCTCTATGGATTAACCAGACTTCATCTATCTAAACTCCACCACCAGTTTCAGGCCCGGGGGAAATATCCTTATTCTCATACATCAGTTTATCTGCATTAAAGTATAAATCAGCGTTTATGTTTCCTGCCGAGGCCTGAGTGCCAAAGTTCAAACTATTGTATCAATAAACTCTTCTAATTGCATCTTCTCTCTCTGTGAGTTTTTCAGATTGAAATTAAATCCGCTGCTGATTTTTCAGTTTCTCACTTTTTTTTTGTTTTTTTTCAGAGGTTCTACAATGAACTGATGAATGAAAATGTACGTCTCTGACATGTTTTCTCTCTTTAACCAGTTCTTTCTCGATTTTTTTTTTTAAATCCAGATGGTGAAGCTGCAGGCTTGTATCAAATATTGTGAGGAAGACTATTCTGCAGCCAAGGTGAAGAGTTTTTACATTAAATCACAGTCAGTCCAGTACCGTTTCATCCGGCAGCTCAGCCTGACCCTGCATCTCTCTCTCTCTCTCTCTCTCTCTCTCTCTCTCTCTCTCTCTCTCTCTCTCTCTCTCTCTCTCTCTCTCTCTCTCAGTCGTTGTTGGAGCAGCTACCGAAGGAAGACCCAGACTACATCTACAACATGGGCTGTTTGCTCTACCAGGACGGCAAATATGAGGAGGCCTGCAAGAAGTTCATCACAGCCACGCAGCTGCTGGGATTCGTTCCAGGTGATGCTGGTTTTACTGGACACCGTGTCCAAAATCCAGAGATGTTAACCTGTTTGTTTGTTGTTTTTAACTCTGAGCTGGTTTTAGTTACTTTTCATTACTTCTCCAAACCTTCAGACTCTGTCCTTGGTTCCTAAACTTAACACTAGTCCCTCTTTGTTGACTCTGTGTGTTAGCTTTGTCCTACAACATCGCCCTGACCCACTACAGCATGAAGAACTACAATCAGGCCCTCAAATGCGTCACAGAGATCATCGAAAGAGGAATAAGGGAACATCCAGGTGGGAACAGGCTTTCGTCCGTCTTTACTTTACTATCCGTCCTTTATAAAGTGTGTTTTCATATGCATCCTCCTGTCTTACCAGAGCTGGACGTGGGGTTAAAAACGGAAGGCATCGACGATCACAGCGTGGGGAACAGTCTGGTCCTGCACCAGTCTGCCCTGATCGAAGCCTTCAACCTCAAAGCAGCCAGCAAGTATCAGCTGAAGAACGGTAACCATCCCAGTCCTGAGGTCATTCCTTTAAAAGGGCTGGCACCAGCTGCTGCCGATGACAGCTTCTGAACCAGCAAAGGTTCCCTTCTAATGCTGCATTTACACCAGCAGAGGCAGCAGAAGCAGCTAGTTTACGTGCAAAGTCAATGGTTGAAGCGCATCAAGGTGCAGCAAAAGGTCCTGCAGCGCGTTTTGAGCAGCAGGAGCGCCGACTCATGAGCTTCTGAGCATCAGAGAGTAATTAATAAAGAAGAAGCGTTGGAGACTAGATGATGCAGACAGATAGAAAGAGTTCATATTCAGTGTGAATGATCTGATCATTCTGCTTCATTCTATCTCTATTGTCCCACTCTGCAGAATTTGTTAGTTCAATCTCAATTCTAGATGTTGGAGCTTGGCCTGTTTTCCAGTGTAGTCCTGTTTCTCTGACTGTGACTAACTGGATGTGCTCTCTTCATCCTCTGACATGGGAGCTGGCTCGGAGCTCGTCTGCCTGGCTGTGTGTTTCCTGGACGGGGCCGCCTGTGGAGCTGGTTGACAGTTGCCTTTTGTATCTATGCTTCTTTTTCTATGTCTGCTTCTGTCTCCTTGAACCCCAGTGGGCCTCAGCAGATGGCCGCTGACACTGAGCCTGGTTCTGCTGGAGGTTTCTTCCTGTTCAAAGGGAGTTTTTCCTCTCCACTGTCGCTACAAGCATGCTTAGTGTGAGGGATTGCTGAAGAGTCAATGAGTCGATGCAATCAGCTGGTTTTCCTTAGATAGAAAACTTTGAATCAATCAGACTGGATGATCTGGTTGAACTGGAAAGTGACCTGAGATGACATGATGGGAATTGGAGCTATAGAAATAAACTGAATAGAATTGAAGGTTAAAGATCTTCTTTATGATCCTGGCGATCAGAGTCGATCATAGACACATCTCTATTAGAATCAAGAGGTTTTATCCTACAGGGAAACTTTCACAGAACCTTTAATGAATGTGATCAGAGAGCAGGTTGAGATCTGAAGCCTTAATCTCTCTGACAGGAGGAGCTGGGATGAGGAGAGCAGAACGCTCCTCTGATTGACGTCATAGTTTGCTTTTCCTTCCATGTTTCCATGTTGCCAAACTGTTGATCTTTTCCGTTAGTAAAGATTTAATTGTCTTAGACCGACGCAGCCTGAAACGCTCTGACATATTCTGTGTTCTTTTCTTCTCTCTACGGCTTCATGTGGATTCCTGCAGTGAAAGCAGCTCAGGAGGCTCTGACAGACATGCCCCCGAGAACAGAGGAGGTAACCGCCATCGCCGGAGTCCACATGGCTCCGTTCTGCACGCATAGGAGTGAAAGCTCACATGGATCCATCATCCTATCAGGCTGTTATTTAGATAAATGTTCTGCCACTATGACTATCTAATGCTGCCTCCTGGTGGCGGTATTGGATAAATACACCAACAAGCCTGAACCACTAATCGCCAGTTGGTAGTACAGGGTTGAAGTGAAGCCACCAGCCGCCATATTGGTACTCCCTAGTTAGACCGGTTGCAATGTAAACAATCTGTGCGCTACAGCATCGAACAACGATGATGTTTTCATTTTCAGGGGGACTTACGACTTTTAGAATAAACATAAAATCATCACTTTGACACAGACTGGCTGTTTCATAGCATCAGTAGATTACTTTAACTTATGATTTAAAAAATAAATAGACCCATCACATTTCATAGTCAATGAAGTCTGTAAATCATGTTCTATAACATATTATAAAAAAATCCATCACAATAAAATTAATGTTAATGGAGCCGAATAATACAGATGTGCCAAAAGTGCTAAATTGATGATGAACATGTAATATATACATGGATTAATTACATTTTATGGTAATTTCTTCTGATACACACAAACACAAACATGCACTATCCAGTTATATATGAAGAACTGTTCATATATACATATAAAACACATATATATAACTATACTATAGGATGCATCGGCTATAGATGGATTTATTGGTTAGGTCATCCATTGACTATGAAATTACCTGTGGAACGTCTTCCTGCAGACAGAAAACTGCTGGTTTTAGCAGCCAATGCTGCACAGGGAGGCAGTTTTACTGTATGTCTCTGTGGGAGTGGGGAGTACCAATATGGTAGATGATGGCTTCACTTTTTTCAGGCAATCAGCAATCCAGTGAATAAAGAGAGAACCGTTGCATAAACAGGTCAACAGTTTTATAAACCTTAACCTGTAGCAGGGGTAGAAATGGATCCATTAGGCTGCATGATGAGTTTTTAGTTTTTAATGCTCCCCAGCCTCCTATTTCCTGTCTGATTACAGAGAATAAATAAACCAGAGACACAATAAGTGATGTAACTGATTGAGACGTGCATGTTCTGCAGGAGCTGGACCCGGTGACTCTGCACAACCAGGCGCTGATGAACATGGACCTGAAGCCATCAGAGGGCTTTGAGAAGATGGCTTTTCTCATGCAGCAGCCATCTTTCCCACAAGTCACCTTTGGAAACCTGCTGCTGCTCTACTGCAAACACGAGGTACAGAGACCGTACTGATGACATCACCACATGCTACAAACACGAGGTACAGAGACCGTACTGATGACATCACCACATGCTGCAAACACGAGGTACAGAGACCGTACTGATGACATCACCACATGCTGCAAACACGAGGTACAGAGACCGTACTGATGACATCACCACATGCTGCAAACACGAGGTACAGAGACCGTACTGATGACATCACCACATGCTGCAGACACGAGGTACAGAGACCGTACTGATGACATCACCACATGCTGCAAACACGAGGTACAGAGAATGTACTGATGACATCACCACATGCTGCAGACACGAGGTACAGAGACCGTACTGATGACATCACCACATGCTGCAGACACGAGGTACAGAGACCGTACTGATGACATCACCACATGCTGCAAACACGAGGTACAGAGACCGTACTGATGACATCACCACATGCTGCAAACACGAGGTACAGAGACCGTATTGATGACATTACCACATACTGCAAACACGAGGTACAGAGACCGTACCGATGACATCACCACATACTGCAGACATGAGGTACAGAGACCGTACTGATGACATCACGACATACTGCAGACATGAGGTACAGAGACCGTACCGATGACATCACCACATACTGCAAACACCAGGTACAGAGACCGTACTGATGACATCACCACATACTGCAGACACGAGGTACAGAGACCGTATTGATGACATCACCACATACTGCAAACACGAGGTACAGAGACCGTACCGATGACATCACCACATACTGCAGACATGAGGTACAGAGACCGTACTGATGACATCACGACATACTGCAAACACGAGGTACAGAGACCGTACTGATGACATCACCACATGCTGCAAACACGAGGTACAGAGACCGTACTGATGACATCACCACATACTGCAGACACGAGGTACAGAGACCGTACTGATTACATCACCACATGCTGCAGACACGAGGTACAGAGACCTTACTGATGACATCACCACATGCTGCAGACACGAGATACAGAGACCGCACTGATGACATCACCACATGCTGCAGACATGAGGTACAGAGACTGTACTGATTACATCACCACATGCTGCAAACACGAGGTACAGAGACCGTACTGATGACATCACCACATACTGCAAACACCAGGTACAGAGACCGTACTGATGACATCACCACATGCTGCAAACACCAGGTACAGAGACAGTACTGATGACATCACCACATGCTGCAAACACCAGGTACAGAGACCGTACCGATGACATCACCACATACTGCAAACACGAAGTACAGAGACCGTACCGATGACATCACCACATACTGCAAACACCAGGTACAGAGACCGTACCGATGACATCACCACATACTGCAAACACCAGGTACAGTGACAGTACTGATGACATCACCACATGCTGCAAACACCAGGTACAGAGACCGTACTGATTACATCACCACATGCTGCAGACACCAGGTACAGAGACCGTACTGATGACATCACCACATGCTGCAGACACGAGGTACAGAGACCTTACTGATGACATCACCACATGCTGCAGACACGAGGTACAGAGACCGTACTGATGACATCACCACATGCTGCAGACATGAGGTACAGAGACCGTACTGATTACATCACCACATGCTGCAGACACGAGGTAAAGAGACCGTACTGATGACATCACCACATACTGCAAACACCAGGTACAGAGACAGTACTGATGACATCACCACATGCTGCAAACACCAGGTACAGAGACCGTACCGATGACATCACCAAATACTGCAAACACCAGGTACAGAGACAGTACTGATGACATCACCACATACTGCAAACACCAGGTACAGAGACCGTACTGATGACATCACCACATACTGCAAACACCAGGTACAGAGACCGTACCGATGACATCACCACATACTGCAAACACGAAGTACAGAGACCGTACCGATGACATCACCACATACTGCAAACACCAGGTACAGAGACCGTACTGACATCACCACATGCTGCAAACACGAGGTATAGACAGAGACTGTACTGATGACATCACCACATACTGCAAACACGAGGTACAGAGACCGTACCGATGACATCACCACATACTGCAAACACGAGGTACAGAGACCGTACCGATGACATCACCACATACTGCAGACATGAGGTACAGAGACCGTACCGATGACATCACCACATACTGCAAACACGAGGTACAGAGACCGTACTGATGACATCACCACATACTGCAAACATGAGGTACAGAGACCGTACTGATGACATCACGACATACTGCAGACATGAGGTACAGAGACCGTACTGATGACATCACCACATGCTGCAAACACGAGGTACAGAGACCGTACTGATGACATCACCACATGCTGCAGACACGAAGTACAGAGACTGTACCGATGACATCACCACATGCTGCAAACACGAGGTACAGAGACCGTACTGATGACATCACCACATGCTGCAAACACCAGGTACAGAGACCGTACCGATGACATCACCACATACTGCAGACACGAAGTACAGAGACCGTACCGATGACATCACCACATGCTGCAAACACGTGGTACAGAGACCGTACTGATGACATCACCACATGCTGCAAACACCAGGTACAGAGACCGTACCGATGACATCATCACATACTGCAGACACGAAGTACAGAGACCGTACTGATGACATCACCACATGCTGCAGACACGAGGTACAGAGCCGTACCGATGACATCACCACATGCTGCAAACACGAGGTACAGAGACCGTACCGATGACATCACCACATACTGCAAACACGAGGTACAGAGACCGTACTGATGACATCACCACATACTGCAAACACGAGGTACAGAGACCGTACCGATGACATCACCACATACTGCAAACACGAGGTACAGAGACCGTACCGATGACATCACCACATACTGCAAACACGAGGTACAGAGACCGTACCGATGACATCACCACATGCTGCAAACACGAGGTATAGACAGAGGCCGTACCGATGACATCACCACATACTGCAAACACCAGGTACAGAGACCGTACCGATGACATCACCACATACTGCAGACACGAAGTACAGAGACTGTACCGATGACATCACCACATGCTGCAAACACGAGGTACAGAGACTGTACCGATGACATCACCACATGCTGCAAACACCAGGTATAGACAGAGACCGTACCGATGACATCACCACATACTGCAAACACCAGGTACAGAGACCGTACTGATTACATCACCACATGCTGCAGACACCAGGTACAGAGACCGTACTGATGACATCACCACATGCTGCAAACACGAGGTACAGAGACCGTACTGATGACATCACCACATGCTGCAGACACGAGGTACAGAGACCTTACTGATGACATCACCACATGCTGCAGACACGAGGTACAGAGACCGTACTGATGACATCACCACATGCCGCAGACACGAGGCACAGAGACCGTACTGATGACATCAACACATGCTGCAAACACGAGGTACAGAGACCGTACTGATGACATCACCACATACTGCAAACACGAGGTACAGAGACCGTACTGATGACATCACCACATGCCGCAGACACGAGGTACAGAGACCGTACTGATGACATCACCACATACTGCAAACACGAGGTACAGAGACCGTACCGATGACATCACCACATGCCGCAGACACGAGGTACAGAGACCGTACTGATGACATCACCACATGCCGCAGACACGAGGTACAGAGACCGTACCGATGACATCACCACATACTGCAAACACGAGGTACAGAGACCGTACTGATGACATCACCACATGCCGCAGACACGAGGTACAGAGACCGTACCGATGACATCACCACATACTGCAAACACGGTACAGAGACCCCCCCCCAGGCTTCCTTCAGTTCATCAGACTTTGAATTTATCCCAGACACCGTAAGACTAAACAAACAATGCATTTATATAGATTAACAGTATATTAACTGTTTTTTTTTTCAACTAAAATATCAGAATATCATCAAAATAAAAAAGTTTGAGGTTATTTAGGTGTTAAAGTAAATGTGTATTCTATAGATTCATCCCATTCAGGCTGATGAGCTTCAAGCCTTTGGCCGTTTCTCAATTCACTAGAACGCGAGTACGGACTCGTCTTCTCGCCAAGTCTGTCCTTGACTAGAAAACAATGAAGTCTGGACTCATTCAAAGAAAATCTGGGGCCTCCTGTTATTCATTACAAACTAATGAGCGACATTAACACATTTCCAGCAATAGATATGATGAAAATAATCATTATGTGTCAAAAGACAACTTAAACAGTTTATTTAAATAACAGACCAGACAACTTAGGAGAGGAAACTCAGTAACTGACTATATTTCTTCAATTAACCAGTCAATAAAAAGAAAAATTTGTGGTCTCATGGACGCATAAACCCTTCTGAAAAGATTTGAAATTCCAAAGACAAAAACAATGATGCTGACGTCTGCTGACTGTTATCTATGAACTAAGGGTGATGATTGAACCGGAGAGAAAAGTGAGCTCTGATTGGTTGTTGCCTGGTAGCCAAGTTTCATTAGTTATTATATGATGGTGATGCGTTCAAAGTGTTTAGAGACAAAGATAAATGAAAACCGTATGAACTGTGTGTTTTCAGTCAAACACCAGAGCAAGACGAGCCTCTACAGAAGATCTTTCATATAAACACAATTATTTATCCCTGGAAAACCACCGCTGCCCAGGAAAGAAAAAAAAACTTAATTGTCTTAATTCAAGCAGTAATATCTAAGCCTGCAAATATACTGATTCCATGGGCAGATCATTTTAAGTCTGCCTAAAATAAATCCACTAAATTTAACTTGTTTTTAGATCAGTTCCTCTTCTGCAGTGACTTGACCTTTTCAGCTGCTGCTTGTTTGCCTTATGTTCATACTGTGAAACACTGGTTTAATTAAAGTGGGATTAACGGGATTATCTGCTTCACAGTACTTCGACATGGCGGCCGACGTCCTGGCAGAAAACGTTCATCTCACCTACAAGTTCCTCTCCCCGGTGAGCCCCCACCTCAGACGTCCACCTGCCTCCATATATGGAGCTAAATTAAGGCCATAAAGTCTGTTCAAAGCTTCTTTTTTTAACTGAAAACTAGTTTTGAAACGGGAAAGAAAAACTTTAAAACCATAAAGAAATTTTACTTTTAAGATTCCAGTGTTGTTTTGTTTTCCAGTTTGAAACTGCCGACCCAGTTTGGTTTCCAACACTTTCCAACTTCCAAGAGTTCAGGAATAAAATAGTTCATCCAGGGATCATGAATTCATTGTTCCAGACCCTGTATCATTTAAGCCCCGCCCCTATGCCAAGGGTGCAGCAGTTTGAAACCAAAAAAAAAAATCTGAAACTGAAAAAAGAAAAAAAAAATTTTTCAGTTTCAGATCTTTTCAAATTAAAATCTATTTTTAGTTTTCAAGTTTTTAGTTGTTGTTTTTTTATGTTCAGTCTCAGATCGTTTTTTCCAAGTTTCTAAAATGTTCCAAAAAAAGTGGGAAAAAAATATCAATTTCAGAAATTGAAAGAAAAAAAATATTTTTGAATTAAAAAATCTTCCTGGATGGGAAGCGAAACGTCTTCAAACTTAGAAGCAAGTTTTTTTTTTTTTTTTTTTTAGAATGGCTATAACCTGGATGACTGAGAATCTTCACCAGCATATTTCTTAAATAATTTTCCATCAATAAATGTCTTTTTCTTTGCTCTGACGTTGCTCCATATTCACATGTTCATGCTTCGGTTCCCTCTGCAGTACCAGTACGAGTTTCTGGACGCGTTGCTGACCAGCCAGGTGGCGCCAGAGGAGGTACAGCGTGTTTCGCATCCACTGAAAATAATCCATCATTCAGACGTGGGGGTCAGAAAGGAAACCATTTCCACTCTCTGCTCTGATTGTCTTACAGGCGTTCAGGAAGTTCGAGGAGATGAACGGAAAACTGACGGAACAGCTCCGCAAGCAGGCAAAGCAGGTGGTTGGTTGTTCCTCCGCCCAGTTTCAATCATCCAGTAGAATCCGGATTTAATTCAATCAGGATCTGATCATAGTTTACAGGCTGAATCCTGATCAGATTAACTATTTCATTAGTGTCGCTATGGTTACAGAAAACCTTCAGATATACCAGGGCTTTAACGGATGGACCAACATCCATTGGCTCATGATTATGAAGCAGAGCAAAAATAGCATCTGCAGAAATATTGTGTTTCCGTTCATAAACAGTCAACTCATTTGGACCGCAATCAGCAAAAACTACTTTTTTGAGCTTTTAAATTATTCCATAAAAGTAAAAAAAGTAAAAAAAAAACCCCTGGACTTTGGCCGTTTGGAAATTCACAAGAAATTCACTACGACCTGGATGACTGAGAATCTTCACCAGCATATTTTAAATGCATCTTTTAATAATTCCCAAAGATGGATTCATGTAACCTTAGATTGATAAAAAAAAAAAAAAAAAAGGTTTGAGAGTTTGAGATCAGACCTGATTGAAAAGAATCTCTTTTAAATCTAGAGATTTGGAAGTTAACAGATTTTTTTAAATTGATTCTCAGCTCTGGATTCAAAACTTGTCAAAGTTTTATGATTTTAGACCAAACCAAAAATTATTTTTCATCCTGTTTAGAGATTTACATACAAAGTAAGAGCAGATTCTGTTAAATTATTTATCTTTTCTAAGAAGATTGCTCTCAGAATAAATGCAATAATCTGCCAATGGAGTAAGACTAAAAAAATAAGTAAAAAATTTTAATGTATTCATTTTAGCAGCTAAATAAGATGATCTGCCAATGGAATGAGATTTTTTACTTTTAAAATAAGATATTTAGGTAATATGTACTTTAATAAAACAATGCAATAGATTTTTTTTTTCTTATCTGAAATGTAAATTGTCTTGTTCCTTTGGCAAATTGTCTAAAAATGCACTTATTTTAAGAAAAAATTATCTATTTAGACACTTTTTTGCAGGGTGGGTAAGATTTTTATTTTTTAAATCATGATGTATTTTCTCAAAGCTTGAAGTTGTTCTCTGTTGTTTAAAAAGGTGATTTTAAAGGCTTTTGAAAAAGCTTATTTCCCTCCAGTTAAAGCCTCAGTTAGCTTTTCTCTCTTTGATTTATCTTCATTCCTCTCAGCAAAATCTTCTCAAACTGAACCTGATTGGATGCAGATCATCTGTAAACGTAAAGTCTAGACAAACAGATCCGTCTCCAGATTTTCTAACAAGCAAAAAAACCTTAGTTAGGAAATAAACTATAAGGTTGTTTTAAAAAAAAGAATAATTTAATGTGAATTTCTTTCCTCGTTCAGCTTCAGGACCCCAGATATATTCGAGACGATGAGGTCAAGAGCAAAAGCGTGCAGGACTACGACCAGCTGCAGGAGAAGTGAGGAAACATGATCAGACGCTTCGCAGTCTGACACAAACACAGCAGCAGCGCGTGGACGATCGTCCCACCGACAGAAAAACGGCTGCTGGTTCTCATGCTTTGAACTGTCCTGCTCTCAGATACGTCGTGGTTCTCATGGCCCAGGCCAAGATCTACTGGAACCGGGAGAACTTCCAGATGGTGGAGAAGATTTTCCGCAAGTCGATGGAGTTCTGCAACGAGGACGAAACCTGGAAGCTGAACGTGGCTCACGTGCTCTTCATGCAGAACAAATACAAGGAGGCCGTCAACTTCTACGAGCCCATCGTCAAGAACCACTACGACTCGGTGAGTTTATGACCCAGAGGGAGGGAGGGGGAGCGATGGCGGTCTGCCTCTCTGTCCAGGTGCAGCAGTTTAACATTCAGGAATGTCTCTGCAAATGCAAACATTCAGTAAAATAAGAGCTGGCTGCTGTTTTTCTGCTGTGTTTCCCACTGGGAGTACGACCTCTCCCTGTTTGCTTTGGTGTTTCTCCTCCTTCTTTGCTTCGGTTCTACATAGACGACACATAGAAAGAACCAAATTCCCCGTAGAGCAAACATGAAATCCATTCACACTGTGCGTGAGTCAGGATTCAGATGAACATCGATGAGAACAAACCCAAAAACAGTGTCCTAACCATGAAGCACGGAGGCGGAAACATCAATCTCTGGGAAGAGAAATGCTCTGTACTGATGGAGGATGAATGGAGCCAAGTGTCCAGAGAGCTCAGCAAAATATGAGGGCGTAGAAGATGGGGCATGGCTCCATCTCTAGGTATTTCTGGTTCCCTTTGATTGGACCCCTACTGAGTGTTTCCTTCACTGTTTCTCAGTTCACGAGTACCGACTCGTCTCCTCTCCAAGTCTGTTCTTTAGGAGAACGCAGAAAAGTCTGAACTTAGAGAGAACAGGATGACGCAGCATAAATCTGGGTCATTGGAACAGCAGCGTACTGATGACATCACCACATTCAAAGCTAGTCTGGAGCTGCATTTCACCTCCTGTTAGTTAATAGTCTCTAAATAATAATAAATTATGACTTTATTTTATTTATTGGGGGAGTCAGATAAACACAAATCAAATGAACATTTTGCCAAATAAAACAAAAAAACCTCCATCAGAGCTAGCGGTACTTCGCACACAGCTATACAGAGAGAGGGCCGCTGCAGACGGGCTAACGCAAGCCCTGGCCGCTGCAGACGGGCTAACGTTATCCCTGGCCGCTGCAGACGGGCTAACGTTAGCCCTGGCCGCTGCAGACGGGCTAACGTTAGCCTTGGCCGCTGCAGACGGGCTAACGTTAGCCCTGGCCGCTGCAGACGGGCTAACGCTAGCCCTGACCGCTGCAGACGGGCTAACGTTAGCCTTGGCCGCTGCAGACGGGCTAACGTTAGCCCTGGCCGCTGCAGACGGGCTAACGCTAGCCCTGGCCGCTGCAGACGGGCTAACGTTAGCCCTGGCCGCTGCAGACGGGCTAACGCTAGCCCTGGCCGCTGCAGATGGGCAAACGTTAGCCCTGGCAGCTGCAGACGGGCTAACGCTAGCCCTGTCCGCTGCAGACGGGCAAACGTTAGCCCTGGCCGCTGCAGACAGGCTAACGCTAGCCCTGGCCGCTGCAGACGGGCTAACGTTAGCCCTGGCAGCTGCAGACGGGCTAACGTTAGCCCTGGCAGCTGCAGACGGGCTAACGTTAGCCCTGGCAGCTGCAGACGGGCTAACGCTAGCCCTGGCCGCTGCAGACGGGCTAACGTTAGCCCTGGCCGCTGCGGACGGGCTAACGCTAGCCCTGGCCGCTGCAGACGGGCTAACGTTAGCCCTGGCCGCTGCGGACGGGCTAACGCTAGCCCTGGCCGCTGCAGACGGGCAAACGTTAGCCCTGGCCGCTGCAGACGGGCTAACGCTAGCCCTGGCCGCTGCAGACGGGCAAACGTTAGCCCTGGCAGCTGCAGACGGGCTAACGCAAGCCCTGGCAGCTGCAGACGGGCAAACGTTAGCCCTGGCCGCTGCAGACGGGATAACGCAAGCCCTGGCAGCTGCAGACGGGCTAACGTTAGCCCTGGCCGCTGCAGATGGGCTAACGTTAGCCCTGGCCGCTGCAGACGGGCTAACGTTAGCCCTGGCCGCTGCAGACGGGCTAACGTTAGCCCTGGCCCTTCAGACGTGCTAATGTTAGCCCTGGCCGCTGCAGACGGGCTAACGTTAGCCCTGGCCCTTCAGACGTGCTAATGTTAGCCCTGGCCGCTGCAGACGGGCTAGCGAGTAGCCCTGGCTGCCACTGATGGTGATGATGATGATGATGATGTGTGTGTCCGTGTCCTTCTGTAGATCCTGAACGTGTGCGCCGTGGTTCTGGCCAACCTGTGCGTCTCCTACATCATGATGAGCCAAAACGAAGAGGTGACAAACCGTCAGAACTGATTGTTCTTCTTTCTAGATTCTCACCTTCATTAAATCTAATGATGGAGATCTGAGGATTCAGATTCAGATTCCTGACCTCATGTCCCAGAAAATCATGTTATGATCTTTAGGCGTTTGTCACCCGATCCGTTCCCGGAAGCGCAAACCAAATAAGTTCCGGGTAGGCAAATACTTTGTTTTTCTTACTTTTTTATTCTTTTGTCTTTTTTTTTGGGGGGGGGGGGGGGGGGGGTCCTTTTAGATATTTTTGTTAATAGTTAAAGGTTTTGTCTTTGAATATTGCATTTTCTAAAAACAAAAAAAGCAATACACCTAGATATCCTTTGGAACATTGCTGTGACTGCGCTGAACATGTCCGATGATGACATCACGCAATAGAATGGAGAGAATGTAAAACGCCTCCATTTCTTCCAGAAAAGTCTTCAATATTTTCAACAGGATGTAGTTTAGCATTCTTTAATGTTTTACACTGAACAAATGATTTAGAAATAAGTAAAAACCTCTTAAATTAAGTGTATTAACCCTTGATTTGAGTAGATAAATTAGATAGTTTGCCAATGGAATGAGTAATTTTACTCTTAAAATAAGATAATATATGCTGGAAATAAGACAATATAATTGTGTTTTCTTATTTTAATTGTAAATTTGTCTTGTTCCTTTGGCAAAATGTCTCTTTTACCTTTTTAATCCAAGAGCAAATGCAGTTATTTTAAGAAAAACGTCATTTTTCGGCGACCCGGATCTTTCGTGCTCCCAGGACGGATCGGATAGTGACACGCGCTCCTTTATCATTTTATCTGAGTGACAATGGGCTCCGTTTTGCAGCCGATCGCCTTTTCTGCTGGGGGGGGGGGGGTCTGCTGCAGCTGGAGCACACGCTCCTGGGTGATGGTGACCCAGAGTTCACCAGGGTGTCATAGAGGATGACGGGAGGAGGGGCGCCACCTGCCTTCTGCTGCCCAGCTTTGCACTTCCTGCAGAATGTTTACTTGTTCTTGATTGGACAGAAGGGACTCTTCTTGTTGTCCTTCTTGTCCTCAACTCTTCACCTCACAGTGTTTGTAGATTGTTCACCATTCATTCCTGAACGGGGGGGCCGCCAGGAATGAAAGACGTTGATATTACACACCCCAGAAAAAAAAGAGGCAAGCTTTAAAACTGGACAGAAGCGCATCATTTATATTTTCGATGCAATTTTTGCTGTAAAATTTGAATGAATGAAATTATCCTCAAACGAAAAAGTTTAATTCAATTCTATTCAGTTTATTTCTATAGCTCCAATTCACATCATGTCATCTCAGGTCACTTTCCAGTTCACCCGATCATCCAGTCAGATTGATTCAAAGTTTTCTATCTAAGGAAAACCAGCTGAATGCATCGACTCATTGACTCTTCAGCAATCCCTCACACTAAGCATGCTTGTAGCGACAGTGGAGAGGAAAAACTCCCTTTGAACAGGAAGAAACCTCCAGCAGAACCAGGCTCAGTGTGAGCGGCCATCTGCTTTGGCAATCAGCTGGTTTTCCTTAGACTGGATGATGCGGTGAACTGGAAAGTGACCTGAGATGATGTGAGTTGTTTTTTTCTGCTTTCTACAGGCTGAGGAGCTGATGAGGAAGATCGAGAAAGAGGAGGAGCAGCTCTCCTACGATGATCCAGACAAAAAGGTGTTCCACCTCTGTATCGTCAACCTGGTCATCGGGTCAGTGTGATCCCCGGGGTTAGGGACACCACTTTATGCTCCGACTTATAGAAAAACGCAGCGAGTTTATCTTTATCCTCTGGACTGTTTTTCAGGACGTTGTATTGTGTCAAAGGGAACTACGACTTCGGCATCTCTCGAGTCATAAAGAGCCTGGATCCGTATAATAAAAAGGTTTGTTATTTAATTCTTACATCAATCAGTTTCTTGATAGGATCAGCTAACATAACCGCAGGTAGAGGCAGCTTCAATATCTTAAACCCAGAGGCTCTTAGGAGCAAATTCCACCTGAAATTCCATATATTAATTAAAGCAAATACAGCTCCCAAACTATAAATTTGAAATACAGTTGTTGGTATTTATGTGACAAAAAGGCATTGAGGAATAATTTTCAGGTGGAATCACTATTTTAAAAATCAACGTCTGATTTATAGGCGATTAAACAAAGAATAAATGAAAAATATTTAGCCTAACCAATTTATTTCCTAAATAAACTCTGCAAAACACCATAAAGCCCATTTGAAACTCTGGATCCACCTTATAGATCCACATCTTGACTATCAGTCAAGCTAATCTGGACTGAATAAGTTGAAGCATGTTTGTTCCACAAAGGTTTTAGTGGGCAGAGTGCTGGGAGGAAATGAGATTTTTGCTCAATGCTAAAAGTACAAAAATGCATTTTTCCACTAATAAAAGGTAATCTGGTCAGATAAAATAATCTGATTTCCATTATTGGAGACCTTCAGCATGAGGAAAAGTCTTTGCTCCTCAGATTTAGTCGTTGATTCATAAAAATTTACCAATAAAATCACCAAACTGAATAGAAAATAAGAATAACAGAGCAGCTTATGTAACGCATGCCGGTTCCATCACCTGAAATGGTCGCACAATGACCTCTGACCCCTCCTTGGAAAGGTCTCAGCGTCTAGTTTCCAATGATGGTGGGCGGGGCTAAAAATTAATACCTGCTGCTGCATTACTCCCACAGAGTCACACATGTCAGGTGGAATTTTTAATCTAATTTTATTTGTTTAAACAGCTATAAAAAAATATTTTTTAAAAAATAACTTTGAAACCTTTTTTTATTAATTTTAAAGCCCCATTTGAAAGGCGTGTGGATGAAACACCATGTGACTGTGTTTTTGAGCCATTTCTATAAATAGATAAACATGAGCACGAGTCAGCTGGGCTTAATTAATACAATCCCTAAAATTAGATTATTCATTCTTATTTTTGGCGTTATTATTATTACTTATTATTATTAGTATTAAAATGAAGTATAAGGAAGTTTTCATCCAGAATTGTAGAAAAATGTTCCTTTAATAGAATAGAGCAGTAAAGCTTCTATCCTTCACAGTTTTTCCTGCATTACTTTTACTTTTATACTTTAAGCAGTTTTAAAGATGGAACTTTAACATTTTTACTGGTGTAAAAAGCTTAAGTTGATCTTCTACTTCTACTGGAGTAATACACAGAGATGGCAAAAGTACTCACTTTCCGTACTTGAGTAAAAGTACAGATACTTGTGTTAAAAAATACTCTGGTAAAAGTGGAAGTACTGATTAAACTTCTTTACTCAAGTAAAAGTAACAAAGTACAGGCTTGTAAATTTACTTAAAGTATAAAAGTAAAAGTAGAAACCACTTTTTTCATGCCGTTGCCTACATTTTAAATGGATGTCTGCCAATAGGACTAGATCTCCGTTGTGTTCATTTTCAATCATCTCGTCGTCCATGCTACTATGCTAACGCCACCGCCACCAAGCTGCAATGATTTGCCGCCAATGAATACCGCCGAATCTGTCGATTCATCTTGTAGTGGTGCGTCAAATGCAACGTAGATTCCCATCCAATTAGATTGAATTTGGTATTGATGACGTGAAAAATAATAACGGTAACTCCATTGAAATGATTCAAAACTAAAGTAACGAGCCAATTTTTTAAAATGTAAGGAGTAGAAAGTACAGATATTTGTGTAAAAATGTAAGGAGTAGAAGTAAAAAGTCGCCATAAAAATAAGTAGTAAAGTAAAAATATCAGAAAAATCTACTTGAGTACAGTAATGAAGTATTTGTACTTCGTTACTTCCCATCTCTGGTAATACACATTAGTACTTTTCGATGGAAAATACAATTTTATAGGATCTGAATAAAACTGACATCTTTGCAAAAATACAAGTATCACAATTTCACTAATTAACGTTGTTTTTCATTTGGCTTGTTTTCTAATGAGGAGTAATTTTAAAAATGCTACTTTTACATTTTTACTGGAGTAAAAAGTTGATGATCTAACTTCTACAGAAAGTGTTTTTCCACAGCAGGATTTATATTTCTACTGGAGTAATAAGCAGGAATACTTTTGACGCCTCTGACTTTAACAGAACGCTGAGTTTATTGGCGCTTGTCTGTGTTTTTATGCTCATGTCTAGCTGGGGACGGATACTTGGTTCTACGCCAAGCGTTGTTTCCTCTCCCTGCTGGAGAACATGTCCAAACACATGGTCATGCTGCGGGACGCCGTGGTGCAGGAGTGCATTCAGTTCCTGGAGCAGTGTGAGGGTGAGTCGCAGTTACACAACAGCCACAGACACACGGATGCAAATGGGAGGGGCTTAGGGGCCGTTTCCTCTTCGTCTCCCTGCAGCTTATGGGAAGGAGGTGCCGGCCATCATCGAGGAGCCTCTGGAGGAGACCCCCCTTCACATCGGCAGGAACACCGTCACGTTCGAGGCTCGGCTGCTCAAGGCTCTGTTCTACGAGGTGATCGGCTGGAACAAGTGAAGCCTTTTAGGGACTGACCGGAAACATCTGTGCAGCTGTGGATGAAGAACTCAGACTCCTTTAAAGCTTTTCATTTAGACAATAAATGTTTGAGCTGTGAAAAAAACAAGCTTTTATAAATAAATGGATATTTATGATAATAAAAGGTAAGTTTTGGTAAATTTGAATAAAATAAATATGTCAGAAAGTCACCTTGGAGGTTTTTATTGAAATCAGTTTCAGGTAAGAAGAGAATCTCTGACACAAAAACATCAAATTGAACATTTTCTGTCATTCGAAAAAAGCTGAAAAACAATCCACAAGACGTTTCGCTTCCAGGAAGCTTTTTTAATTCAAAATGGCGGGAATAGCGTAGAGCTAGAGGCTTTAGATCAGGAGTAACCAATTAAAAATCAGCAGGGTCCGAATAAAGAAAATCATCAACCAGTAAAGATCCAGAGACATTTTTAATTTAAATCTGTTACTTTTAACAGAATTTAACACTGAAATAAAATCAGGTGTTTATGCATCCATGTTATACATTTAATTTTTAAATAAAATTAAAAACAATAGAACTTTTTTCCATCCTCTTTTGTTGGGCTGCTGGATAAAACCTGGAACTAAACGCTATTTCTGACATTTTGAATTGAAAAATCTTCTTGGATGGAAGAGAAACGTCTTTGAACATAGAAACAAAATACATTGGATTGTTTTTACCTTTTTTTAGAATGACTCCAACCTGAATGACTCAGAATTTTCACCAACAACATTTTCTGTCAGTAAAACCAGAAACACGTCCTGCAGCTTTTCTCTTACAGCTAATCTAAAACAAAAGGCAGTAAATAAAACAGACCAATGGATGCATGCAGTATTTGGTAACAACATGGATTATTTCTCGCGTCAAAACTGACACAATTTAATATTTATCAGATAAGACATTATTTTAACTTCTGAATGAACTAAATGTAATCCCGTTTTATTTGGACAAAGACACAAACGTCGCAGCATTTTTAAAAAAATGAACAGAGATAAGTTCAGTTCAGGACAGCGGCCTCTTGGTGATGTCCTGCTCTGTCAGGTGAAAGTTCAGGTATCCTCCCAGAGCGCCGACCGCCACCGCCGTCATGTGGCTGGAGCAGCCGTCTGTAAACGACACAAAAACATCCGGTTGGATCATTAAATCATCCGCTATGAAGTTCAGCTCATTCTGGGACACAAAGCAGAGCTGAACCCAAACTTTTCTGTTTCAGGAAGCTAAAAGTTTTCAGCTGAAAGGTTGTTTAGGTTGGAGCTCAGATATCTCCATCAGTAGAAGGTGATTAAAGAGCAGTTAGAGGCAGTGTTGTGGTCAAGACCACCTAACCCGAGACCAAGACCAGCACCAGTATGTGACAATAAAATGTGAAACATTAATAAAATCACTAACATTGGTCTAAAAGACCCAAAATCACATAAAAACACCTAGATATTTAACACACAGAACTGGAATAAACATAAACATCTTTTAAAGGAATAGTACACCCAAAACATGATTAGCCTTCATTTTCTACTCACCCCCATGCTGAACAACACTCTGGAGTACTTTTTTGATATCTCAAATGCATCTGGAGATCTGGGAGGCTTCTTGCTGTCTGCTGACATTCAAATAATGGAGGTCCATGGCGCCCGAGGCAGAAAGGTCCATAAAAGTCCACAAAAAACGTTTCAATATTCCTCCATACTGCTCGTCCAATGTATTCCAAGTGTCCTGAGTGGGTAGCATCCAGAATTTACTCGAAATAAAGTCATTTAGAATGTTTTTAGAGCATAAACAGTAGTGTATAGGATTTCCTGAAAGCGCGTTCACGACGCTACAGAAACCGCGGCAGACCAACCCAGATGAAAGTGCGCATTCAGCTCGGCAAAGAACTCATGCTCTTCCTCAACACTGAAGTCCTCAAACATTTTTCTTTCGTTGTTTCTTTCTTTGCACAGGTAAACAGCACATTTCTTCTTCTATGCTTGCATTATCGGCAGAGCAGACGCTGAATGCGCACTTTCATCTGGTTTGGTCTGCCGCGGTTTCCGTAGACTCGTGAACGCGCTTTTAGGAAATCCTATACACTACTGTTTATGCTCTAAAAACATTCTAAATGACTTCGTTTCGAGTAAATTATGGACGCTACCCACTCAGGACACTTGGAATACATTGGACGAGCAGTATGGAGGAATATTGACACGTTTTTTGTGGACTTTTATGGACCTTTCTGCCTCGGTCACCATAGACCTCCATTATTTGAATGTCAGCAGACAGCAAGAAGCCTCCCAGATCTCCAGATGCATTTGAGATATCAAAAAAGTACTCCAGAGTGTTGTTCAGCATGGGGGTGAGTAGAAAATGAAGGCTAATCATGTTTTGGGTGTACTATTCCTTTAAGTAATAAGTTGGACGTAGTCCCTACCGTCTCTGATAGTGAAGCGCTGCAGAACTTACATTGCGCTGTATGCTTTTTACTCAATGTTGCTTTACAAATATATTCTTTGGGATTTAAATAGTCGAATTTTATAACCGATGATTTGGCCGACATCTTATCCCGTTCTTAGAAAACCATTTGTGACTTTCAATTGAAGTGCTGCAGGCCGCGCGCAGGTGAAAGGGGGTGGGCGGGACAGCGGTAAAAAAAAAAAACAATGAGACAGGTTATTGCTTGGACTGGAATCCAAGCATCCAATAAAAAGAAGGATCTTAAAGAAACCGATAATATTCTGATGATTAGAGTTATTTCCACAGTTGTGGTCTTGACCGGTCTTGAAATAAAATGCAGAGTCCTCAGCGCCCGAGACGAGACCGAGACCATCAAAAAATGGTCTCAAGACCAAGACCGATCTTGGGTACTACAACACTGGTTAGAGGTTTTATTTTCTCTGAGAAGATACATCTTCTCAAAATTTGCTTCGACATCCAATTTTAATATTTTCATCAAACACTAATTAAGATTCATGTGGATCATTTTCACACTGGAAAAAAATCAAAATCTACATAATTCATTTTTTTCTTAAAATAGGTGCATTTGTTCTTGGATTGAGGAGGTAAAAGAGACATTTTCAATAAGAAAACACAATTACATTGTCTTATTTCAAGTGCATCTTATCTAATTATCTTATTTTAAGAGTAAAAATACTAATTCCATTGGCAAACTATCTTATTTACCTACTAAAATTAAGGGTAAATACACTTAATTTAAGGAATCTTTACTTTATCTGCTCAGTTTATTTATCTGACTGATGTCAGCTTTTCTCAAACCCCAAATTCTTGGTGGGAAAAGAGAAAGTAGAACTACTCAGAGTATCTGCTAACTACTCAGGGTAGGACGGTTTCACCTGCAAGGCCACACAATTCTCCTGAGATAGAGGTGTTTGTAGAGCAGACATAAGTTCTTCCAGCCAGATTCTTTCTCATGTTTATTCATAACATGTTAGTTTAACCAAAGTGTCTAATTAGTTTTGACTCTGACTACTTTCCATTATTGTGAGTGAGGAGGAACAGACTCTGTCCAGGCAGAACGGTGCTGATTACTGTGCAATAAGGGCCGTATGATGAACTGGTCTCTCTTTGCAAAGATAAAATAAAGTTCTGACTGAGTGAAATCCATCGATCTCTGTTTATTTAACTGGGATGAATAGTTGAATACTTTTTTCTCACTACACAGACATTCTCCTTTGGTTTGAGTGTTTGTATAAACTGGAAAAAATCGAAATCTAGATAAGTAATTTTTTCTTAAAATAAGTGCATTAGTTCTTTAATTGAGGAGGTAAAAGAGACATTTTGCCAATGGAACAAGACAATTTACACTTAAAATAAGAAAACACAATAGCATCGTCATATATGACGAACTTCTCGACTCATTGACATTTAAACCTATGACAATAATCTCTTAACCACGTTAACGTCCAAAATGGAGGATATCAATGCGGAAACCGGCTGCAGTTACGCCATCATGTTATTTAGAGATGAAGGAAACTGACCTGGAAGTATCTTCTCCCTCCGTTTGACTCTCCTGTGAGGCTGAAGCTGCTCCAGCAGCTCATCTCCGATAATCTGCGAGATGAAGCTCTCTGGGAAAAGATGATAAAAACAGCAGCTCGTCAGAGAGACGCCTCAAAGCCACCGACAGATGTCGTTGGGTGATCAGGGGTATATAAGAGCTAAAAAAGGCATGTAAGCCCGGCGGGCCCGGTACAGGGCCCAACTGACACCAGCTGATGGCTGTTTATTTATAGAAATGGCTAAAAAAAAACCAGTCACATGGTGTTTCATCCACACACCTTCCAAATGGGACTTTAAAGTTTCTAAAACATTTTTCAAAATAATTTTTTCACAAATACGTTTTGTTTCATAGCTGTGTCAACAAATAAAATTAGATTTAAAATTCCACCTGACGTGCAACAGCAGGTATTCATTTTAAGCCCCACACCCATCCCCCCGCCCCACAATGGCCGCCATCATTGGAAACTAGAGGCTCTGTCGCTACCCAATCCATCCCAGAAGCATGATTCGTTCTGCGCATGCGCATCCAGATATACGTCCGGCTCGTCCTCGATTTTATTTTCTTTGTCTCTTCCCGACCTGCACCGGAAATGTGATCCTACGCTACTTCCGCTTGCTAACTTTTTCGGCTTTGGACTTAAACATGAATCTATTCTTTTTTAGTTTTATGTTTTCGTTTCGTTTTAACCTTATGCTATAAAGTGCGTAATCTAAAGAAAGAAAACATGGTTTATTCGTATTTTGCCAGTCTGATGATGACGTCAGTGAAGCAGTTTAACGAGGAAAATGTAAAAAGCATACAAATTGTCTCACAAAAGTCATAAAACATGATTTTACAGATGTGTATTACTATTCTTTAGTGAGTTAAGGATAGAAATAAGTAGTTTTAGTACCATAATAACATTATGTAAGGACACCCGGATGAATATCTCTTGGCGCATGCGCAGAACAGATCGTGCTTCCGGGACGGATCGGGTAGTGACAGGCTCAGACCTTTCCAAGGAGGGGTCAGAGGTCATTGTGAGACCATTTCAGGTGATGTAACCGGCTTGCGTTACATAAGCTTGCTCTGTTATTCCTATTTCTATTCAGTTTAGTGATTTTATTGGTAAATTTCAATGAAACAACGGCTAAATCTCAGGAGCAAAGGCTTATTTAACGCTTTTGTACCCATCTGGTTTACTTTAAATTAGAGTTAATCTGCAAAAGAGAGAAACAACCTGATGGATCTCATCATGCTTACATGTTTAGAGCTTCTTAGAAACTCCTGGGAAAAAACCAAGTACTCACTGTCCCTCCCGAAACAGCCGACTTCATCGTCTTGCAGCCTGAGAATGTGCTGCAGCCAGTCGGTTTTGTGGAAATCAGAGAATCCAGCTAATCCACAAATTAGGACTGCAAACAAAAAGAAGAGGAAGGAAGTTTTGACATTTCTTCAAAGCACTTTTTGCAACAGAGCCCTCATATCAGGAAAATATGCAGTCAAATAAAAACTCCTCATGATCTCGGTGAAGAGTTTTGTTTTTTAATCTATGAAGCAGTCCTTCAAAGCGAAGCATTCACTGGCTGTAATGTTGCGGTCATGAAGATGTTGGAGCAGGACTGGGAACAGACCCGTCATGCAGACGACATTCTTTGTGGTGCAACTCCAAAATGCACCATGTCCCTCCACCAGGGGCGGATATAGGAAATGTGGGACCCTAGTCAAAGACAAGCAGGGGCCCTCTGAATGGAGAAGACATAAAACAGACTCATTCTACCCATTCTCTCTAATCCTGCTCCGTTGTTCAGGCCTCTGGATAAATGCAGAGAAGAAATCAGCGAATGGATGAACAAAATGTTCCTCAGCTGATTTAAACTAACCATTATTCTACAAATCGATTAATCCGTCCATTATTTTTACGATAAATAATCTGACGGCTAAAGATTCCTTAAAGAAGATTTTTCACTAAATTAAACCGGGTAAATCTAAAACTTTTCCACTTGTGGAGTTCTGGATAGAGCGGATTGACATGAAATTTCTTTTTGCAAAATGTTTATAAATATTTTTACAATTTTGATATAATTATTGCTCTAAGTGGGTCACTCTGTCAACTAAATGTATTTTATAGAGTCTCTGTACTTCAGGTAATGATTAATCGATTACTAAATTAAATGATTAATTCACTAATTGATTAATCCCATTAATTGTTTCAGCCCTAATTTAAGCTAAAGTGAGTTTTAGGACCAATAGGAAGAGCATTTCAAAGTTAGCACCCAGCTTCAGCTGGAGAGAAGCAATCAGGCTCCATAATCTGGACTCAGATTATAATCAGCCTGAACCTTCAGAGGCTCATAAAGACAGGAACAAAGTGGACCTTCTATCACCTGAAGAACATCTAAAGGATTAAAGGTTGAAATGTTGAAAAACTATTTCCTGTTTCACTCGTCTTTAGGAGAATTGATCCCTGCAGCTGATCCAGAACGCTGCTGCCTGCGTCCTCACTAGAACTAAGAAACTGGAGAACATCAGCCCAGATTTGAAAATTCTGTGATTTATAAAATACTTTAATAAATCACTGAATGGCTGAGCTCCAAAATACATTATAGACTGGGCAGAGGAGAAGACAACACATAGAACAGCCCCGTTCTACAGATAGATGATTGTTAATAGAATAGACATCCATTATCTGTTCTAGGTTTTGTCCCTTTTCTTCTTGTTTTCCTCTCTATGTTTTGTACTCAGCTGACTTTTCATGCTGTCTCTAAAGGAATGAAAGATTTTTTCCAAGCACTAAGCTCACTTAGCTGATTGCTCCTTCCTGTGTTTCCAAAAAGGCCAAAGTAAATAACCCAGTCCTTCTTTTCACTGTAGAATGGGGGTTTCTGTCCACTGTGAGGGATGTGCAAAAAAATACTATGTTAAAATGTTCTTGTAACCATTAACCGTCTGTTGAGCTTCTGATGTTTGTGCGATTTTGCCTCTGCACTTGGAAAATAATGACGGCAAAGAAAGTACCGGTTTAAGAGCAAATATAGAAAGCGCATCATTGGGACAAAAAGGGAGGGAAGCTACTCACTGTTTTCAATGAAGATGTCAACCGTTTGTTCGGTTAAACTATTGGCGACGATGTCCTGGTTGGCCTTCATCATGTTGGAGCAGAAGATGTCTTGGTAGTTCTGTTCCGTCATGTTGGCTCTGGACGCTCGAGTGTCACCTTTCAGCAAGTTGTTACATCCTTTCTGCGATAACGACACGGATCGGTTACAACCTGAGGATCAGCGATGGAGGTTCGTAGTACTGAGATGGAAATGTAGGGGGCGCCGTTTGTGCAGCTAAGCCGTAAAAAATTAGGAGCAATATTTATGGTTATTTAGCGTGTTTTAGGAGAAAAATAAGGGGTTATTTTTTCCAAGTCATTTTTTTTTACTATGTCATTCATTCATTTATAAAAATCTTACTTTGTTATATAGATATTTAGTTTGGAACTAAATAAATATTTACTTTGCAAAATAAATATTTAGTTTCTTAAATAAATATTTAGTTTCTTAAATATGTATTAAGGTACAAACTAAATATTTATTTTGCAGCTTAATATTTTTTTTTTTTTACAAATTTAATATTTAATTTGCAAACTAAATATTTATTTTGTAGATAAAAATTTATTTAACAAACTAAATATTAAATTTGTAGCCTAATTTTTTTTTTAAACTTAATTTTTTTTTACAAACTTAATATTTATTTAACAAACTAAATATTTATTTTTTAGCTAAATATTTTTTTTAAACTTCTTTTTTTTTTTACAAACTTAATATTTATTTAACAAACTAAATATTTATTTTTTAGCTAAATATTTTTTTTTAAACTTCATTTTTTTTTACAAACTTAATATTAATTTAACAAACTAAATATTTAATTTGTAGCTTAATATTTGTTTTAACTTAAATTTTTTTTTACAAACTTAATATTTATTTAACAAACTAAATATTTATTTGCAGCTTAATATTTTTTTTTACAAATTTAATATTTAATTTGCAAACTAAATATTTATTTTGTAGCTAAATATTTATTTAACAAACTAAATATTAAATTTGTAGCCTAATATTTTTTTTAAACTTAATTTTTTTTTACAAACTAAATATTTATTTAACAAACGAAATATTTATTTTTTAGCTAAATATGTTTTTTTAAACTTATTTTTTTTTTTACAAACTTAATATTTATTTAACAAACTAAATATTTATTTGCAGCTTAATATTTTTTTTTACAAATTTAATATTTAATTTGCAAACTAAATATTTATTTTGTAGCTAAATATTTATTTAAATAACTAAATATTTAATTTGTAGCTTAATATTTTTTTTTACAAACTAAACATTTAATTTCCAAACTAAATATTATATAACAAAGTAAGATTTTTATAAATGAATGAATGACACGGTGAAAAAATAACCCTTATTTTTTTCTTAAAACACGCTAAATAAATATAAATATTGCTCCTAATTTTTGACTTTACAAATGGCGCCCCCTAGAAATGGAAGTTGTGTGTTTAACCAATCAGATGCTCCCTGTGGAGTTCCTCTATTGTTCCTCTACTGAAGTAAAATCTTCTATCCATGACAAAAATGAAACTAAAATGTATTTTTCAGTGAAAAGCAACGGCTTAAGATGATTTCTGCTTATTTATTAAAGTTTTTACCATTCGGCCAATCATAAAGTAGAGCAGCTGGTGGGACAGAGAGTAACATGGACAACCGAAACGAGTCATGGTGTCGCGGCAGGGTTTGGTGACGATGCAGGGCGTCCCGTTCATCTTCCTGTTCAACCAGAAACACATCAACCAAACAAAAGGGGGTGCTTTAAAACTGCAGCTAAAAATGCATCTGAATATTTCAGAGCAGAAACCTTCTGCTGTATCTAATCTCTTCTGGTCATACCAGGTCCCCAGCAGCAGAGTCAGGCACTTGTCGCTGAGCTGCTCATCATAGCACTCGGATGTCAGGGTGGACGGGTAAACCAGGCTGGGATCAGTGGTGCGCCACTCCTGAGGAATCGTCCAAAACGTCCAAGTCAGCAGAGGCTCGAACTCTGAAAAGAAAGAATGGGAACTTCTCTGAGTTCTGAGGATTCAGACGAATCTTAGTTCAGATTAATCCACTTTGCAAAGCAGATTTGATCCGATCGTTTTAAACATTAATGCGGTAGAAAAAAAAAAAAAAACAGAGGCCAAAAAAGCATCCCTGTGGAACACCATGGCTGTACTATAGGAACTATACAGTGAACTTTCTAGGGAACGCAGTTAACTGACCGTTCAGACAGATGATCACTGCTTTTTGCTCCGGTGGAGGAGAATCGCTGCTCCTCCTCCACCGCGCCGTGCCTGCGCCATCTTTGTTATTAGTCCCCGCTGTCGGGCAGCGTCCGCCTATGGCGATAGCAGGCCGCTGTGACAGCAAATCCCAGAATGCTTTGGGAGGAGAGCTCTATAGAGTTGGAACTATAGTGGACTTTATAGTGAACTTGGTTAACTGACCGTTCAGATAGATGATCACTGCTTTTGGTCACTAACTCCTCCTCCACTGCGCAATGGCTGGGCTCCCCACTAGGCCCCCTGCTGGGCTCCCAATGGGCCCCCTGTTGGGCTTCCCCACTGGGCCCCCTGCAGGGTCCCCGTGCTGGCCCCCCGGTTGGGCCCTCCAATGGGCCCCCTGCTGGGCTCCCAATGGGTCCCCTACTGGGCTCCTGACTGGGCTCCTCCGCTGGGCCCCCTGCTTGGATCCCCACTGGGCCCCCTGCTTGGATCCCCACTGGGCCCCCCGTTGGACCCCCTGCTGGGATCCCCACTGGGCCCCCTGCAGGGTCCCCGTGCTGGTGCCCCGGTTGGGCCCTCCAATGGGCCCCCTGCTGGGCTAACCCCCTGGGCCCCCTGGTAGATTCAGTGTAGAATCCCCACTGTGTGGAAGTTTCTCTGATTAATTCCATATTATTTATGTTTGAGATGGTAGGAAAGAGTTTTTTCAGGTTGTTCTCTGGCATCTATTGACTGTGGGGCCTCAAGCTACCGACGGTTCCTCTGGTTCTCTCTCCACTGCAGCACCGGAGCTCCGGTTCTAGGCCAGCCTGGACTGTCAGAGATCCGGTTCTGACAGAACTTCTGGGTCAAAGTTCATCTAACTCATCTGGAGGAGTATTTTTTTTGTCCCTCCCATTTCAAAGAGCGGCCATAGGGGCCTGAGTCAGACCTCAGATTTCTGATTAAACTCTCTTAGACACTGAAAGCAGGTTTAATCTAGACTCCACAGCTCTGCTTCCTCACCTCTGTAATATTTGGGGTCATTCAGCTTGAGAGCGGCGACCGCCTTCTCCAGGCTTTGATCGAGACGATTCAGCAGTGTGACGGCGGTGGTCCTCTGAGCCCAGCTGAGCGGGTCGGTGTGAGGCCAAGTCCGCACCGCCTCCTTCAGCTCAGCTTGGACACGGAAAAAAATCAAAAACATTTTTCTTCTTCAGACTTAAATCTTTTCTGCATCTTGATGTGTTTATTCTGAGAATATTTACTAGATGAATTCTTCCGTTATTTTATCTTTGTTTAGATATTCCCAGGCTTTCGGTAGTTCGCTTTAAATGTTTCAAGTCTAATTTCAAAATTAGAAAGAAAAGGTGAGAGAGCAAAGAAATCATTTTTTAAATGATAACATAATAAAAAAAAAGATTAAAGTAATGCAAACGCTCTGTGTGAAAAAGTAATGATAGACATTCAGCTACATTAGACCCAGACCATCACACCACCACCACCGTGCCTGAATGTTAAAGCAAAAGTTAAAAGCAAATATTTCATATAGAAATAAATAAGTAATACTATAAGGTTAAATTGTTATTTATTTTTATATTTTATTTTATAAAAAAATTTACAAATTTAATTTTTTTTTTGCATATATTTACATGTATTTGTCATTTTAGGGACTCTTTTTTTATTTAAATATTTCTCTAAACCATTTTCAATTGGCATCAGATAACTTTTTATTTATATAATTCAAGTATGTAATTAATACACTGGGACTTGATCAACAGCCGATACCGCACCGTGACGTCACAAACCAGTAGGTGGCAGTAGTGTTCTTTGACAAACATGGATGCCTCCAGTAAAGAACATTCACATGAAAATTACTCTGAATTAAAAACACTGATCATTTATTGAACATGATGGAATCATTTAATATTTAGAGGACTTTTAGAAGATTGAATTCTGAATATTTTCCCATATTTATAAGTTAATTATTGGCAAATGACTTTTCTACATAGGAGCAGGTTGGTTTGGATATCACATATAAAAAAAATAAAGTCTTAATTCAGAAACTGCATTTAATGATCCAGAACATTTAACTCTGAAAAAAATTATTCTATAAGAAAATAGAAGAAAAACTTTTAAATCCAATTAGTTCTTCATTACACCATCATCTAAATATGTCACATGGCAGAACCCAGCCAGTAGGAGGAAATATGAATTATTAATGCATATAGTATTACATCCATGATCTCCTCCTGCTCTGCCCAGAAAAAAACACTTTATAAGGATTTATTAAACAAAAATAAACCTTTTCTCTTATTGATTAAAGCTGGAGGTGTTATAGTGGAAACATAAATTACAGTTTTAAAGCATTTATTTATTTAAAACTGAATAAATCTGATAAGATGACATTTAAATAATCAAATATCTGAACTGTTGGTCTATTTTAAAATAAAGCTGAGAAGAAATGCTACAGAAGATTATTATTTAAATGTGATTAACTTATTTATTGCTTTATTCGCAAACAGTCTGACAAATCCGGGTTATAATCATTTAAATCTAGAAAGAAAACAAACAAGGTGTTTTTTTTTCTTCCTCTGGTTTAAAAACAACAGCAGCTCCGCGCATGTCCTGCAGCTGCTCCTGCAGACCGACCCTGCAGACCGATCCTGCAGACCTACCCTGCAGCATGACGAAGCCCACCGCCCCGTCCAGGTTGATGTGCTCATGCTGCCGCTCCAGGAAGGACACCCCGCGGGACAGGCTGCCCAGGATGTCATCGATCAGCTCGGCCTGAGCTGCGACCAGCGCCGCGGCAACCAGAGCCAGGACGGTCCGCATCTTCCTCTGCAGGGAGGGACAGAGAGACAGCAGGACAGATGGTCCGATGTCCTCTACCAGGGGGAGGGCCAGCTCTGACGTCACACGGACCATCAGATTATTAATATTCAATCCCCCTGATGGATAAATTAAAGCCAAACTTGTTTTTGTGTTACTGGATATGACGCAGAATCAGAGCCAGACTGATCTATTTTCATCAGTGGCGGTTCTACACCAAATGGTCAACGTGTTTCCATGGGGGGGCACAGAAAAGCAAAAAAACAAAAGCAGGGCAAATATTCAAATATATTAAGAGAGTTGCATGAAGTGAAATTTCCATTCAGTTAGGTTTAATTAAAATTATATGTAGTTATTTTTGGCTTGAAAATATTCATTTGGTACGACAGAGTATTAATTCAATTTTCAATTCTATTCAGTTTATTTCTATAGTTCCAATTTACATCATGTCATCTCAGGTCACTTTCCAGTTCACCAGATCATCCAGTCAGATTGATTCAAAGTTTTCTATCTAAGGAAAACCAGCTGATTGCATCGACTCATTGACTCTTCAGCAATCCCTCACACTAAGCATGCTTGTAGCGACAGTGGAGAGGAAAAACTCCCTTTGAACAGGAAGAAACCTCCAGCAGAACCAGGCTCAGTGTGAGCGGCCATCTGCTGAGGCCCACTGGGGTTCAAGGAGAGTTTTAGGGCCAAGCTAGAGATTTTTTCCTTCTATTTCGAGAATAAAGACATATAATTACAATAATAAAGTCGGAAAATTATGAGAACTAAGTCGTAACATTATGAGAATAAAGATGTAAAATTACAACGAATTACGACTCTCAAATTACTAATTAAATTTAAATTTAAGCATTGTGCTGGTGAAGATTCTCAGTCATCCAGGTCAGTCATTCAAAAGAAAAAAAAAAAAAACACTGGACTTTGTTTCCAAGTTTGAAGAAGTTTCTCTTCTATCCAGGAAGATTTTTCAATTCAAAATGTCAGAAATAGCGTTTAGTTCCAGGTTTTATCCAGCAGCCCAACAAAGCCTGGTTTTAGTTTAGAAAACATTCAAATTAAAACGGACGATTGGAATGGGGGTCGTTTGGCTTCTTTGTTAGTCTGCAATGCCCCATACCTGGTACCAGCAGAGGGAGATCACAGGGGAGAACCACAGGCTGTAATAACAAAGGAAACAACAGCAAAACGAGATCACATGCTGACGGGTTCAACAACATGGTCAAACAACATAAAGTGAAGAATAATGCAATGCACGTTATCCCTCATGTAGACACGATACATATGCTCACAGCATTTAGACACAACATATGAATCTGACATATAGACTTTAAACCACTACATATACAGCTTCCATTACATAAGCACGATACATGCACACCTTACATAGACACATGGACACACCAGAAGACACGTAAACATATTTTTGGCACTAACGGAACCCCATAAGAAAGTGCTTTTTGTAAGAGTTGTCATAAAATACAGCTTGTTTCTGGTATATTAGGACTTTATTCTCGTAATTTAACGACTTTATTCTCTTAACTTTGTGACTATGCTCATAAATTTATGAATTTATTCTCGTAGTGCTACATCTTGTAGTAATTTTAGGACTATTCTCGGTGCGACTTTATTCTCATAAATTTACGTCTTTATTCTCGTAAAAGAAAAAATAAATCCCAAGCTTGGCCCTTATACTCCATCATAAGTTAGAGCCTCAACTGTTTCAAGGATTTTAACATCAAATTAATTATAGATAAAAATGAAACTAACATGTCGTTTTTAACTAGACACGCCAAAATATTTAATTTTTTTCTAATTCTATTTATAAAGTAAATGGAAATTAATGGGTTATTTTTTGTCTGTAGGGTAAAAACTTGTGGAGTTTTTCTGTTTTCTTTGAGTTTAAGAACTTTTATTTTGCATTTTTAATCGCTGCGGTCCCTTTAAATCTGAGGCTCCGCCCCCAACAAACAAACATGGCGACGTGCGGTTCCACCGTGGCGCTCCTCGCAGGATTTGCTGTATTTCTTGCGGTTGTAGCCTGGTGTTTCGCGGCATCCTCCGGTGCGAGCTGTCCGGGTGTTTGTCTGGCAGCTGCTGCCGGGCTCCTGTCCATGTTTCTGCGGAGGCTGCGGCTCCGGGACGCCGCCTCGGAGCGGCGGGTCTGCGTCCTGGTGCTGGGGGACATCGGACGCAGTCCTCGGATGCAGTATCACGCTTTGTCGCTCAGCAAACACGGATACCAGGTCACCTTTGTGGGGTTTTTAGGTGAGAAAACGGCTCCCTGAAAACAAACCTCCATTATCTGGAGTTATTCTTAGAACAAAGAAGAAAATAAACTAAAAACTCAACAATAGAATCAATAAAACCTAAAAACCTGACATGTTTCTATAGATGCCCTTAAAGGGGGAAATATTTCTGCTGTTGAACCGATTTTAAACCATCGCGATACTTAAATTTCAAACAAGGTGTCGATGCCCAGGAATGTATTTAATAATGGTTACCATGGAGATAAAAAAGTTTAATTAAAGGCATGTAAAATCACTTTACTGACATGAAAACTGGAATATTTCTCAGATCGGTCACAGAAAAGTGAGATAATTAATGCTAAATCAAAATAATATTCTATTCTATATTATTTATTTCTATAGCTCCAATTCACATCATGTCATCAGTTCACCAGATCATCCAGTCAGATTGATTCAAAGTTTTCTATCTAAGGAAAACCAGCTGATTGCATCGACTCATTGACTCTTCAGCAATCCCTCACACTAAGCATGCTTGTAGCGACAGTGGAGAGGAAAAACTCCCTTTGAACAGGAAGAAACCTCCAGCAGAACCAGGCTCAGTGTGAGCGGCCATCTGCTGAGGCCCACTGGGGTTCAAGTAGACAGAAGCAGACATAGAAAAAGAAGCATAGATACAAAAGGCAACTGTCAACCAGCTCCACAGGCGGCCCCGCCCAGGAAACACGCAGCCAGGCAGACGAGCTCCGAGCCAGCTCCCATGTCAGAGGATGAAGAGAGCACATCCAGTTAGTCACAGTCAGAGAAACAGGAATACACTGGAAAACAGGCCAAGCTCCAACATCTAGAAACAAAGGTGTTGATGGCAGCAGCACAGCTGATATTTCTCTCCAGGATGGAGTCACAGCCAAACAGGAACAGACCAGATGAAGCTACTATGAGAAAAAGCAGAGAGAGCAGAACGTTAGAGATTGAACTAATAGATTCTGCAGAGTGGGAGAATATAGATAGAATGGAGCAGAATGATGAATAAGGGGTCCCTATGTCCTCCAGCAATCTAAGCCTATAGCAGCAGAACTATACAGATAGCTCAGGATAACCTGAGCCACTCTAACTAGAAGCTTTATCAAAAAGGAAAGTTTTAAGCCTTAATATCAGTCCTGATATGAAAGAAAATTCTGATTCAGATATCTGTAAAGATCAGCCTGACTCATAAAGGCAGATCTAGTTAATTTTTTTTCGTCTGCTGTTAGCCTAAATAACATCCTGGAGCAGAATTATGTCAAAATAGTTTAAAAATATACAAATATTTTACATTTTAGATCAAGCAACCTTTTTTTTTCTGTGAATATTCTTAGTCCACAACTCCTCAAGAGACCAGGCTTTAAATTTTGCATCTAATCGTCTTAAAGAGAATTTTTTTTGTCTGATTAATCTTAAAAAAAAAAAAAGCTTGATTAATCAATTAGCAAATTAATGGTTATTTACAGCTTAACAAACTCTTGTTTTCTGTATGGATTCAGTGATTTTTCTGGATTAAGTATTTGAGCATTAATACTTTGCAGAGTAAGGATATTTCTGACGAGCTCAGTCCTGATCCAACTTCTTATTTCTGATATCAAACTGATGTTTCAGCTTAGAGTGTCGTAGATTATTCTAGATTATTTCTCCTGCAGCATCAGGTTTGGGTCTGTGGGCTGTTAACTCGGCCAGAAACCAGAACTTAAAGACCCTTTTAATCCCAGAATTTGGTCGATTTTGTCCCAACATGAAACATCTGAGAAACCCTTTAGCGGAAGGAGAGCAGATCAGGAGCAGCTCTGTTGGTCAGGAGATGAACCAAGATGGCCGACGGCGGTACGGCTGTCTAAGAGCGTCTCTGAATGTTTTCCAGACTCCAAGCCTCATCAGGACGTGCTGAGCGAGGAGAAGATCCGGATAGTTCCCATCTCGGAGGTGAAAGGCGTTCGAGGTAAACGGATCTCCGTTCGCTTTTTCCTGCAGAATCGGCACCAAAACGTCTGACGGTAAAACCTGCTGCTTTTCCAGCGGGACCCAGACTGCTGACGTACCTGACCAAGACGCTGCTCCAGTCGCTGCAGCTTCTCTGGGTTCTTCTGTCCCTGGAGCCGCAGGCTCACATCCTGATGCAGGTCCGTTCGCTCCTCTTTTCTCCTCTATGGAGTCTCTGTTTTCAGTCGCTGTAGCTTTTCTCACCAGTTGATGAATCCACTCTCTGCTCCCAGAATCCTCCGGGGCTGCCTGGGATCGCCGTGGCGTGGCTGGTGTGCGTCCTGCGCGGCAGCGAGCTCATCATCGACTGGCACAACTACGGCTACACCATCATGGCTCTGAGCCTCGGTGCGTCGCATCCCCTGGTCCGACTCGCCAAGTGGTCCGTCCCATCGACACGACTTTTCTGTTTACTTCCTGTTTCTGCTGGGATTACTGGTTTGGTGGAAACTGGCTCATTGGAAAACTGGGAGATTAAAGTGATTCTTGAACTTTTAGTTCAACTCAGGCAGAATGAAGCTGATTTCTAAGTCATCTTTATTTCCTCCTGCAGTTCAGACTCTTAATAATCATTCTGGCTTAAACATGTACATAAATGTTCTCTTTCAGACGACATTGTCCGAAAAGTTAGAACATTTCTATTTAAAAAATAATCCTGTCTTAAAATCTGTGTTTTTTCTCGTTATCTTCTGCAGGCCAGTTAGTTCTACGTCAGCCTGAACACCTAAATTCGGCCAATCATAGATCAACGCTCATCTGTCAATCAAATATTTTCAGCCATAGCATCTTGATTCTTATGTCGCAGCTAAAATACGCAACGGTTGAAATCAGAATAATTTCCTTTCCCATTGAGTTGCGTCCCAGTGTTCCCAGGGATGGACGTCTGTGTCTGTGTCTTCAGCAGGCGTAGAGCTAACAGAACGGGCAGCGTTGCGAGGCAAGAGCTCAAACATGTACGGCTGGAAGCCTTCTACACCAAACCAAGCTTCTGCCGCCCTGGCGTCCTCTTCCACAACATCTTCGTCCCCGCTTTCCTCCTTTAAATAAAACATGGATGACGGAGGAGACTCATCCACGACCTCCGACACTAGACTCTCCTCCTCTTGCATGTTTCCGCTGTCCATAGCGTTCCTTGACAGCGTCGTTTCTAAGTCACAAATTTAGTGCTACTTGGTCCCAATGGAATTTCCCATTGGGAACCTGCTAGCACTAAGGTGCTAACTGGTTAGCAACATGCTTCCCACAAACCGGCCACAACCAAACTAGCTTGCGAACCTTCCCCCACAACAATCCCGCCCCCTTGATAATTGACCAATCACATTCACTTTATTCACTGTCGTAAAGTCGTGCACCACTCGGGAGAATTCGGAAAGGCAACGGTTGGAACAGCCGCTTCCCTACGACTTTGAAGGAAAAGTCCCGTCAGCAAGGAATAGTTAATGCTTTAATGAATTTAGTGTTAATCAGTAAAATAATAATAATTTTCATCGTGATCCCTGGGTCTTGGAGCTGCCATTTCTGCTCACATATAGTAGCCCCTCCCTCCTGCCATCTTCCAGCAGTGACGTCACGGTGCGGTAAGCCTAGCGCCATTCTCCCCGCTTTCCAAGCTAAATCAATGGGAACTACTAGACACATCTGCAATCAACAACAATTATTGAAGATTTCCAGAGGACTTCACCATTGAAATTCACCAGAGCTATAGTGAAACTGACAATGCCCACGTGCATGGCAGCTGGATGCTGGAATACATCGGGTAAAAGTGAAAAAAAGAGTTATTCCACCTTTCTGATTCCTGATCCTCCACGGACGGGTTGGTCGTTGGATCGCCAACTTGAAGAGGGAGGATTTGCCATCGAACTTCTGGCCAGAGAAAAAACCCGTAATATGTAGCCAACATTTGGAAGAAGAATGTTTTCAAGATGACTTGGATAATAGCGCGTTGTGACAAACACCAGATACAGCACTGGGACTTGATCAACAGCCGATACCGCACCGTGACGTCACAAACCAGTAGGTGGCAGTAGTGTTCTTTGACAAACATGGATGCCTCCAGTAAAGCACATTCACATGAAAATTACTCTGAATTAAAAACACTGATCATTTATTGAACAGGATGGAATCATTTCAGATTTAAAGAACTTTCAGAAGTTTGAATTCTGAATATGAGCGACTTTTCCTTCAAACTCTGTATTTTTTTGACCCAGTTTATCGGCTTAATCTGAAATTAGATGATTTTCTGTTCAATATTTAGCATCTTTATTTGAAACTATTTTTCCCTTCCCAGCCTTTTGTTTTATTAAATTGTTTTCGTTGTTCTTCAGGTACGAACACCTTTTTGGACCTCTGGCCTCCCATAGTCTGTGTGTGACCGACGCCATGAAGGATGACCTGCAGAAAAACTGGGGCATCAAGTAAGATCCTGCTTTTAACAAACTGCAGCAGCTTCAAAAGAGGAAACCTGAATCCTGTCTAAATGAACAGTTTATGTCTGAACAAGCAATAAATCCTCCTAAACGTTGGAAGAACCTGTCCATGATGAGCAAGCATGAAGGTGTCCTGTCGGATCAGCCTACCCATAGTCAATACGCATGTGCAAGATGTCAGCTCTGTGTTTATCCTTTGAGTTTTGTACGAAAAATCCACTTTAAACTACTTTGGTTAACAGGCTCTAACCAGAGTAGAAAAAGAAGTGGGAGGCCGAGTTGCACAACTGAGCAAGAAGATAAGTACATTAGAGTCTCTAGTTTGAGAAACAGACGCCTCACAGGTCCCCAACTGGCATCTTCATTAAATAGTACCCACAGTAGCAGTTTGTGCTGTCGTCTGAAGGGAGTAGTACACACCGTTGTTGGAAAACTTCAATTTCTTAGCAATTTCTCGCATGGAATAGCCTTCATTTCTAAGAACAAGAATAGACTGTCGAGTTTCCGACGAAAGTTCTCTTTTTCTGGCCATTTTGAGCGTTTAATTGACCCCACAAATGATGCTCCAGAAACTCAATCTGCTCAAAGGATGGTCAGTTTTATAGCTTCTGTAACGAGCTAAACTGTTTCCAGATGTGTGAACATGATTGTACAAGGGTTTTCTAATCATCAATTAGCCTTCTGAGCCAATGAGCAAACACATTGTACCGTTAGAACACTGGAGTGATAGTTGCTGGAAATGGGCCTCTATACACCTATGTAGATATTGCACCAAAAACCAGACATTTGCAGCTAGAACAGTCATTTCCCACATTAGCAATTTATAGAGTGCATTTCTTTAAAGTTAAGACTAGTTAACTTCATTGAAAAGTACAGAGCTTTTCCTTCAAAAATAAGGACATTTCAATGTGACCCCAAACTTTAGAACAGTAGTGTACATAACTTAAGGGATACACATCCGTTGAGGTAATTTAAAGTTTATTTTTCATACAAAACTAAAGGGATAAACGGGTATTGGCTATGGGTATGCTGGTCTGACAGGGTATGCTGGTCTGACAGGGTATGCTGGTCTGACAGAACAGCGGCCTCCCAATGTTCACACTTTGTCGGCCATTTATAACGTCTGTCGACACAAAGGGAAGCATCCTGATGTTCTGCAGCCTTTGCAGAACATCCGGACTCTCAGCTTTCTGTAAAAACCTTTAGGAGGATTTTAGCCTTTCTAGAGGAGCCCGTCTATGGAGGGAGTTTCGTTCCATTATTGTATTAAAAAAATGCAGAAATCAAAGTCGTAGGGAAATCATATTTAAATGTCAAATCATTTAAAAAGTGTCCCAGCGTTACCACGCACCTCGCTCTTCTAGCCGGTCCATCTTCACCCGTCGTTTTCCACAATGGCGGTCAGACAAACAAAACAAACCGGTGAGGAACCAAATAGGAAATACGCATAGAGTAGAGCGGATGTAGATCTGACCAATCAGAGGCCTCCAGTCAGCGGTCACCTATTATATTTGCGTTCACTGCGACACACAGACGACCTGGTTTCTGAGCATAATCCAGGATTAACAAAGACTTGAACGACCCTCATTAGTAAAGGCCTGTTTAATTTGCATGTTTTCCAAGCCAAAAAAAAGGCTTTGTTGGTCCGTTCTATAAAGAATTCTACGCCGTTTCTGACATTTTTAATCGAAAAAGCTTCCTGGATGGAAGAGAAATGTCTTCAAACCTGGAAAACAAAGTCCAGTGGATTGATTTTTTTCCTTTTTTTTTTGGAATTACCTGGATGACGGAGAATCTTCACCTGCAATAAAATTTGAAAATGAAAAAAAATCTGCAATTGTTTTCTTTGGAAACATAAAATTAAAAAGAATGAAATATGAAAAATTCATGATGTTTTTCCTCCAAACCTTTTCTTGATTTTATTTCTGAATTTTATTTGTTTTTTATTTCAATTCACAAAATGTGTTCTTTGCAACAATAATGGCACAAAATTCACTCCATAGGTGTTGTTTCACATTGATGTATTTCACTAAAAATAAAATTTCTCTGTCATATATTTCTATGGCTGACTGTAAACGATGTTTAAACTTGAAAACTGATTTATAGACGGTCGATAAATTACCGTAGGCCGAATCTGGCACATCCTCAGCCTCTAATTGTTCTTCATTTTGACATAAAGCTGAGCCGCTGTGCTGTTTGCAGGGCGACCACCGTGTACGACCGACCGGCCGCCATCTTCAGGGAGACTCCTCTGGATCTGAAGCACCGCCTCTTCTCCAGGCTGGCCCGTTCTCACCCGCAGTTCGGCGCCTCGGGGTGAGTCCCGATGAAGAACTCGATAAATCGATGTTTCAGACCCTGAAGCTCCCCGATCCGCCCTCAGGTCCCTCTCTGACTCCACCGCGTTCACCGTCTGTAACCCTGGCGACGGCGGCGTGGCTCTCCGATCGGAGCGGCCGGCGCTGCTGGTCAGCAGCACCAGCTGGACGGGTGAATAAGCTGCTGATGTGTGACGAAGTGTGGATGTTTAACTGGAAGCATCCTGACGGTTTGATGGTTTCTCTCTGCAGAGGATGAAGATTTCTCCATCCTGCTGAAGGCTCTGGAAGGTACCAGATGTTCCTCATCCACAGCTGCTTATTCTTTCACTCCCTCTGATCGGCCGCTTTGTTTCAGACTACGAAGGCTTCATCAGAGGAGGAGCGCCGCTGCCGTCTTTAGTCTGCGTCATCACAGGTAGAGCTGCGGGAGGCGGGTCCTTTTAGACCTTCAGCTTCTGCTCCATGCTGATGGTGTGTTTGTGCAGGGAAGGGTCCTCAGAAGGAGCACTACCAGAAGCTCATCGCCGCCATGAGTCTGGAGCACGTGAAGATCTGCACGCCGTGGCTGGAGGCTGAGGACTACCCGCTCCTGCTGGGTAGGAGGAGGTTCTGAGGGACCATGTGACGAACACAGCTCACTGAAAACAAGCAGCATTAGAGGTTCTGGAACGCAGCACAGATCCGGATTATTAGAATCATTTCAGACGTTTAAAATCTCTGAGCAAACGTGATCCGTTGTTCTGATGGACAGGATTCCCACGGGTCCTTAAAAAGTCTTAAAAGGCATTGAATTCTTCAAAATAAAACTAAGGCCTTAATTGGTATTAAAATGTCCTAAATTAGTCTTTCGTAGGTCTTAATTTTTAAAACATCATAAATAGGATTTTTTTATTAGGATTTATTTTTGTAATCTAAATAAAACATTAAAATAAAAATAAAAATTTTTTTTTATTTAAGAAAAAAATAACTTCTCGCTAGGGATGCACGATATAATGGGCCCCCTATCGGTATCGGCCTTAAAACTGAATATCGGACATCGGCCACCCCACCGATATTTAACCCGATATTTGATCAGCTTCTGAGTTTCTAAAGTCTAAAAAACTTCTTTTTTACAGACTTAAAAACTTGTAAAGACGAGGGAAAAAATATTGATACATTAAAATATCCCAATATCTTCATATGCTGATATATTGCCATTTAAAAACACCATATCAATCCCTTTTACTACTGAAATATTGCTATATGTCATCGTTATGCTACGAAATCCCCTGAAAATTCACCAAATGTTGCCATATTTTTATATGTTGATATATTGACGCGGTATCGATCTATTTTACTAACAAAATCTCACAAGAATTTGAAAAGTATCACGAGAGTTTGTAACAGAACGATGAAATTTCACCAGATTTTGAAAGTAAAATAGATGGATACCGCGTTTTTAAAAATCTATTTGATATCAGCATATGAAAATATATTTGAGTATATTATTTTTCAAAGTGTCAGAAATGGATAACAAAACTGCTATTTTCAATGACTACTTATTTTTGTCCAGCTTTAACATCGGTATCGGTTATCGGCTACATGAGTTTTAAAATATCGGATATCGGCCAAAATCCCAATATCCTGCATCCCTAGTTGTATTTCAGAAGCCTTGTGTCCCAAACGTGGATCAGAACCAGTCTGCCTCCTCCTCCCTCATTCGTCTTCTCGTCTCTCAGGTTCTGCAGATCTGGGAGTTTGTCTCCACAAGTCGTCCAGCGGGTTGGACCTGCCCATGAAGGTGGTGGACATGTTTGGCTGCTGCCTCCCCGTCTGCGCCATCCACTTCCACTGGTGAGAACCACATCCTGGCAGCGGGAACCCTGGGTAGTCTGGGAAAATCTGGAATTCTGATTCCAGGTCTGCATGAGAACAGAACAGGAAAATCCAGATTCGTTCCTTGTCGCTCTGTGTCCTTTCTGTCCTTCCCTTTTTGTTTCCTTCCTTGTTACCTTTCTGTCCGTTTCATCCGTCTTTCTCTCCTTGTCCTTCTCTTTTCATGGTTCCTCTGCACTTCTAGTTCCTCCTTTTTGGTTACTATGTATTCATTTTTTCTTTTCTCTTTATAAATTAGCTTCTTGTTTCTTATTTATTCTTTTTTTCAGGGTTTCATTAAAAAGCATTAAAACTTATTAAATTATTTTTTAAATGAAGGCCTTAATGGCATTAAAATTAATTAAATGTGAGTATCGTGGCATTTAAAATGCTTTATGAAAAAAAAATGTAAAAACACTTTCGTCTGAGATATTTTATCGCAATACTTTTGCGCGGAACTGCTTCCGGTTGATCGTAAACGAGGAATTCGGGACATGGCTGCAGCCTGTCGACGGTAAAGATGACGAAGGATTTTGCTGTGTGTTTATATATAAGTATATACGTGTGTGTATGTATGTATGTATATACGTGTGTATATACATATAGGTACATATACATGTGTCTGTGTGTATGTCATTAGTAATGGTTGATGGCATTAAAATTATTTCTAAGATCATTAAAAGAGTATTAAATTAGACTTATTCATTCCTGCGTTTTGTATTTTTTTATTCGGCAGAAAATACTCTTGCAATTCTTTTGTTTTTAATGTTTTTATTTCGTCTTTGCACTGAGATCAACAGGAAGTCTGTTTTCTCCAGTCTACAGGAGCTGGTGCAGCATGAAGAGAACGGCCTGATCTTCAGAGACTCTGCAGAGCTCGCCGAGCACCTGCAGGTGAGACGAGCCGCTGAGCGTTTGGACAGATGCCGCATTTCCACCACAGTTCCGAAACCGATCCGTGCCGAGCTCGGTTCCTACAACCATTTACACATCATACTAGCACGGTTCCTCGCCTCCTATTGGACGTCCACGGTACTGCAGCTCTCAAGGCAGGAATTACGCGAACAAAAATGGCGGCGCCCCTAACATTCAGGAACTTTTGTTTATATTAGCTATATTTCGTTGTTTGCGGAATGTCAGGCGCAGAAGGCATCCTTAGTGGTCTTGGCATCATCCCATGTCGCACCACGTGACCTGAAACACAAGTATTTTGGCTAATGTGACTAATTTCTATTGGTTTGCCGTAGTACAAAAATAGATTGGATAAAAACACTGCCGAATTAGATTGGTTGGTTGGTTGGTTGGTTTAGCCTAAAGATTGGTTGAACAAATAACTTCCAACCTGATTAAAACCAAAAACTGTGGAAAAAATATTTTATTTGAATAAAAATGACTAAAACATTTCAACTTGCTCATCATTCCCCGATTTGGACAAACTAATATACTAACTTATATGCTAACCGTAGCCCGTCTGCAGCGGCCAGGGCTAACGTTAGCCCGTTCTGCAGCGGCCAGGGCTGACGTTAGCCCGTTCTGCAGCGGCCAGGGCTAACGTTAGCCCGTTCTGCAGCGGCCAGGGCTCACGTTAGCCCGTTCTGCAGCGGCCAGGGCTGACGTTAGCCCGTTCTGCAGCGGCCAGGGCTGACGTTAGCCCGTTCTGCAGCGGCCAGGGCTGACGTTAGCCCGTTCTGCAGCGGCCAGGGCTGACGTTAGCCCGTTCTGCAGCGGCCAGGGCTGACGTTAGCCCGTTCTGCAGCGGCCAGGGCTGACGTTAGCCCGTTCTGCAGCGGCCAGGGCTGACGTTAACCCGTTCTTCAGCGGCCAGGGCTGACGTTAGCCCGCCTGCAGCGGCCAGGGCTAACGTTAGCCCGTTCTGCAGCATCCCTCTCTCTGCATAGCCGTGTGTGAAGGACCGTTGGCTCTGATGGTTTTTTTGTTTCATTTGGCAAAATGTTCATTTGATTTGTGTTTATCTGACTGTGTTCATTATTGTTCCCCCAATAAATGAAAAAATTCATAATTATTATCTAGAGACTATTAATAACAGGAGGTAAAATGCAGCTCCAGACTAGCTTTGAATGTGGTGATGTCATCAGTACGCTGCTGTTCCAGTTGACCCAGATCTATGCTGCGTGCTCCCGTTCTCCAGGCTTTCCTGCGTTCGTTAAGAACGGACTTGGCGAGGAGACGAGTCGGTACTCACATTCTAGTGAATAGAGAAACGGCCACAATGATTCTAATCATATCAAGAAAAAAGATTTTTAATGTCTGTTCCTGCAGCTCTGTCCAACCGGTCTGCCTGTCAATCACCCAGGAACTGAAATAATCTGCTTCCTGTTTGTTTAAAGTCTAATTGTGTCCCTTTGCTGTTTCCAGTCTCTCCTGTCAGAGTTTCCCAGTTCAGACGGCAGACTGGGAGCGTTCAGGAGGAACCTGTGGGCCAGCAGGGGGCAGCGCTGGGACGATAACTGGGACCAGAAGGTTCTTCCTCTGCTGGATGCTCTCAGGCAGAGATGAAAATCCTTCGTTTTTGTTTTCTGATCCAAATCTGTAAATAAAAATCTTTATTCTGCTGCGTTGGGCTTCCTGAACACTTTGATGAGCTCTAATGGAGCCAGCCTATGGTACGGGAACACGGCGCCGGCGGGTCCGCTCAGCACCTCGTGGTCCAGTCCTGCTGCCTCTGTAGGGAGACGGAAGCGGAGCTGTAACCGGAGCGTTTCCATGGTAATCTCTGATGAGCCAGATGCTTACCGAGCTGCAGCTTGAAGCCGCCGTAGGTCTGCGGGTTCCTCACCGTGGAGCAGACGTAGACCTCCGCCGGCCCACAGCTCAGGATCTTCAGCATCAGGGCCGCCAGACTTCCTGCCGCCTCTGGATCGTACACCACGTCTGAAACGGGAGCCACAGACCCGCCATCAGCCCACCAGAACCCACTGAGGTCTGAGAAGAACCCGGACCCAGACCTGCAGCCAGAACCACGTCGGCTCCGATCCGGCGGATCTGCTCCTCCGTCGCCGTAGTCCAGTCCAGCTCCTCCACGCTGACAGCCGGAGACGTCTGCTCTCCAAACCCGTTCAGACGGACATTTTCTCTGAGTTTCTGCAGAACCGCCGGGTGACAGTCGCTGAAGACGAACCTGAGCGGGTCGCAGGAGCAGCAGACGGCGATTCCGGTCAATCCAACGCCGCTTCCCAGCTCCAGAACCGACCTACGGGATCGAGTTGGTAGGAAATAAAAAAGCTTCCAGGGTTCTGGACTGGTGCGGTTCTGGTTTACCTGCCGCTGAACAGCTGCTGGTTTTCAAGAGCCCACTCTGCCAGATGAAGAGCAGCTTCCCAGGTCACCAGGCCCGTCGTCCCCTCCGATATCAGAGCCACGTTCTCCAGAAGGCTGACGGCGCCTCCGTTAGGCTGCGGGAAGCAAAGCAGATCCAGACTGCTCTCAGAAAGTCTGCAGGGCGACTCTGATGGAGAGAACGTCAACCTAACTAAAAGACACCCGGCCGTCTGGGTTTGGATCATAGAGGCTCAGAAACTGGAGAAGCTGCTGCAGTTGTCACCTGTTGTCTCTTAAAGGGCGACTCACCCTTAAATCAACTGATTTGCTGTATTCATAGAGTCCTATCTTTTCTGTGATTTGTTTTGACAATTTGAAACACATTTCATGTCTAAACGCATCGGTTTGGCGCCCTCCTCAGGTTAAAAGGGGTTTGTGCTTTGGCTGTTGAGTGTGATGTCATTTAGGAGAAGTGATGACAGCAGCTCTACCCTGATCCTAAGATTCCCCTTCCTCCGTCTCCACCAATGTACGTCCTGCAGAGCATGTGATGTTCATAAGAACTGTTCCACATCCACCGTTACTCCTCCGCACGTCACCGTCCGCGTACGTCTACGGCGTCAAAATACGGAGCCAAACTATTTTTATGCTTCAGTCCGTTGTCAAGGTCAGGTCAAGATCTGCAATTGCAAATCACACCAAACAGGAAACAGAACGGCGAGAAGATCCAGTTTGTCAAAGTATATGTTTGTTTTGTTTTTTACTTTTACGGTATAATATGGTAACAACTAGGGCTGAAAAATAATGGGATTAATCGTTTATTGAATAATCCTCAACTAATTTACTAATCGATTAATCGTTAACTGGAGTATAGAGACTGTAAAACATGCCGTTAGCCAACAGAGCAGGAATTATTGTAAAAAAATATATATCAGAATTTTTTGTCAATCTGCTCTATCAGGAACTCCTTAAGTGGAAAAATTTTAATTCCATCTGGTTTGATTCCCTTTGCTCTCCAATTATTAATCAATTTGGGAAAATAATCAAAAGCTGAATCAATTTGCAAAATAATTGTTAGTTGCAGCCCAACAATGCAGCCATAGAGTTGATTCCTTCCGACCTCCCCTATTCAGCCAGGCCAACTATTCCCTCTAACGACCCCCCTTTCAGAGACACAGACAGGTATGGGGCATTGCAGGCTAACAAAGAAGCTAACGACCCCCATTCCAAAGGGGGGGGACCCGTTCATCCGTTTCTATTTGCATGTTTTCTAAACTAAAACCAGGCTTTGTTTGGCTGCTGGATAAAACCTGGAACTAAACGCTATTTCTGACATTTGGAATTGAAAAATCTTCCTTGATGGAAGAAAAATGTCTTTAAACCTGGAAACAAAGTCCAGTGGATTGATTTTTTGTTTTTTTGGAATCATCTTTTGCAGTTTATCATTAGAATGATGCTTTGATGTGCTTTGCTGGCTCCATGTATGGAGGCCTTAATCCTTGACGCAGGGGACCCGGGTTCGAATCCGTCCTGTGGTCCTTTGCTGCATGTCTCCTACCTTCTCTCACCCCCCTTTCCTGTCAGCCTACCGCCCATAAAAACGAGCCACTGGTGTCGTTAAAAACTCCAGAATTTTGGAGCAGCCTAAAAGCAATGGGAGAATTTCAGCCGATGCGGTTTGATTTTAATTTTCTCGTACCGTCATCTTTTTCCTCTCAGTTATCACTAAACTCATCTGAATTAATGTTAATTTCAAATGGACTCTTAGTTTATATCCTGTTTTACTGAACTTATTGTTTTAAAAATAAGATCCGACACCCTGGCTGAATCGCAAACATGTTGTGACTGTTGTGTCCCGGGTCCGAGCTAAGCTGTCAGCTGGCCTGATGGTGAACAAACTTCTGCAGGTCATTTGCTACACTGAGAGAAAACGGGCGCCGCACTTCTTAGATTTATGGAAAATGTTTTAAATCATGTGCAAGTTTCTACTTCAAAGTTTCATCCCACTTTGTGTTGGTCTTTAAAGAACAGTCCAATAAAACACATTATGAGACAAAATAAGGTCAATGGGTGTGAAAACTTTTAGAAGCAACGGTATGATGCAGCTGATCAGCAGAATTATGCATCATTTTATCACCACAGATGAACTGAAAGGACCCAGAATCTGTTCCCACATTTAAAGCTGAGCTAATATGTTTGTGCTGCTGTCATTCGATGCTTCGTACCAGGAAGTAGCTCTTGTAGCAGTCGGAGGTCTCCTCCTCTCCCACCACCTGAGCCAGGGCATCGTACAGCTCATCCAGAGGCTCGCAGCCTGCAGCCTCCTGCTGCAAAGACAGAGAAGCAGTTTTAGTCCGTGAGGCAGACACCCTGTCTACTTTTTTAGGCTAGGCTTAAAACTTTCCTTTTTGATAAAGCTTCTAGTTAGAGTGGCTCAGGTTATCCTGAGCTATCTCTATAGTTCTGCTGCTATAGGCTTAGACTGCTGGAGGACATAGGGACCCCTTTTCATCATTCTGCTTCATTCTATCTCTATTCTCCCACTCTGCAGAACCTGTTAGTTCAATCTCTAACGTTCTGCTCTCTCTGCTTTTTCTCATAGTAGCTTCATCTGGTCTGTTCCTGTTTGGCTGTGACTCCATCCTGGAGAGAAATATCAGCTGTGCTGCTGCCATCAACACCTTTGTTTCTAGATGTTGGAGCTTGGCCTGTTTTCCAGTGTAGTCCTGTTTCTCTGACTGTGACTAACTGGATGTGCTCTCTTCATCCTCTGACATGGGAGCTGGCTCGGAGCTCGTCTGCCTGGCTGTGTGTTTCCTGGACGGGGCCGCCTGTGGAGCTGGTTGACAGTTGCCTTTTGTATCTATGCTTCTTTTTCTATGTCTGCTTCTGTCTCCTTGAACCCCAGTGGGCCTCAGCAGATGGCCGCTCACACTGAGCCTGGTTCTGCTGGAGGTTTCTTCCTGTTCAAAGGGAGTTTTTCCTCTCCACTGTCGCTACAAGCATGCTTAGTGTGAGGGATTGCTGAAGAGTCAATGAGTCGATGCAATCAGCTGGTTTTCCTTAGATAGAAAACTTTGAATCAATCTGACTGGATGATCTGGTGAACGCGAAAGTGACCTGAGACGACATGATGTGAATTGGAGCTATAGAAATAAACTGAATAGAATCTTATTGCAAGATGGACTCTGACCCGTTTAATGAGCTCAGACAGGAACAGCCTCCTGAATCGGACCGATGGTGGAAACCTCCCGCACAGAGGATGAAGGCACGTCTGGGAAAAAAGCACATTCAGGGTTAATTTTGAACCGTTTGCTCTGATAGAAGAAAGTAACGAGCTTCTCACCTGCTTCAGCAGCTCAGAGATGAACTCTGACCCCTCGTTGCTCTGCAGCTCCTCTATAAGCTGTTGGAGGAAAAAGGCCGTCAGAATGAGGCAGCAGATCCCAGAGTCCCAAACAAGATGGGAAACAATCCTTCCTGCCCATCAATCTAAGGGGTTAAAGGTCGTTAACGAAGAGTTTGAACTCCGCTCTGCAGAAAGAAGGACTGGAAAGAACAGCTGTTTGAGGCAAAGAATAAATGGCCTAGTCAAAGTCCAGACCTTAACCCGATTAATGTGATGCGATGATGATTTTATTTTTGGTTAACTTAAAAAAAACTAAACATTCTCCTATAGAGATGCTTCCATAGAGCAGAGACTGGGAGGTTCAGAGAACAGCTGCTGCTGGGAGTTAGAGCTAGGGATGTTATGAGATGAGCCGAGGCTTCAGGACGTTTATCGGGTAATGGAGGGGGCATTTCATTTAGGGGAGGGGCCAGAACTGATGACGTCTGAAGCCTCGCTGACGTGAAACGACGTGACCGCTTCAGGAAGGGGTTCAGAAAGCACAAGAACTTCGACAGGCATTTAAAAAGCCTCAGTGTTCAGTTAAGATGTGGGAGTTTGTAGTAGAGCTGCTGTCAGTGGATAGATTCTAAGATAGATTGGTTGGAAAAACAACCAATCTAGTTGGTTAAAACTATTTTTGTTGGATTAAACCATGTTATTATTTAAATCTGAGCAAACCACTGGAGACAGTTCTAACTTTAGTGTTAAGAAGTATTGCTCTCCACTGAACAGTTAATGTTTTTGGCATCAGCTGTAAAACACTGACTTCCACTCCGAAGGTTGAGGATTCAAGACCTACTTTTTACTTTTGAAAGTTCTGATTATACTTAAGTATTTTTGCTAATGAGACTAATTTGTATTGGTTTGCTCTAGTACAAACATAGATTGGTAAAAACACAAATTAGATTGGTTGGTTTAGCCAAAAGATTGGTTGAACACATAACTTCCAACCCGATTGAAAGCAAAAACTGTGGAAAACTATTATGTTTGAATAAAAATTACTAACGCTGTTTATTTTGCTCATCGTTGCCCAGTTTGCACAAACACTTTCACTTAAATGGGAAAGAAAAACAAAGAAAAACAACATTGCAAAAAATCACAGCTCATATTACAAACTGCAGTTCTGCTCTCCACCAGTAGGTGGTGACATGTTCAGATGAAGCTTCATGAACTGTCGGGATCGTAGAAGCAATTTGGCCAAAACGGTTCAACGACGCTTCATCTCACCATGGCTGTATTCTATGGAAGCAAATCGTTACCATATTTAAAATAAAAAAGCATTTCCAGAAATGCTTTTTCATTTTTAAATTTTACATTTCAAATTGAATTTTGGTATGTATTTGCTGGGGTACATTTTGAAAAATAAATCTCAAATGTCTTTTTCTTTTTAATTTGAATTAAGTAAAAGGATGAGCAGTCTTGAAGAAGAAAATGAAAATGCAAATAGGATAATTGATTACTAATTTAATTTATGTGTTCAACAATGCAGCCACATTCTTAAAATGAAAAAGCATTTCTGGAAATGCTTTTTCATTTGAAATATGGTAACGATTTGCTTCCATAGTATTTGAATTCATGGGCTGCGTCCTTAGAAGGCCAGATTCGAAGGCCGATGACGTCATAGCGCGGCGCCGAGGTCTGGTCAGATTCCAAGACTCCTCGTTATGTGACCTTAAAATGCGTCCTTCTTTTAGCCCGATTTGAAGGACGGGTCCGATGTGTCCTCGCTATCCTTGGATATCCCAGGATTCATTGGGAGACCAAGCAAGCCAGCTGCTCCGTAAACAGAGGAAAGGTTACTTGGTGCCGCATAGTGGTGAAAATTGGAAGTTCAGTTTAATATAAACCAGTCAGTGAATAGTTCCATCTGAAATGAATGAAAATAGTTGTTTTAATGGTTATTGAGTCAGATATGTGGCGGTAATGTTTAATTCATCATAAGGTTTTAATCTGTTACTGTGTAAATGGGTTTGGCTGGAATTAAAGGACAGATTCTAATATATCTGCAGGGTGGGGACTATAAACCTGATAGTTTAGTTTTTTTATTGCTTATTTGCACAATTTGCTTTATTATTTTTGTTGTTGAATATTAGAGATTTGGCAGATACATATTTTTTATAAATACATTGTTTAGATTTACTTATATCTTTCTACCCCTTTTATAGAATAGAATAGAAAATCCCTTTATTGTCCCACAATGGGCAAATTTACAGCAGCAGAAAGATTATTGAAAATGGTCACACAAATGAGGACCTTAGAAAAATGTATAAGAATAACATAATAGAGAAGAGTTAAAATATAAAAAATACAATTCTGTAAAGTGTTTTAACATTATAAAACTGGAGAATTAATAACCAATATGCAGCTATGGACATTTTTACAGTAATGGATATTTGAAAATAGCAGCAACATCAGAGATGTGCAGAATGACAGCAGCAGGTTATTTAACTGACTAAGGTTTCTATCATTACATTTGATTTGATTTGTTCCTGCTCCCGCTGGTTGGAATCTTTATTCCACTCTGGATTCTCACTTTGTTCACTTTATAATATATATATATATATATATATATATATATATATATATATATATATTTTTTTTTTTTTTTTTTTTTTTTTTTTTTAAAGAAGCAGTTTTGAAAGTCCAGTATTCATTCTTTTCCTGCAGATCATAGCAACCGAAGAGTAGACATGTTTGAATTCACAGCCAAGGGACTTCAAAGGATCCAGTCCAGGTAGACCGCCTCCTTGGAGGATGCAGCCCATGAATTCGAACACAGCCCATCACTGGTTAGCGCTAATAAATACTTATCAATCAGCGGTTTATTTGCAGAAATAAACTAATAATAATAAACGATCTCAGCCTTTATTGTTATAAATGACCCCCACAGGATGTTTCCAGTGTTCAATCCCTCCGAAGAAAAACTATTTTTATGAATTTACTGTCTACCAGCTTTCTTCCTCCTTTTTCCACATTTCGCCTCCTACTCACAGTCCAGGGAAATGAAGTCAGGCGGTTCATGGAGAAAAACAATTCCCGAAATTCCTTGAAAACATCCTCACGTTTCCTCTGAGGTTTCTGCTTTGGAAACGCCATGTTCCACGTGTGTTTGTTTACTTCCGGCTTACCCACAATCCAGTGCGGCCGCATTCTGGCTCTGCTGCTGCTGGGTAATGTAGTTTAAATATCCTTAGTTCTCAGTTTTCCAGTTTTCCATCTAAACGTCACATTATGGGGCTTTGAAACATAAAATAAACTACAGTTTGAAAGTTTAAAATGTAAATAAAAACCTGTTTAAAGTAAAGGTGAGGAAAGATAATTCAGAGTTTGCAGGTTTTTCTTTATCTGCTGTTTCCTTCCCGCTTCTTTCTTGCAGTGTCACTGCAGGAGGAGATAAACTCTTTACAGTTTGGATGTTAACAGGAGCAGAACCCTGAGCTGGTGAGTGAAATAAACATTCATCTTTCCATTTCTTCCCATGAAAAACTTTTTCCTTTCATATATTTTTACATTAAATATAAAGAAGTAGTTTTTTTGACCTATTTATTTTGATAATATCAGATGACAGTCAGTTTGTACCAAACAGAACTGCTGGATAAATCATGAGTTAACTCTATGTGAGTAAACATATGGGCCAATATTTAGGAATTAACAGTTGAATTTACTAATTATGATCTTTTATCAAGAGGTGGAGCCGATAAATATATTTTTCTTTAACAGTTGTTTGAAAAACTGTCTGACTTATCTGATTCAAAGTTTGTTACAATAAAACTAAAATAATCAGACAGAAAAATAAATAAACAGCAATGCAACAGTTACGATTATAACAACGTTATTACAGATTAATCATTTTAAATGTACAATTCAATATAAACAGAGCAACAATAAATATAAGTATAAAGAATATGTTGATTGTTTTACATAAAAACAATTTTTGTAAATTAAAAAATAAATAATATGTAACGAAGATAAATATTAAGTAACAAAAAACTTTTATTTGATGAATATTGAACTCTAAACCAGGGGAGCTCAAGTCCAGTCCTCAAGAGCTGCTATCCTGCAACTTTTTGATGCGTCCAATTTTTAACACACCTGAATCAAATGATTGGCTCGTTACTGAGCCTCTGCTGAGCTTAATGGGGGATTAAGCCTTTCCATTCAGGTATGTTAGAGAAGAGATGCATCTAAAAGTTACAGGATGGTCTCTCCTTAGGACTGGACTTCAGCACCCCTGCTCTAAGCAATTTAAAATATTGTAATACTAAATTAAAGTACGGAAGAGGATTGGGGCCACTGAAAAAATAAAAAAAATTAACTGATTTTTAAATTGTATTTCAGTATAATATGAGAAAAAAATCAGAATGCTGGGAGTAAAGTCAGAAATCTGAGAAAAAAGTCAGAATTTGCAGATTACACTCCCTGGTACTTGAACTCCTCCACAGTGTCAACAGGAACCCCTTCAGCAGAAGACTCCTTTTACCCAGATGCACCACAGAGCGCCACAGGAAACCATTCATGCCTGTGGCCATCAATCTCTACAACGCCTCCCTCAAGTGATTCAACCCCCCCTGAAATTGACATTTATTCATTCCTTGCACTGTTTTTGCATGTCACTATCACTTTATTTGAATTTATAGTTATACATATGCATATATATATATATATATATATATATATATATATATATAAAAAAGTAATTTCCCTCTGGGATTATTAAACTATTTCTGATTCTGATTAAAGTCAGAATTCTGAGATTAAAGTCAGATTTATTTAGAAAAAAAGTCATAATTCTGAGATTAAAGTCATAATTCTTAGAAAAAAGTCAGAATTCTGATATTATAGTCATATTTCTCTGATTAAAGACAGAATTCTGAGAATAAAGTCATTCTGAGGTTAAAGTCCGATTTCTAACTTGAATCAGAAATACTTTAATAATCCCAGAGGGAAATTACTTTTGTTCCCATATTAAACTGAAATAATGTTTAAAAATCAATTATCTTTTTTTTTCAGTGGCCCTAATCGTCTTCCGTATGAAAGCGTATCGCTGTCATGGACGATATATTTTTCTGTTAACGTATCTCTTTCCATCCTTTCTTTTTTTTCTGTCAACCTTGTTGAGCGGAAAATAAAGACAGACGTTTGTTTCCGACCGGACGATTTTAGTGACGGACTATAAACAAAGAAAATGGCGATGGTCTTGAAGTAAAACTGCTGGGCTTTGATGGGAAGGTGAAGGCGTTATATTGCGTTAAGAAAGGTAAAATGAACATTTATAACATTCTTGTTGACCTTTCTTTGCCCTTCAGTTAACAATTTCCTGATTTAACGACGATTTGACCGATTTAACCTTTGTTATTCGGCAAAGATTTAAGCCTTTAATGTCTAGGAGCTTTTAACAGAAAGCACGGAAAATAATCACTTTTTATTTTAGCAGTTTCTACTAAAAAATATTCCCCCGCCTTGATTATAACTGTATATTTTAGAGCTGGTACACCAGTCGGCCTACTTTTCATCTTTTGGTTGATAAAATGAGATCAATATGGCAGAAATCAATGACATTCCAGCTCCGGGCTCCCCCTGTTACCATGACAACCAGCCCGGGTGAAGGGCGGAGGGAAACCGTATCCCTGAACTCCGCTTAGATGCTGTTTGATTTAGAGGCGTTTTCTCGGCTGGCGCTTTTCTGTGAACAGAACAGATTACCACGATTAAATGAGTGAAAAACAAGACTCAATGCTTTGATTCGGCTTTATTTTTTCTTTTATAAAACGTAATTAATGTTTGAATAGCTAAAGAAAATCCATCCTACTCTGTTTACCAGTCAGCAGCCAACTATTTGTCTTTGTTTCTTTTGCTGCTGAGAATTTATGATAATAATAAACTTTGCATGTAATTAAAAATTTGAAAATAGCATTGGTAAATGTTGTCTGCAATGAAGCCATCCTCTGCAGGGATTAGGATCCTGCTTAGCAGCCTGTGAGACTCGAACCAGGGAACCAGCCGCTTTGCCTGTTTTAACTTTTACTCTTTACCTTTAAAAAACATCCAACAGGCTGAATAATCCCTCATTTTGTGACATGAACCTTGTGTTTCCGCAGAACTTTGGACGTCATGGTGCTGAAGATCTTCTTCCCGCAGTGCTGCAACCGGGCGGACAGCGGGCTGCTGGTGGGCCGCTGGGTTTCAGGCCATGACTCGGCCGTGGTGCTGGCGGTCATCCACTACCCGTTCATCCCAGGACAGGTGAAGCAGTACATCCAGCAGGTCAGTGCCCCTCTGATTTAAATAATGACTAAACTTTCTTTTACAGTTAAAATCTACATCAGCTACAGTTGGATGGACTCATTTCAGTTCGACCTTTGTTTCAGAAATGTAGAATAAAAGGACTCGGTGAAAACTTGTTTGGTTGAAGAGCATCAGTTTAATCTGGGATTCAGTTAAAGAAGTCTCCTAAACTAATATGATACGTTAGCTTATTTTGTATATTTTTAGTTTTTACGGCACCAGTGGCTGATTTTAATGGACAGTAGACTGACAGATGGGGGTGTAGAAGCCAATATGTACAAACTCTATAAAGAAAGGAGATGATGTGTGTATGGACGTGTGTTTCACCAGAAAAAGCAAATCAGGTTCAGCCAGGAAACGCTGTCGTTCCACAGCTGTCCCAACAGTGGGAATAAATCAGCTTTAAACTGCAAGAACAGCGTCTGGACATTTCCTGTTTACCATCTCACCCCGAGTGAAGCGTCAACCATAAGATTCCGGTTTAAAAACACTCCAGTGGCTTTAAGTGTCGGCTTAGCCCCTACAGCGGGCATGAGAGGGGGGGGGGGGGGGGGGGGGGGGGGGCATGCGGCAAAGGGCCAGAGGTCGGAGTCGCTGAAGCATCTTCTTCCAAATATCTTCTTTTAGATCATATCTGTGGACGATGATAACATTTAATATCTGACATCAGTTCTAGTAACCAGTAGAGATCTTTTATTGTCTTTTATTATTTTTTATATAGATTAGTAAGAAGGAGAGTTTAGTTGGGAAATAAATGTTTTTTTATAAAGGAAATCTTCAAAGTGTGGCCTGCGCCCCTGAATCAGTTCTTTGTTGAACCATATTTCTCTTCTCTAGTTTGTCTCCATCAGCTGAGGACAGTTGGACCTATTCTGGACTAACAGGTCTCCTTTCAGGGTTGTCCTGTATTTAGCTCCACCCATCCTGACCTCTTCTCTCTGCAGCATGATGCTGCCACCACCGTGGTCCACTGTGGGGACGATTTGTGACCAACTGTTTCCTCTGACTTTCTTTTAGAGCTTTGTGGGAAAAACAAAAACAAAAAACAAACTTGTTGTAGTCTAAAGCTTCTGTCCTCCTGAGCTGTGGATCTCTGCAGCTCCTCCAGAGCTTTCATGACTGATTCTCTGATTAATGCTCTCCTTGTCCAGCCTGTCTGTTTGTCCCGGTGGACGTCCACGTCTTGGTAGGCCTGTAGACGCTCCATCCTCTCCCTAAGATCAGAGATATTCCCTGGGAAGCCATATAACCCAACTATAAATGGAACTAGAACTTCCTCCCTGGTGGATCTGCTGAGTTCCTCTGTCTTCATGCTGCTGGATGTTCTCTACTGTTTTCTAAAGAACCACTCAGACCAGAAGCAGATCATCAGCATTATAAACATATTAGACTGCATCCTGATGTTTTCTCCATCTCCATCCCTCCATCTTCTCCTCCCAGGTCCAAGCTCAGAGTGGCGTGGAGCTGTCGGTGCTCGGCTCCTGGAGTCTTCCCAAAGACGGGCAGGAGGGCATGGAGAGCTTCCTGAAGGACCTGAGCACCATCTTCCCTCAGGAACGCTGGCTCCAGATCAGCCGCGAGTTTGGGAAGACGGGCTTCACCTGCGAGGTGCTCGGCCGAGATCAGGGTGAGAATCTGCAAACCAAGACGGAGATGTTGTTCATGAAGCAACAGGAGCAATAATAATCTAATAATCTATCATTGTTCATGAAGCAACAGGAAGAGGCCAGCGTTCTGTTCTTATTTAATACAGGATAATATAAATTACACTTCAGTCAAGAATATTTAATATTTTGTTCTTTAAAGTCTGGGACAAAAAGCTGACGCTGCTTTAGGGTCTAATTTTCTGTTGTTTTTTAAAAACTTTTAATTAATGAAAATCATCTCAATCATCAACTAATCAAAAGGATTTTCTCTTCAGTTTGCAGAAAGAATTCAGGTAAAACGTTGCCTCCTGATGAAGAGGCGGAGAAGATTGAAGAGGAAGGTGGAGATGAAGAGCAGGAGGATGAGGAGAAGGTGATCTTCGTCCACTATGAGCAGAGGAAGGTGATGCTGTCGCAGCTTCATCCCATCCAGGTCCAGGACTCAGAGAGTCACTCTGAGCTCAGACAGGTACCACATGATGAGAACCACATTACATCACTTCCTTCTCTACTGGGAGTCAAACCAGCAGCTAAATGAAACCTTCCTGTCCAGATGTTTGGGACGGTGGCCCGCAGCCAGCCGCTCTTCTTCCTGGACAAGTACGACGACGGGCCCCTGAAGTCGACCCACTGGCAGTCTGAGGGCCGGGAGGCCAGCATCATCGTGGAGCTGCTCAAGCAGGCCTCGGCGCCGCTCTGCGTCCTCCTCAGCTGGCTGCTCGCTGTGTGGACATGGATCTGCAACATCCGGTAAGAAGAACCAGGCTGGAGCTCAACGTTGGAATTAATCTGAAATGATCAGATTAACATTTTCAGCCATTAAACTAAACTTTCTATAGATCTCTACACACATCAGATTACAGTTCTTTATAGAAACTGTTCAGTCAGATTAAAGGAAAAGCAGCTGATTGCATCCAGTCCTGACTTTAAGGAAAGATGGTCGGAGTTTAATGAACGACGCGTTAAAATGGATGAACCGAGATCTGGATCTGGTCCTGGATCAGGTCCTGGATCCGGTCCTGGATCCGGTCCTGGATCAGGTCCTGGATCAGGTCCTGGATCAGATCCTGAACCGTTCCTGGATCAGGTCCTGGACAAGGTCCTGGGTCCAGTCCTGGACCAAGTCTTGGATCTGGTCCTAGATAAGGTTGTAGATCAGGTCCTGGGTCCAGTCCTGCATACAGTCCTGGATCCGGTCCTGGATCTGGTTGCAGATCTGGTCCAAGATAAGGTCCTAGATCCGGTCCTGGGTCCGACCCTGAATCTGGTCCTGGATCTGGACCTGGATCCGGTCCTGGGTCCGACCCTGAATCTGGTCCTGGATCCGGTCCTAGATCAGGTCCTGGGTCCGGTCCTGGATCAGGTCCTGGATCAGGTCCTGGATCAGATCCTGAACCGTTCCTGGATCAGGTCCTGGACAAGGTCCTGGGTCCAGTCCTGGACCAAGTCTTGGATCTGGTCCTAGATAAGGTTGTAGATCAGGTCCTGGGTCCAGTCCTGCATACAGTCCTGGATCCGGTCCTGGATCTGGTTGCAGATCTGGTCCAAGATAAGGTCCTAGATCCGGTCCTGGGTCCGACCCTGAATCTGGTCCTGGATCTGGACCTGGATCCGGTCCTGGGTCCGACCCTGAATCTGGTCCTGGATCCGGTCCTAGATCAGGTCCTGGGTCCGGTTCTGGATCAGGTCCTGCATCCGGTTCAGGTCCACCTTAAATTCCCTGCTGTGTGAAGCAGCCTCTCCTCTGATGTTGTCTTGATCTTTTCTCTCCTTCAGGATCTTCACCGTTTTCCCGCTCCGCTTCCTGGCCTCTAAACTGTCCACCTGCATCCAGCTGAGCTACAGAACCGAACACCTGCGGACGCTCAGCTCGCCGAAGGCGGCCGCCACTCATGTGGACTTCATGAGGTGAGAAGAGCTTCATCCTGGAGCTGCAGCCTCAGGGACCTCAGGATAACGCCTGTCCTCCTCTGTCTGCAGGAAAGCCAACATCGTGGTGTCGGTGCTGGTGGACGTGGCGCTGGGCGTGGCGCTCATGTGGTGGCTCTACAGAGACGACCACATCCCCATGCTGGCGGACGCTCTGGTGCCAGCAGCTGATGTGAGTCAGATGTTCTGGTTCTGCTGTGAGCGATGCTAGAGGGAGGGGTGGGGGGTGGGGGGGTGGCAACAAGGTCCATTCTGGTCAAAGTATCTGTTAACCAGCGGCTCTGCTGAAGTCTGCCCCCCTGTGGCGACACGTTGAAACTACAGCATGGTTGTAACTGGCTGTAAGAGGAGGAACAGTACCAGAGTCTGCCGCCGCGACGGCCTGATCTTTAGTTTAGAGCCGTGATGTCATCTGAGGTGACATCATTATTGAAATTATTTTGACCTTTTAAGTAAAACATCCCTTATTGAAAGTTTCACTGATCAGACTCCAGTCGTCTTCATAGACGGTCGGTCTGCGTCACGCTCAGGGAAAAAGTGCTGTTTACTCTGCGCCTCATTTTAAGAACATGTGAGAAAAATAAACATTTTAAACTTCAGTCAGAAAAGTTTGGGAATTAATATGAAGCTAAATTCACTGATGGACGATCAGGAGATTTTAGTGGTTATACAGTTTGGATGTTAGAGGGTCGTTAACTCCTAGGACTTCAAGCAGCAGAAACCATCGAGGCTGAATCTCCAGCATCCAGGATTCCTGGAGGGGCTGGAAAAGCCTGGAGGGTGTTTAAGGATTTTCCAGGTCTGGAAATGTGTTGAAAAGAGAAAAAAACAAAAATAATCCTTCCTTCCTTCCTTCCTTCCTTCCTTCCTTCCTTCCTTCCTTCCTTCCTTCCTTCCTTCCTTCCTTCCTTCCTTCCTTCCTTCCTTCCTTCCTTCCTTCCTCTCATTCTCCTTCCCTCAATCAGTGTCTTCCTTCCTTCCTTCCTTCCTTCCTTCCTTCCTTCCTTCCTTCCTTCCTTCCTTCCTTCCTTCCTTCCTTCCTTCCTTCCTTCCTTCCTCTCATTCTCCTTCCCTCAATCAGTGTCTTCCTTCCTTCCTTCCTTCCTTCCTTCCTTCCTTCCTTCCTTCCTTCCTTCCTTCCTTCCTCTCATTCTCCTTCCCTCAATCAGTGTCTTCCTTCCTTCCTTCCTTCCTTCCTTCCTTCCTTCCTTCCTTCCTTCCTTCCTTCCTTCCTTCCTTCCTTCCTTCCTTCCTTCCTTCCTTCCTTCCTTCCTTCCTCTCATTCTCCTTCCCTCAATCAGTGTCTTCCTTCCTTCCTTCCTTCCTTCCTTCCTTCCTTCCTTCCTTCCTTCCTTCCTTCCTTCCTTCCTTCCTTCCTTCCTTCCTTCCTCTCATTCTCCTTCCCTCAATCAGTGTCTTCCTTCCTTCCTTCCTTCCTTCCTTCCTTCCTTCCTTCCTCTCATTCTCCTTCCCTCAATCAGTGTCTTCCTTCCTTCCTTCCTTCCTTCCTTCCTTCCTTCCTTCCTTCCTTCCTTCCTTCCTTCCTTCCTTCCTTCCTTCCTTCCTTCCTTCCTTCCTCTCATTCTCCTTCCCTCAATCAGTGTCTTCCTTCCTTCCTTCCTTCCTTCCTTCCTTCCTTCCTTCCTTCCTTCCTTCCTTCCTTCCTTCCCTTCCTTCCTTCCTTCCTTCCTTCCTTCCTTCCTTCCTCTCATTCTCCTTCCCTCAATCAGTGTCTTCCTTCCTTCCTTCCTTCCTTCCTTTCCTTCCTTCCTTCCTTCCTTCCTTCCTTCCTTCCTTCCTTCCTTCCTTCCTTCCTTCCTCTCATTCTCCTTCCCTCAATCAGTGTCTTCCTTCCTTCCTTCCTTCCTTCCTTCCTTCCTTCCTTCCTTCCTTCCTTCCTTCCTTCCTTCCTTCCTTCCTTCCTTCCTTCCTCTCATTCTCCTTCCCTCAATCAGTGTCTTCCTTCCTTCCTTCCTTCCTTCCTTCCTTCCTTCCTTCCTTCCTTCCTTCCTTCCTTCCTTCCTTCCTTCCTTCCTCTCATTCTCCTTCCCTCAATCAGTGTCTTCCTTCCTTCCTTCCTTCCTTCCTTCCTTCCTTCTCTTCCTTCCTTCCTTCCTTCCTTCCTTCCTTCCTTCCTTCCTTCCTTCCTTCCTCTCATTCTCCTTCCCTCAATCAGTGTCTTCCTTCCTTCCTTCCTTCCTTCCTTCCTTCCTTCCTTCCTTCCTTCCTTCCTTCCTTCCTTCCTTCCTCCTCCCTTCCTCCCGTTGCTCTGGTTACCGGTGGTTCGCTGAATTCCCAGCATTCCCTGTGTTCTTCCCGCAGCGCGTGGCTCAGCAGCTGGAGGAGCTGCTGCAGTGGCTGATGGGAGCTCCTGCCGGCCTGAAGATGAACCGGGCTCTGGACCAGGTGCTGGGTCGCTTCTTCCTTTACCACATCCACCTGTGGATCAGTGAGTCGCAGCAACACACTCATCTACCCTCCCACCCCCCAGACAGTGAGCTCAGCCCTCTCGTCCTGCAGGCTACATCCACCTGATGTCTCCGTTCATCCAGGGCATCCTGTGGTACGGCGGCCTGCCGGCGTGCCTCGGCCTGACCTTCGCCCTCTCGCTGCTCTCTGACATGGTGGCGCTGCTCACCTTCCACATCTACTGCTTCTACGTCTATGGAGCCAGGTACCCTCAGCTGTCCTGATTGGTAGAGCTAGAGGCAGCAGAAGGTGGAGTCAGGTCACCAGTGAAGGGAAGGTTAGACTGAACTGGAGGAACATTCCCAGTATTCCCATGATTTAAACCAGTAGATCCTCTGGAATCAGATGTTCATCAATTCTTCAGATCAGGTTGGAAATAACTGGACCAGCAGCCTAGCTAACAATTATATTTAGGTTTATGAACTAAAAAATGTTAGTGTCAGCATAAATGCCTCTAAGGTTATGTTGAACCAAAATGTGTTTCTTTCTCTCTCAGAGTTTTTTTCATGAATTTCTTCTAGAAGCACTTTTGTTATTATTCTTAATATATTCGGGTAAGTTGGCGTTTCTTGTTACATTGACATAAATTTTTACCATTAAAATATCCATATTTTTTAAATGTTGAAAAGGTAATAAGGTCTCTGCCTAGATTCCAATAAAACTATTAGCTTGAAATGTTGATGAAGGGTTAAAAGTCCTCAGACACGAGAGGAATTAAAGTTTTCACTATCGTCTCTAGTTTTAATCCAGTTTTTAAACTTTCAATAAAACAGTAAATCATTTGAACGGCCTGCAGGGGGCAGTGTTTCCTCAGATATTATAATCAACAAAGTGATTTAAATGCTGTTGGAGATAAAAATAAAAAAAACCTTTATCATATTAAGGTCAGAGGACTAAAGAAACTATTTGATTTAGATCTATATCTAAATCTCTCAGAAAGACCCCCAGCTGGGAATCAAACCCACAACCTTCTTGCTGCAAAGCAGCAGTGCTACCCTCTGGCTACCGAGCATCCCATAATAGAAGTTATTTGCATTGTAATCTACTACTGCAATTGACTAATTTAAGAGTAAGAATGACTCTTTTTCTAAGAAAAATCAAACATTTTAAACCATGAATCAGAGATTAGAAAGTTTGAATTACACATTTTTAATTACAGTTTACAAATTAGTGAATGAAAATCGCAAAAAAAAAAATATAAATCACAAATCTGCTTGGATTGATGGATGGATGATGGATGGATGGATGGATGGATGATGGATGGATGGATGATCCATATTTTCTCTCAGCTCTTCTTCTAGTTCTGCTTTAATCTGGATTATTAATGTTTCAGATCAAAGCAGAGGAGCAGAAAGAAACGACTAAATAAAACATCAGATCTAAAGATAGCCCCCCCCCCCCCCCCCCCCCCCCCCCCCCCCCCCTCCTCCTCCATGTTCCTCTGGTTCTGCTCCATCGTCTCCAACCATGTTTCCAGTTTGGCTGAGAAGCTTTGTCATCACTGTGGTGCTGAATCTAAAAATATCTCCTGCTGTGATCTCAGCAGCAAAGGATGAAGCAGGAAAACGAGGCTCTTCATGGAAAATGAGCTCATGATGATTATTTTATGGATGTTTGGGAGCAGATTGGCCGTCTGAGGAACTGCAATGACCCAAATATGGAAGATGATCCTGATTTCTATCAATCTTTCATAGGATTTTCCACCAACATTGCCGCCACATTCTTATTGTTCAGCACTTTGTTATAAACCTCTATAGTTTAACGTTCTCTATTTAATTTAACTTAAAACATTTCTAAAATAGAATTAAAAGCAAGTTCATTTAACTTTTACATTTCAGTAGCAGGACTGTTTAAAGTTCTGACCTTGCAGTGGCATAAAGGTAGTTAAATAATGAATGAACATGAATAATTAAAGAGATTAGATGAAAAATTTAAATGAGATGATTATATAAAGGAAAAAGATCAAGCGATTGAAAGGAAGTTAAAATGAAAACTGAGAAATAGTGTTTATATCATCTCAGCCAAAGGCAGCTCTAAACATGGAGGTTTTATGAAGCAACTTAGGGGTTCAGCTCGTTTACCATTTACCATCAGGCAATACTAGGCAGGTGCCTGGGGCCCCAAGTTCCTGGGGGCCCCATAAAACTCTGTTTCCATGTATGGTTAATACAACTATTCCTTATTAGTGCACATTAATTATGTTTTTGATAAAAAATCTTTGGCTAAAATTCCATCAGAACTCTTATAATATTAAGTGTGTCTCAGCCCCCCTTCAGTGTCCACCATATTGGATCAGTCCACTTGCTGCACATGTTCAGAAAGGTCCAAACAGACAGCAGCAAACCATTTGAAAACAAACCATGCAAAGAGCAGTGTTGCCAACTTAGCGCTTTAGTCGCTATATTTAGCCACTTTTCAGACCCCTCTAGCACTTTGATTTCTAAAAAGCTCCTAGCGCCAAATCTAGAGACTTTTTTCTGCTAGTGGAGACTTTGGAGACAACATCTAAAAGCAGCGAACTCTGCTCTCCAGAGCGAGTAGATTGGTAACCCCGCCTCCTGCTCTCCTCTATCTTGTCTGCTGTCATGATTCATGCAGCTATTATTTCATCCAAATGAAAAATGGAGAACAGATAAGCAGATCATGGCTTGTCTACAGTGAAAAGAAGGACTGGGTTATTTACTTTGGCCTTTTTGGAAACACAGGAAGGAGCAATCAGCTAAGTGAGCTTAGTGCTTGGAAAAAATCTTTCATTCCTTTAGAGACAGCATGAAAAGTCAGCTGAGTACAAAACATAGAGAGGAAAACAAGAAGAAAAAGGACAAGAAGAGAGGGACACAACCTAGAACAGATAATGGATGTCTATTCTATTAACATTTCTCTATCTGTAGAACGGGGCTGTTCTATGTCTTGTCTTCTCCCCTGCCCAGTCTATAATGTATTTTGGAGCTCAGCAATTTTCAAATCTGGGCTGATGTTCTCCTCTTTCTTAGTTCTAGTGAGGACGCAGGCAGCAGCGTTCTGGATCAGCTGCAGGGATCAATTCTGCTAAAGACGAGTGAAACAGGAAATCGTTTTTCAACGTTTGTCCTTTAATCCTTCAGGTGATAGAAGGTCCACTTTGTTCCTGTCTTTATGAGCCTCTGAAGGTTCAGGCTGATTAGAATCTGAGTCCAGATTATGGAGCCTGATTGCTTCTCCCCAGTGAAGCTGGGTGCTAACTTTGAAATGCTCTTCCTATTGGTCCCAAAACTCACTTTAGCTTAAATTAGGGCTGAAACAATTAGCGGGATTAATCAGTTAGTGAATTAATCATTTCATTTAATAATCGATTAATCATTAACTGAAGTACAGAGACTCTATAAAATACATTTAGTTAACGGAGTGACCCACTTAGAGCAATAATTATATCAAAATTATAAAAATATTTATAAACATTTTGCAAAAAGAAATTTTATCTGTCAATCCGCTCTATCCAGAACTCCACAAGTGGAAAAGTTTTAGATTTACCCGGTTTAATTTACTGAAAAATCTTCTTTAAGGAATCTTTAGCCGCCAGATTATTTATCGAAAAACTAATGGACGGATTAATCGATTTGTAGAATAATGGTTAGTTTTAATCAGCTGAAGAATATTTAGTTCATCCATTCGCTGAGTTCTTCTCTGCATTTATCCAGAGGCCTGAACAACGGAGCAGGATTACTGGGTTAGCCAGATAACATCGGGTCCAACCCCCCAAATTATTTTTTTAGTTTTTACGGCACTAGTGGCTCATTTTTCTGACAGTAAAAAGTGGGCTGACAGGAAAGGGCGTATGAGAGAGGGGGAGGGACATGCGCGAAAGGACCTCGGGTCAGATTCGAACCCGTGGTCGTGGTCGTGTGCGCTAACCCCTGCCCCACCAAAGAACGCCCCAGCTGGATTCATTCTTAGCTGTCCTAGTCACCTTGGTAACGTACGCTGAATGTCTAACCTGCTTTGAGGCAGGCTGGCTTTCAAAACTGATCTGAATGCTAGAAAACGCTTCACACAGCAGCCAATCAGCTGTTGGGAAACATAACGCCCCTTTGATCGAAGACGTACGTTTTCCACAATGGCGGTCAGACAAACGAAACAAGCCGTTAAAGCTGAAGTCTGTAAGTTTTTAAAAATCACTTTTTTTTGTCATATTGGCTAAAACTGTCCCTATGCCCAGACAGCAGTACATGTGATATGTAACCTGTGAAAAAAACTGCTTCAATTGGTCCCGCCTACTGCCTGAATTTCAATCTGGAAAGAATATTTTGGGACAAGACAAAACAACCAATCACAGCCAGAGGAGCGTCTGATGGAGTGTCAATCACAGCTCACACACGCTGAATCCCGCCCCCTCCCTCTCACCGCTGAACCTGCCGCTGCCGCCCGGCTGCCGCAGTCAGGAGGACGCTCGTGGAAGTCATGGCGGAGCGACAGCCACCAGCGAAAGAGAAACTGCCCTTACTGCCCCTGCCGACAACTGCTTACACGGCAAAGACTTCAAAAAAGAAGAAGAAGCCGCGTACGCTGCTTGGACGCTTCTGGTCGCATGCGGTAGCCGCGCAGATGCTGTGAGAGGGGTGGAGCTTGGAGGTGGGGCATGAGTGAAGCAGAGAGGGTGGGGGAGTTGCGTGAAACCTGTTTTTCTTCAAATTTTCAGTCGAAGTCTGCTCTCTTCTCAATGTTACAGACTGCAGCTTTAAGGAATCAAACAGGAAATACGCATAGATTAGAGCGAATGTAGATCTGACCAATCAGAGGCCTCCTGTCTGCGCTCACCTAAGGCGGGGGGGGCATATCTGCGTTAACTGCAACACACACGCAGACGACCTGGTTTCTGCGTATAAATCAGCCTATAGCGTCGCAGGGAGAAGAGAAAGGAGGCCTCTGATTGGTCAAATCTATAGCGGCTCTACTCTATGCGTATTTCCTATTGGGTGCCTTACAAGGTTGTTTTTTTGTTGTTGTTTTTTTATGACCGCCATTGTGGAAAACGACTCGTGAAGATGGACCAGCTAGAAGAGCGGGTCTCATTCGCCACACCACAAGGACAGCAGTTGTTGACAGCGCCATTGTAGCATGCCGCCCCCGATCGATGATGAGACTTTACTGATGGGTTTTATGGATTTTAATTCCTTTAGAGTCATATCCCATAAACTGTAGTCTTTAAATCCACATATCACCACCGTAAGAGCTGAAACACATAACAATTATACAGCTTTTTACATTAAACCATTTTAAATGTTTCATCTTGTGCAAAAATAAACATTGTAAAATACTATTGTACAAATAAATAACGCACCTTTTGCCTCTTCGGAGGGGCTGCCAGGACTATATTTTTGCGATTCCGTAGGTCCGCGTTTAACTTAATGCCGTACTTATGAGAGAACAAGCTAACCGACGCTACGTTGCCCGGGACCGGAAACACAAAAGCTTACCAAAATAAAAGCACTTAGCTCAAACCGGAAGTTGTTGACATTGTGAAAGAAAAATGTGTAGAAAACCAATGAAACATAACTCAACTCCATTTATTGCAAAAAGAAAAAAGGTAATGGTTATTTACAGTCATACCCGGAAGAGAAACACGCCACCATCCTAGCTAGTTCCTGATCGTCCCTCTGGCGTTGTGGCGTTTCAAAATTGGGCATAAATCAAAAATATCTGCATCATTCCAGCGACAAGCTAACTGCGACATGCTGGATAACCAGCCCTTTAATGGGTTTTATTTGCATTGCCATGGTAACTGATGCTTATTGTGCTCTGAGTTGTGGGGAGCATGTAGGATTTAAACCAGTGCAGTCTACCAGAACAGCTGCTACCCAGTCGATCAACCGTGTAAGATCCACAAAGGCCCCAAAGCAGTGATTTACCGTCCCTGGACGGAGGCTAGAAGCCCTATGGTGACCTCTGACCTCTGTGTCTCATCAGGCTGTACTGCTTGAAGATCTACGGCCTCTCGTCCCTCTGGAGACTCTTCAGGGGGAAGAAGTGGAACGTCCTGCGGCAGAGAGTCGACTCGTGCTCCTACGACCTGGACCAGGTGACTCCGCCCACAACTTTCCCTCTTTAAGGATCCTGGAGAGACTGCTACTAGTTCCTGTAGATCTGTAGATAGTTTTAGTGGCGTCTATGTTTAAATTCTCTCCCAGGAGTTTGAATAAAAGCCTCATTTGAGGATCTGATATGTGAAGTTTAGGAAAGGGAGAAAATGAGCTGCCAGAAGCACAGAGGCGGAGCAGGAACAGCCCAGTTCCTGCGGTGGGGGAGAGGAGGCGGGTCATTTGGTTTCCAGCTCGGTTCTGTCCTGCAGAAGGATGAGAGGAAGGATTTCTCTGCAACGCTTCAATATGCTGAGGTCACAATGTTAGCTTCCAGAAATCTGAGCCGCTCTGACTGAAGCTACTGCTGGACCCTTCAGGTTCAGTTAATATGGAGCTTCTTGGTGAGAAAAGCCTCAGTAATCATTTTATTACAGATAGAAGCAGTTAAAGGTCAGATCTGGGATGCTTTACTCAGGTTTTCATCGATCCTCGTCTTGTTTTTTTTCATCTTCCTGGAGAGAAATATCAGCTGTGCTGCTGCCATCAACACCTTTGTTTCTAGATGTTGGAGCTTGGCCTGTTTTCCAGTGTAGTCCTGTTTCTCTGACTGTGACTAACTGGATGTGCTCTCTTCATCCTCTGACATGGGAGCTGGCTCGGAGCTCGTCTGCCTGGCTGTGTGTTTCCTGGACGGGGCCGCCTGTGGAGCTGGTTGACAGTTGCCTTTTGTATCTATGCTTCATTTTCTACGTCTGCTTCTGTCTCCTTGAACCCCAGTGGGCCTCAGCAGATGGCCGCTCACACTGAGCCTGGTTCTGCTGGAGGTTTCTTCCTGTTCAAAGGGAGTTTTTCCTCTCCACTGTCGCTACAAGCATGCTTAGTGTGAGGGATTGCTGAAGAGTCAATGAGTCGATGCAATCAGCTGGTTTTCCTTAGATAGAAAACTTTGAATCAATCTGACTGGATGATCTGGTGAACTGATGACATGATGGGAATTGGTGCTATAGAAATAAACTGAATAGAATTTTGTTGCAGCTCTTCATCGGTACGCTCCTCTTCACCATCCTGCTCTTCCTGCTTCCCACCACGGCGCTCTACTACCTGGTCTTCACCCTGGTGAGAGCAGACTGGATCAGAACCTTCCCGTGTCTCTGTGGTTGTTCTTTAACTAACTTGGGTTGGTTTGTTTCTCTCACCTCCGCGTCCCCGTTGGGCAGCTGCGGCTGGTGGTGGTTCTATTCCAGGGCGTCCTTCATCTCAGCGTGGACTTCATCAACTCCTTCCCTCTGTTCGCCATGGGGCTGCGCATCTGTCGGCCCTACAGACTGGCAGGTAAGGCCTCTAATCGGAACCAATCCTGATCCAGAACCTCCTGAAAGCTCAGAGTCCAGCAGAACCACAGATTTTTTTTTGCTCTATTTCCAGAAGGTGTAAAGTTCAGAGTTCTTTGTGACGAACCCGGTACCGCCCTTCACCTGCTGATGGAGGTGAGTCTTCCCTCTGCATCCCGGTGTTCTGCCAGACCAGCAGTCAATCCCCGTTTATCCCTTTAGTTTTATAGGAAAATAGACTTTAAACTACCTCAACAGGCGTGTATCCCTTTAGTCATAAAAACTATTTAATCACTTAATTTTTGGCGTTCTTTGAAGCCTATAGCAGGTTTCTGCAACCTTAAACCCCGAATCTGACCAAGTAAAAGTTGTTTAGGGCCTCAAAATATAACCTGTTTTTTTGGGTTTTTTTTTAAAAAGCCTATTTTTATATATATATATATATATATATATATATATATATATATATATATATATATATCTCATATGATAAATTAGTTGCCAAATCGTGTATTTTTAGCTTTTAAAATAATATTGAAGACATAAATTCCAAGCTAATTCAAAGAAAAATGGTTCGAAAAACATACTTCTGGTTCTTTTAATGTCATTCTTTTCCATATTGTGTTTAAGAAAACATTTAAGACTAGTACATTATTTAGCTCTTTATATACATTTTAGCCACTATTAAGAGCCGCTGTAAGGGGAGCCGCAGGTTGCAGACCCCTGGACTGCAAAAAATCTAAATCTAGATAAGTCATTTTTTCTTAAAATAAGTGCATCTGTTCTTGGATTCAGGAGGTAAAAGAGACATTTTGACAATGGAACAAGACAATTTACACTTAAAATAAGAAAACACAATTGCATTGTCTCATTTCAAGTCCATATTATCTAATTATCTTATTTTAAGAATAAAAATACTCATTCCATTGGCAAACTATCTCATTTATCTGCTGAAATTAAGCAAATTAAGGGTAAATACACTTAATTTAAGAATTTTTTACTTATTTCTAGATCGTTTTTGCAGGTCTGACAGGACAGCGGTCATAAAGCCGCCCGTCTTCATTTTTCATTTTCATTTATTGTTTATTTGAAAGGGGACAGTGTACATTAATCAACATTAAAACAATGTAAATATACCCGAGTTAGCTAAGGAGTGCTAATTTTTATCGCTAGTCCCCCAGCCAGATATTAAAAAGGCAACCTTAAAAATAAACACAAGTATAAAATCACAAGATAAAATTACAATACCAGTTACATAAAAAACATTATGGTTAAGAAACACAATTCACGTCTCTCCCCTCACGCTGCGGTTCCTCCTCAGATTAACCCGCTGAGGTGCGGCGCCGTGGTCCAGACCTACCGCACCCCCACCTACAGCTGCTACCCCAGAGACTCGTGGGCGGCGCTCGTCAAGAAGCTGTTCGTCGGGGAGCTGATTTATCCCTGGAGGCACAAAACCACCAAGTCCGACTGAGGCTCCGACTCCAGCGGCAACTAAAACCCTTTCATTCCATCTTTTCTACTCCGTGACGTTAGATTTTATTTAAATAACGACCTAAGTTTGAATGTCCTCGCCTCAGTGAACTAAAATCAATTCCTGAATAATTTCTTCCTAATGTGATTAAAAAGGAATCAAAATGTAATAAAAATGTTATTTTGTTTTAACCAAATGTTCTGAATTTAACTCGTTCTGTACTGGAAAATATTTATAAGAAAAAAAAAGATGATTTCTGATTTTAAAAAGATTTGAGGTTTTAGTTCAGCTCTTCTAGTTTCTAACCAGGCACTATCTAGCATGTTTAGATCTACGTTTAAATGATGTTTCACTGAAAAACTCAGAGTTTGATGCCTTCAGTTTTTAAGGAGTGCCAACATTTCTGAGCGCCTGCTGCTGCTGCTCCTCTCAGCCAATCAGAGGCCGAGGCCCGGTCATGTGATACATCACAGATATAAATCTGCATCTTTAGAACAAATACTTGAATTAACACCGTTTAACCTTTGACCCCAGTATTGGATTGAGAGAAATTAAAGGGTTTTTCAGGTCAATTTTCATTTGGCCACAGAGCAGTGTTGCCATTGGCCTTTAGGGGGCGCTCAACCTGGAAGTTACACGTTTACTTCGACGTCCCAGAATCCCCTAAACGCTGGCATACGCTGAACTTTCTATGGATTTTTTATTTTGGTCGTATACATAAAGTATTCATTAGTCCAGAACTTCTGTCCAACGACAGCCTAACTTCTGCATAACGCACGGCAGCGTAACGAACAGGAAATGATGCAGAGTTTCCTGGGGCGCCTGGTCTGCATATAAAGATGTCTTTGATTGCAAATTAATTCTAGAAATATTAATATTTTTAATCAAAAGTGATTGAAAGCGTCTCAGAAAATGGAAAGCGGCGCCGCAATCCGCTTTGGTGGGCGGCTGGATTGGTCCTCATTTAATCCCTAATGGAGGAAGAGGGGGTGGACCATTCTGGTTTCTGAAACAATGAACCTTCCTGTTCTTGTTGTCAAATCAAAGCTTTTAAAAAAAAGTTCTGGAGAATCAGAGAAAATTGATGCCGTGTTGTGAATTGGCGCTATAGAAATAAACTGAACTGAATTGAATCTTTACGGTCTCAAACAGGACCTGAAGCAGCAACGTTTCTGCTGATGTTTGAACCATTGAACTCCTCTCTTCCTTTGACTCCTCGTTTATTTTAAACTTCTTCATCCAGCAGCACCAGAGGCTGACGGGGGATAAAATAATGAATTCCTCTTACTGAGTTACGTCCATGTTTGTCCTCTTTGATGTTTTATGAGATGAATTTGTAACTTTAGTTTGAACAATAAACTAACTTTAAATAAAACCTTCTGTTCTGTTCTGTTTAGACCAGATTGTCACAGGTTAGCGGGTCCCAACCTGATTTAAAACATTTATAAATTGCTGCATGTTGTCCGACAGTGTCTAAATTCACTTGCACCTCTTCTCCTGTTGATACGGTAAAGCCCTCCGGAGCTGCTACTTTTAGACACAGCAGGCAAACCTGTGGCAAGCCGGGCGATGGGAAAGAAGGAGAAGATGATGAGAAAAAGAGAGCAGAGAAAGTGTGGACTGCTGGAAGAACTGCGGTGAACTGGTGAAAGAAAAGTGAAATGGCGTGCTCAAAGATGACCCTGCACATTTAGAGGATGTTTGGCTCAACCTGCTGCTGTGAAGCAGGATTCTCCACCATGAGCAGAATCAACAATAAATCTGGATCCAGGCTCAAAATGAGCTCCTTGATATGTGCTTGAGAATGGCTTAGTCTCCGGTTAAACCCAGGTTTAAAGCCTTGCAGGGCAGCCTAAAGCCCACTGCCAACATTAAAGGAATAGTACACCCAAAACATGATTAGCCTTCATTTTCTACTCACCCCCATGCTGAACAACACCCTGGAGTACTTTTTTGATATCTCAAATGCATCTGGAGATCTGGGAGGCTTCTTGCTGTCTGCTGACATTCAAATAATGGAGGTCTATGGCGCCCGAGGCAGAAAGGTCCATAAAAGTCCACAAAAAACGTGTCAATATTCCTCCATACTGCTCGTCCAATGTATTCCAAGTGTCCTGAGTGGGTAGCGTCCAGAATTTACTCGAAACGAAGTCATTTAGAATGTTTTTAGAGCATAAACAGTAGTGTATAGGATTTCCTAAAAGCGCGATCACGACGCTACGGAAACCGCGGCAGACCAAACCAGCGCATTCAGCTCGGCAAAGAACTCATGCTCTTCCTCAACACTGAAGTCCTCAGACATTTTTGTTTCGTTGTTTCTTTCTTTGCACAGGTAAACAGCACATTTCTTCTTCTACGCTTGCATTATCGGCAGAGCAGACGCTGAATGCGCACTTTCATCTGGTTTGGTCTGCCGGCTTCCGTAGCGTTGTGAACGCGCTTTCAGGAAATCCTATACACTACTGTTTATGCTCTAAAAACATTCTAAATGACTTCGTTTCGAGTAAATTATGGACGCTACCCACTCAGGACACTTGGAATACATTGGACGAGCAGTATGGAGGAATATTGACACGTTTTTTGTGGACTTTTATGGACCTTTCTGTCTCGGGCGCCATAGACCTCCATTATTTGAATGTCAGCAGACAGCAAGAAGCCTCCCAGAACTCCAGATGCATTTGAGATATCAAAAAAGTACTCCAGAGTGTTGTTCAGCATGGGGGGGAGTAGAAAATGAAGGCTAATCATGTTTTGGGTGTACTATTCCTTTAAGACAGAAAAAAGAAAGAAAATAACAAACCATCAGTTCAGGTGTTTTAGAAAATATGGGAATCAGGAAAATGTCTAAATGCCAAACTGAACGATTGTTGTTCTCTACTTCAAAAACACTTTAGATTTTAAAATGGAAAAACATTCTATTTTTTATACTTTTTATTAAAAAATTCAATGTATAACATGGATGCATAAACACCTCATTTTATTTCAGTGTTAAATTCTGTTTAAAGTAACAGATTCTAATTAAAAATTTCTCCGGACTTTTATTGGTTGATGATTTGCTTTATTCTGACCAAACTGATTTTTATCGGTGACCCCTGATATAGACATTTTTTTTCCCCAGGTTGATTTGAGCTGCAGTAAAGAATAAATCATCAAGAGTCCATCGTGTTTCATTGAAATTTCATCTTCTGTGTTTGAAGATCTGTAAAACAGAGAAGCATTTCTTAAAAACAATATCAGACTGTTTTAGAAGCATTAAAGCCTACTTTGATGGATTTGAGAAGAAACAATGGAATAGAATAGAATAGAATAGAAGATTTTCTGAACCTGTTCTGTTTTTTGAGGGGCTAAAACACCTGGGGACACATGAACACTGAACCAGAGATGTGAAAAGTTTTAACATTCTTAAATAAAAATCACTGATATCGGTGTAGAAAAAAGTAAAGGTTGAAATAAAAGTACCTGTTGAACTCTGTTACTTAAGGAAAAGTTCAAAAGTACTTAAAAAGCAGTACAAGGGCCAGAAAATAGCTGAATTTTCCCCTTTCTGTGTTGGAAGAATGAAAATAAAACCTGCCAACTGTAGTCTGGATCTAAATGAAATAGACCGGATGATGTAGACTGGCCTGAAAAGAAGCCCTGAATGAGCAGCTGAATCATTTTAGAGAAGCAGCATTAAAATAAAAACTAAACAAATTCATCATGTAAATTAAATAAAAGGGAAACTGGATGTGGAAAGTCTTTAACCTTAGAATCTGAGCCGTCAGCTATGGAGTGAAATTTGTTCCAAGATTGTGGTAAAGAAAAAATGTTGTTAATCAAAATGTGAAAAATATTGTCTAAAAATTAAACTTGTTTTTTAGAGGAACTCCTGTTTTCTCAAAGAAAAATTTAGTTTTTGTTTTTCAAATTTTTCATATTTTACATTTTTAAACTTTCTTTTTATTTATATTTTATTTGTTCATATTTTTAACAGATTTTCTATTTTTTACATCTTCAGTTGTCTCTTTTTCAGACTGAGTTTTATGAATCTTTTCAAATTGCGTTTAACAGATCAGGTTCTCTAAAGCTGGGCGTTGCTGTGAAGAGCGAAGGAGCATTTCTATTGGTCTGCTGGATGTTAGCGAGAACACTTTATTGGTCCAGAGCGAGAGTTCTGATTGGGCTTTAAGGGAAGAGAATTTAATCTGGGAAATGCATTTTGTAAATCACAATCTGGAAAACAAAAGTTTAAAAAAAAATTTAAAGAATAAAATCTGTGCAAAAAATATAAAATTTTAAATCAAAAGAAAAAAAATATTTAAATTAACACCTGAGAAAACAGCAATGTTACTCTTAAAACATTCTTTGATTCAACATTTTTCAAATTTTCATTCATGGGTGGTGTCGTGTACTTCTTACACTAAATAAAATAAACGGTGAGGCTTATTTCTGGTGAGGCACTTTGCATGTAACTTTTATTGCAGCTCGCCAACAACAACACTGGGCATTAGACCAAACATATCGAACACTGAGTGATGCGCTTCTCATAGGGTAAACCAATCGATCACAGATGATCCAATCTAACGATATACTACATCCTCCCTTTTTAAGCACGAGAATCATATTTAACTTCACTGTAACTCTAGATCTTTAAAGTAACATTGTAAGAAGAAGTAACATTTGAATTAACCGTTTTAATCAACAGCCTTACACTGTAAAACAACCTTTAAATCACATTCATACATATCCTTTTTTTTTTTTTTTTTCGTGTGCCTTTTGTCTCTTGTTTTCAGCTCAGTCACACTGTGGAACAAAGAATATGTAAGTAACCAAAATTAGCCCATCAAACTGGACCAAGAAAATGTAAACAAAGTCCGAACATGACTTATCTGCAGGCAGGACTTAAGTATTATTTTAACTCATAGTCCCTGAACTTTGAAGGAATCTTCACGAGCCTCCCACTCCTTGTTCTGTAGGTGGTCTGAGCTGGAGTGGGACTGGATGGTTCACAGGCTGGTGAGCATTGGTCTCGCTGGGCCTGTAATGCACTGTCCTCTCTCTGTGAAGCGATGGGGTGGTCTAGAAGTTCATCATTGTCCTCTCGATGAAGACTGGGGTGGATTCTCCTTAGATGAAGTCGATTTCTCCGGAACGTGACACCACTGGGTGTCTGGACGTTGTATGCACGTGGCTCCTCTCTTTTGCTCAGGACCGTCGCTGGTTCCCAACCACGACGTGTTGACATGTGCACTGTGGTACCAGGAGCATACTGTGGCAGTGGCTTTGTGTTGTGGTTGTAGTAGTGCACTTGCCTGGCTTGTAGGTGTTTCAGCCGCGAGTGGAACCCGCGTGGCACAGCTGGTTGCAGAACAGCTGTGGACGTCGGCAGGGTGCTCCGCAGTACTCTTCCCATCAGGACTTGTGCTGGTGAGAACTCTGTGCCAGTCACTGGAGTGTTGCGCAGAGACAGGAGAGCTAGGTGCGGGTCTGTGCCGGCTTGTGTCGCCTTTTTAAGTGCCTGTTTTACAGTCTTTACCATTCTCTCTGCTAAGCCGTTTGACTGTGGATACCCAGGGCTGGAGTGGACAAGTTTTATGCCCCATGACGACGTAAACTGTCGCATTTCAGAACTGGCGAATGGGACGTGATCGCTCACCAGCTCTTTTGGGATCCCATGTCTTGCGAATATGGTCTTCATTTGGCGTATGACTGTGTGGGCAGTTTTGTCAGGTATGTGGAGCACTTCTGGGTATTTTGACATGTAATCCACCATCAGGAGATATGACTGTCCGTGTAGCTCAAAAATGTCTGCACCAAGCTTCAGCCATGGCAGTTCAGGTACCTCGTGTGGAATCAGGGGTTCTTTGTGATTCTTTGGCTGGAGCTGTTGGCATGGGCGGCATTTCTCCACCAGGTTTTCGATATCATGTTTCATGCCTGGCCAGTACATCACCTTTCTTGCTTGTGCTTTTGTCCGCTGTATCCCCTGATGTGCGAGGTGCAGTCTGTCAAGCATCAGCTGCTTCACACTCTGTGGGATCACAATCCTGTCACCAGTCATCAGGATGCCATCCCTGATGCTGATGTTGTGTCTCATTGACCAGTATTGGTGTAGACTGGTGGGAACACTGCGCCGTCGTCGTGGCCAGCCTCTCTTGTGTAACTCTATCACTTGTTGCAGTGTGCTGTCTGTCGCCGTGGCCCCTTTGAGCTTTGATAGCATGTCTGCGTCAAGTGCGTCTGTGGCCTCCATTGCATGCACTACTCTCTCCTCAAACAGATCCTCTTTCACGTCGTCCTTGCTGTCACTGACAACAGCACGGGACAAGGTATCAGCAACATGCATGTCCTTGCCGGGTGTGTGGATGATTTTCAGGTCATAGCGTTGGAGCTGCA